CTGATTTGCTAACTGCGGAGCGTGATTCAGAAGACCTCCTATGTTTTCTTGCTGCAGCTGCTTGCAAAGCCTCCAAATCCAAATTACAGTGGTGCCGGCCCTCTGTGGTCTTCTTGGGACACTGCCTTTCCCATGGCACCAAACATCTCACCTCCCAACGTGTACAAGCCATTCTGCTTCTTCCATTACCTGCTAACCACCAGACTCTCCATGCCTTCCGTACTGCAGGTCCTGGATACCTGAAGCATCAAAACTCATGCAGCCACTCTATGATGCCCTCAGGAGTGAACCTTTCCATCTCACAGAAGAAACTATTATCTGTTTCCGCACTCTGAAAAGAGCTATTGCTTCTGCACCTGCCTTGGGCCTACCAAACTACCAACTTCCCTTCAACCTATTCGTCTCTGAAAAATCAGGACATGCTTCCGGGGTCCTCACCCAAAAACATGGCTCAAGACAACGCCCTATTGGCTATTTTTCCTGCATGCTTGACCCTGTTGCAAGGGGTAGCCCCTCTTGCCTCCGCGCGGTGTTTGCCGCCAGTGCTCTCCTGGACAAGACCAATGACTTTGTTCTTGGCCATCACCTCACAGTGTTGGCCCCTCACGATATTACTGCAATCTTACAACAAATCCGCCCAAAACACCTTTCTTCACAACGCCACCTTCGCCTACAGACATCCTTACTCCTACCTGACAATGTGAAACTCCAGAGATGCCTTTCCCTGAACCCAGCCACTCTTCTGCCACTTCCCAAGGGGGGAATAGTACACCACTGGTACAGCCTGGACATCAACCCAGAGGTCCGAGCAGATTTACAATTGCCTGTGTTTGCACCTTCCCCTGATGATGAACAATCAGAGGCCCTACTCCACTGTGTCTTGTGGTTTAGGGACATACCAAGCCCTGACTATGAGGAAGAACTATTTCAGCTCAAAGACATCCAAATTACCTTGACTGACTTGTTTTGGGATTCCACAGGTACCATGCTCATTCTGGTACATCTTCCAGACAATGCAGTACACCTCTACCACCATTGGGAAACAGCTATCCCACACATACCTCTCACCAGATCCCACGACATCACATGGGAGACCCTAGGGCCGATGGCCAAAACTTGGAACCAAATGACTCAAGAACAACTGACTTCTGCAGGAATAAATAAAAAGACAATTAACTACTGCACAACAGGACACTCCAGGTACCACACAGAGGCCTGTGAGGACCCACTCACCATAGACTGCGACCTTATTGATATCCCTCACGACTGTTTTGAACAAATGAAAATGGAAACTACACACCTACCAACTGTTTATGAAGCTGCATTACTCAACCCGGATCAGACACTATTTGTGGATGGCTCAAGGTTTGCTGACGAACAAGGACAATACCACACTGGATATGCAGTTACCACAGGATGTCAAATATTACAAGCAGCTGCCCTACAACCAACTAAATCTGCCCAAGAGGCCGAGTTAACAGCCTTGACTGTGGCCTGCAAACTGTCCGAAGGCCTACGTGTCAACATTTATACGGACTCAAGATATGCCCTGGGAGTGGCACACGATTTTGGCTTAATCTGGAAGACCAGAGGATTCCTTACAGCTACCGGTACCCCAGTAAAGCATGGGGCAGCCATTGCAGAACTGATGGACGCATTGGAACTCCCAGCAGAAGTGGCAGTATTGAAAGTAAAAGCTCATGGAAGATTAGACACAGAAGAAGCACGTGGCAATGACCTAGCTGATCAGGCGGCCAAAGAGGCGGCACGACAAGGATGGGAAGTGGACAGAAGAGTGGCCACAGATGCATTACCAATTTATACTATGCAAACATTGCCTACAGACCTCAGGCTGCTGAAGGAACAGCAAGCTGCTGCCACTCCTCAGGAGAAGCAGAGTTGGAAGAACAAAGGAGCAATACTCCGTGATGAAGTTTACACCATTAATCTCAAGTTCTGTCTACCTAGAAGTATGTACCCAGCGGTGGTCCAATGGGCCCATGGGCCAGCCCACCTATCAAAGCTCCTGATGAATTCACTGATTGACAAGTATTTTGAAGCACCAGGCATCACTACCTTAACACAGAATTATTGCAAATCTTGTACTATATGTGCTAAGTGCAACCCTGGAAGGATCATAAAGACTGCACCTAATCATCTAGCCAAGCCACAATACCCCTTTCAGAGGATTCAGATTGACCATATTCAGATGCCAAAGAGCGGACGCCATGAATATGCACTGGTCATAGTGGACATGTTTTCAGGATGGCCAGAGGCCTTCCCAGTGACTAACCTCACCGCGAGGACAACAGCCAAGTACCTCTTGACAGAAATTGTTTGCCGTTACGGGGTTCCAGAAGTAATTGAAAGTGACCAAGGAACCTCCTTCACTGCCTCACTAACACGGGAAGTCTGGTCAGCACTGGGGGTGACCCTTGCATTCCACACACCATATCACCCACAGAGTAGTGGTAAAGTAGAGCGCATGAACGGCACTCTAAAAACCAGAATGCTTAAAATGTCACAAGAAACTAACATGCCTTGGCCCGAGAGTCTCCCATTAGCATTGTTTAGTGTGAGGTACACTCCTAGGGGAAAATACAGCCTGTCACCTTATGAAATTTTGTTTGGCACAGCACCTAGGTTAGGTTGTTACTTTCCCCAACAGCTTCAGATCCAGTCAGATGCTATGGTAGATTACGTGACAGCCCTCTCACATGCCTTGACCAAGATACATGCCCAAGTGTTTTCTTCTATTCCAGATCCTGAGTCGAATACAGGTACACACAAGCTGCTTCCAGGTGACTGGGTGATGGTTAAGAAGTTTCTCAGAAAACACACCCTAGAACCGAGATTTGATGGTCCTTACCAAGTGCTCCTGATTACAGCAACGTCGGTTAAACTAGCTGGGAAGAGTTCTTGGATACACGCTTCACATTGCAAAAAAGTGCCTGCTCCAGAAGAGACTGATCCTGTTGAAAAATGAACTTATTATGTGTCTTGTGTTTTCTTATGCTGCTACATTTTGCCTGGGCCCAACAAGTGGCCATAACCAAAGATAACCATGTTTACACTTTTTGGTACAATTCTTCTAATACTGATGTGGCTACATACACCTTTGACTATTGTGACATAGTTACTTGTACATTTCCACAAACACAACATGCAGCTGTATATAAGGACATACCTAACAAAAAGGATCCATACATTTGTGTGACTGGCGAAGGTTGGGGACACCATTGTAGTTCATGGAAAGCTGCCGGGTGGAACACAGGTAGACCATGGGGCTACAGACCTCAAGTTGCATTAGACAAACTTGACAAAGACGGGAAACCCTTGCTCTCTAGAATGACCCTGAGTAAACCCATAGGGTCAACTCCCATTAAACTCACCTTAAATATAGAACACCCTAGTCCAAGGGATGCAGGGGAGTATGTGATGGGAATGTACTGGAAGGGAGGTGGCTCACATAACGCATTAGGGACCTTTTACCTGCAAGATATGCTAAATTCCTCTGACTGGGTGGGAACTACACATATGGTCATTAACCCATTGAAACCACACATCAAAACCCTACATGACATGGTAGCCATAGCTAACCCCACCTTTGAAGATACCATGGCAGTAGAAACAGGGTTTTCAGATACCAATTTATGGCTAGAATGGATGAGGTACAACGCCAACTCACACAATAAGACTAATTGTTATGTATGCGGAGGTGCCAGACCCCATCTGGGTACAGTACCTCTGAGTTTACCTCCTGAAGAGAATTATGTGTACTGAGTTTGTATGCACAATCCACCACTAACTCCTCAACATGTGAATCCTGGAAGAAGATTTACCCAATCACCCATGGACATGTGAAACCACCTGATGGAGTCACCATCTACCCAGGTAATTACACATGCTATTCAATGCCAGAGAACACTGGTTTGTATCTGGGCAAATTCCCATCAGGATACTGCTCAACTTACCATAGTCTACCTGTATCACTGCTAATGAATCACACAAAGACAATCGGTGATATCTATTGGTTATGTGGTGACAAACAATTAAGGCCCCAATTAGCTGGGCAATGGTGGGGGGAGTGTGCCCTAACCAAAGTCATAATGCCTATCCATATCATTCCAGATGGTGACCATAACACGATAAACCTCACACATATACACTCTAGAACCAAACGAGAGACCCCTATTCGAGGGAGTTTCGACCCCCATGTGTACATTGATGCCATAGGTGTGCCAAGGGGGGTGCCTAACGAATTCAAAGCAAGAGATGAAGTGGCTGCAGGGTTTGAGTCCCTAATCCCAATGATAACTGCTAACAAGAATGTCAATTGGATTAACTATATCTATTATAATCAGCAACGCTTTGTCAACTACACAAGGGATGCCCTACAGGGCCTGGCAGAGCAACTACAAGCCACTACCCAAATGACATTTCAGAACAGAATGGCCCTAGATATGATTCTAGCCGAGAAAGGGGGAGTATGTAAAATCCTCCCTGAGACCATGACATGCTGCACATACATTCCAGACAACACTGGGCCCAATGGTAAGGTGACTATGGCCATAGGAAAGCTAGATAGTCTTGCAGACGAATTAAAGAAGAATTCGGGAGTCACTGACATATGGGACAAATGGTTTGGGTGGATGAATGGCTGGCAAAAGACCCTCTTTCAGGTAGGGACAGCTGTTCTCATGGTGTTCATTATCTTTTTGTTCTTAGCCTGTTGTATACTCCCCTGTATACAGAAATATCTGCAGAAAGCGGTGGATAAGACTGTAGATAACGTGACCCCTACCTTCATACATCAAGATATCAAAGACCTTGAAGATGACACCCCACATACACCCCTACAAACACATCAGTTTAAACAGACAACTGCTTTTTTGTAGGGATAGAGTAGGGAAAGCGTCTGTCTTGACAGGTGAGTCTCACGTGTGGAGATGTAGTGGGCTAGCCACTGCGGGATACCCGCGGAGTGAAGCGTTCGATGCTTGTCAAGACAGATAGGTTGCGGGCAACTAGGGACATATTAGGGACAGCAGCAGTTGTTATGGTAAATAGCCATTTTAGGGGGGACTGTTGTGGAAATAAGGTCTATACATATTTCCTAGTTAGAGAAAATGTCTATTTACTCATTCTACAATATATATCACATATAAATCTGAGCACACATATTTCAATCAAGATGGCTGCTTCTAACCCCTCCTTCCCCTCCCCCTCCCTTCTTAAACATCGACTAACTACCTCGTGTAACAAGATGGCGCCGGGAAACCGTGGGAGACCCTCATGGTCCCGGTGACATCACCTGCAGTAGGCAGAGCATTAGAGCAACCACTTAACACCTAACCAATTATTGATGTATTATTCCATGTTATCTCTGACAATGCATATGATGTAATTTTGCTTTAAAAGGGACTTGCCGTCCCCTCTGAATAAACTTTCCTCAAGTTATTCAGCAACCTAGAACCTGTGTCTGGTGTGAATTACTTCAGGGAGCGTGCACGCATTGTTTCATTGATTTGGCCAGGGGCAGATACACAAAGAAATAATCAATACTTTAATTGATTTTTCCACTTCACAGACAAATACACTGAAAGACAGTCACCCACACACACAGACAGACACACACACACACTGACATACACACTGAAAGACACATGCACACTCACTCACTGACAGACATACACACTGACAGACACACACACACACACACACACACACACATTTACATTATTTTATTTATTGCTCCCTACCTTTGGGAGTTGGTGTGGGGCCTCTCCCTGATCTTCTCTCTGGAACTCATATTCTGGCACCCGGCATCACTACAGAGGGCACGCGTGAGGGAGCAGGAAGACTGAACTCCCTCGCCGCCACCAGGGTCATCTCCTCCCTGGCCGCGTAATTTTGGCAGAGTAGGCACCTGCAATGTAGGGTGAGTAGGTGCCTACTCTGCTTTAGTAAGCATGGAAAACTCGTGGCTCGCCGGGCTGCAAAAAATATTCATTGTGGGCCGCATGCCGCTTGATTTAGAGAGTAGGAGATAAACACGTTTAAAACAAGTTACATCTGATTGAAGGTGAAACCAATTTTTTTCGTTCAAGCTGTGTCAGTCACAGCCAGGGGAGGTGTGGCTAGGGCTGCATAAACAGAAACCAAAGTGATTTAAAGGGACACTCCAGGCACCCAGACCACTTCTGCCCATTGGAGTGGTCTGGGTGCCAACTCCCACTACCCTTAAACTGCAATAATTACATTGCAGGGTTAACTCCTCCTCTAGTGGCTGTCTACTAGACAGCCACTAGAGGGCCCTTCCTGGTTTATAGCACATGAAAAGTGTGCTATAGCATCGCTGGATGTCCTCACGCTATGATAAAATGCTTTCCTATGAGCAGGTCTAATGCAATGCCGCGCACGCGCATTAGGTCTCCCCAGCCGGATAACGTCGGCAGGGGGAGGAGAGTGAGCGGACCCTGAACCAGCGCGGAGAGACATCGGCGTTGGATACAGGTAAGTCATTAAAAGGGTTTTAACCCCTTTAGCAACTTGGGGTGGGAGGGAGAGGGGACCTGTTATTGTCTACTTGCACTTTTTCTCACATTTAACTTTTTAACAAGTGTGCAGTAAAACGTGTATAATGCAAAAACTTATATATCACTGTAATTACTATAACTGCAGTTTCGTTTTAACTCGTTCAGTACTGATATATCATCAAGTTATTGGTCCTGATGGCGTTTATTCACTTTGTCCACATAAAGTGACAGCTATGTCTGCAGCCCTTGTTGCAGGGAGGATGTTATTTGTTGTAACACAGGAAGAATCTCTCTACAATCATACACTGCACATGGGACTGTGGAGCTTGAGTCTTATCTACACCAGGCAACAGTAACACTGGGGTGATGTATGTAGTCATTTGTAATTTAGTGTCACATAAATATGAACGGGGAATCAGCTGCCTGATTAAAAAAAAAGGCACAATTAGAATTTAGATCTTTAGCAATGCTAATCTTTGTTACTACAGCTTCTGTGGGTTAGGTTTCTTCCATGGGAAACGTAGTCACTGCAGCACAGACGAATTGTATATAACAAATGTTTTTGAAATATGTTCATAATTTTTATAATGAAAATAAAAATGATATAACTTGATTTATCTGACCTGCATCCTGAGAGAGAGTGTGTGTTTTTCATCGAGCAGGACAGCATTCGTTTTAAGGCAGCCCTGCATGTAAACATTTTAAGAGAGGTCTATTCTCCCTACCTTAATAAAACGATAATTATAATGAATTGACAATGAATAATAATAGGCTGTTGAGATTCTCCACTTTTTGGATGTTGTGTGGTTTCTTCCTCACATCCACAGCCAAGCTATGTTATCTTTAGAGTTGTGTATATGTATTTATTTTTAACATTTTATTAAAAGATGCAATTACAGAAAAAAATAATGTATTGTACACTGATATGATATAAGGTGTTTTCATGATTTGTATCACATATATTCCCCAGCATTTGTGTCCCACACTTGCTGGGGGTGGCATATGAATGGACTGACAGTGTAAAGACAGCATGTCATGGCAGAAGATTGCTCAGCTTGTCCCCTAGCAGGGCCAGTTGTATTGTGTGAATAATGAGAGGAAGGATAGATCAGTGTGTGTGTCACATTATTGCAGAGATAATAACACCGTAGGCTAAACCTATTCCCACCATACTGTGTCAATTTTTCTTTACACTGAAAGACAGCCTATATTTTGTATTTACAGTAAATAGATCTTTTTTTTCAATCAGTGCCAATCTTTGCCACATAATTCTAACATGATTGTAATTTCATTTTATCAAGAATTCAGTGAACGCTGGTGCCGAGAACTCAGTCATTGTGTTCTGGGTAAAGAATGGGTTCAGTAGGCACCTTATCCGTATCTTATGTCATTAAAGCACATTAGGCTGGGGGGGGGCGTGGCTAACCGCCGAGAGGAATGGACGTGTAACCCGTTCACTCCGGCAACACGGGTCGCAATCTGACTCCATCTAACGCAACACGGCGGCACAACTGCTTAAAAAACGAAGATGGCACAGCAGAGAGGCAAGAAGTTTGCACACAAAGCGGAAAAAATCAATTTCTTTGGACACAAGTCGCACCAGGAACCGGAGGAGGCTCGGGCCTGGTCGCAAGATGGCGGCTCCGCTACTGACAGCCCTGAGAACACAGCAGCATTGCAGGAAAGTGATCCTGACATACTCACCAAGAGCTATTTACAACAAGCTCTGGACACCCTGTCAAGCAAGCTAATTACATCGTGGCAACATACAGCGGATTCGCTGAGGAAGGACATGCAAGAATTAGGCAAGCGCACCTCCCACATGGAGAACAAGATGGCAGAATTTGCTACAGCACACAATGACATAGCTTCTCATGTGGAACAACTGGAACAAAAATTACTGGCGGCGGAAAATAAAATAACTGACCTAGAGGATCGCGCACGCAGGAATAACCTGCGCATTAGAGGGATCCCGGAGGATGTTGTGCCGGAGAACCTGCAGGCATATGTCAGAGGCGTGTTTAACGCTTATGCTCCAGACATACCAACCGACATGTTACTCGTGGACCGAATACACCGTCTGCCTAGACCACGGTTTCTACCAGAAACTGCACCGCGGGATGTACTACTGCGAATGCATTATTATCATATCAAAGAGCTTATACTCAAGTCAAGCAGAAATAAAGCGACACCACTAGAAGGTTACCCAAATCTGCTGATTTTTGCAGATCTATCGGCGTCTACTCTTCGCAGAAGGAAAGAGTTCGCTCAGGTCGCCAACTCCGTGAGGGCTCATGGCCTCAGATTCCGATGGGGCTTCCCTACCAAAATGTTGGTGACGAAAGATAACACCACCCAGGTTATCACATCACCTGAAGATGGACTCCGTAAACTACAATCCTGGGGATTTATGCACCAAAGACCGGAACCCCACACCCCACCTGCCAGGCGCATCCCACTGGACTGGCACAAAGCATGAACTGCTGGACATACGCAAGTATAAATCTGCTTATGCCTAGGCGCTTGCAATGGACTCGAGGGCTGGGAAAAATATCCCAAGGTCTATATATACTAAACAAAAAAAAAAAACAAAAAAAAAAATGTTCAGGTTAACACGGATTGGTTATAACAAGTTAAATTACCTAGCTCCTTAAGGTTACTTAAGCTGGCAAGCAATACCTCCCCATCATTTAATGGAAGTATGGGGCTGAACAGATCCCCCCTAGCAACCTGTAGCTTACGGGAGAGGCGATGAGTTGCAGAGGACACACACATTCTCTCCGTGTGCCTCATCAAGAGCATAATGTGAGGGCAACACTGTTACACTGCTTAGTGAAAAAAAAAAAACACAAGCATTGCTTATAATCAATAGATACTCATTACCTCAACGAGCTCTCCCAGCTACTAGGGAGTAAGATGCTGCCCTACTGGATGCACTTACCAGCTGCTGATTATGATGAATATAAGTGTATATATATATATGTATTTACTAATATGCCGGACAAAAATCTCTCCTAGTCCCATTACCATTTATCCCTCTTCTCAATATAATTGTACACACACCAAGAGCCTATACGATTCTTAGTACTTACTGCATAGGTGGCCCGGTGCGACCGACCGTCTCCAAAGGTTAAGAGACAGCGGAAGACCCATAGCCATGACACGGAAACATGCTAGTTTCCACCCCCACGGTACTTACCACCAGTACCAAGACACATTTATGTATATACTTTGTTTTTGTTTCTACCCGGTTTACACCTCCCCAAGTTTTTGACCCTAGTCCCGCAAAGAGAAGAAAGTCCAAGCCACTACCCATACCAGCTAAGATCACTATTACCCACACAGGGGCACTCTTGCCTGATATATGCACAAATAACAAACACACCCGACTAGAAAATACAATCAGAAGTAAATTAAAAACTCAGCGTCCAACCCATATAATAGTACACTATGAAAATATACTCACATAACGTACGGGGACTGAACACCCCTCATAAACGCAGAGTTCTGTTAGAGGAAACTAAGAGGGCTAAAGTAGATATTATGTGCCTTCAGGAAACGCACTTTGTGCGGGGGAGAATGGCAGAATTTGGGAAACAAGACTATCCAACGCAGTATCATACGACCTATTCTTCCAAAACAAGGGGAGTGTCCTTTTTGTTTCACAAATCGCTTACCTTTGAACTGCTAAATATTAAAACAGACGCACAAGGTCGGTACTTAATACTCCACTGTCAAATCAACAGAGCCATATATACCTTAGTAGGCATATACAACCCTAACTCTAACCAGCGCAATTTTTTGCATAAAGTGCTGAGCAAATTACCCCATGAGCACAGAGCCGGCATCATAATATGTGGCGACATGAATCATATTCTCCAACCGACTATAGACACGACAGTGTCGCCTAATATAGATCCTTAATACCACAATGCAAAGCCATCACCAAGCTCTTACTTGACCACAATTTATATGACATATGGCGAACAAATCACCCGAGTGACAAAAGTTACACTTTCCACTCCAAGGTGCACGGAACCCACTCCAGAATAGACGTCATATTGGCGTCACGAGATTTGGTGCCCTCCACAACACAGAGTAGCATAGGGGACATAGTGTGGTCGGACCACGCTCCGGTAACCCTCATAACCCAGGATGCTTACAAGCACAGAGGGAAAGCCCCGTGGCGATTAAATGACACCCTCCTATACAACGACACCTTTCAAAAGGAATTGGGGACTGAGATAGATAGATATTTCCAACTTAACAACCAACCTGACACATCACCTACTACATCTTGGCAGGCACATAAGGCAGTGATTAGAGGCCAGCTCATTAGCAGAGCGTCCTTCCTAAACAGGACCTCTCAACAGGCGCGCCTCACACTACTGACCAAACTGCGTGACCTAAAAGCAGCCCAGTTGCTACACCCCACCCCCGACCTCGACATTGAAATAGAACAAACTACAAATCAATTAAATGATCTCCTACTTCAAAAAACAGCGCGCACTCTACAAACACTCAAACTGAAGCATTACACCCAGGGAAACAGAGCGGGGAAAAAATTAGCATCTTTACTGAGGCATCACCAAGCCCACGCCAAAATACCATATTTACTCACTAGCACAGGAGAGAAAATATACAACCCCATAGACATTAATGAAGAAACAGCAGCCTACTACCAAAACCTGTACAACCTAACAAAAGATCCCCAAACACATCAGCCAACACAAGTGGAAATGGATAACTTCCTCTCGCAGATAAAATTGCCAAAATTAACACAACAACAGCAGGACTCCCTGATAGAACCGATCACACTGACAGAGTTACAGCAAACGATTCGCTCACTCCCTTCGGGGAAGTCACCAGGGCCAGATGGCTTCACGAACACTTACTACAAAGTTTTTTCGAACATCCTGAGCCCCTACCTAGTACACACACTGAATCATATTGTACACACAGGGAAGATGCCAGTGGAAATGCTATTAGCACACATAGCCACGCTACCAAAGCCAGGGAAACCACCCACGCAACCTAAAAATTTAAGACCTATTTCACTGTTAAACACAGATACGAAACTATTAGCCAAAATATACGCCAATCGGGTAGCGGCCATAATCCCCTTTATTACACACCCGGACCAAGTGGGATTTGTAAGGGGGCGACAGGGGTCTGACGGGACTAGGAAGCTCCACAGCCTCCTCTATAATGGGACGCCTCTTGGAGAGCCCAGGGTCTTTATGTCCCTGGACGCCGAGAAGGCGTTCGACAGACTACACTGGAACTTCCTGAGAACTGTCCTACAAAAATTTGCATTCCCACAACAATTTCTATCCCTACTCTTAGCACTATACTCCAAGCCATCAGCACAGGTGGCGAACGGTGGGTTCGTATCCAAGCCGTTCCTTATCACAAATGGAACACGGCAAGGATGCCCGCTCTCCCCGGCCTTATACATCCTTGCGTTAGAGCCATTAGCCCAGGCAATACGGGATAACAACCAAATCAGAGGTGTGGAAATTAAAAATAAAACATACAAAATAACGATGTTTGCAGATGACGTAATGCTCTCCCTGTCTGACCCACTCACCTCTATCTCAGAACTCCAGAATCTGCTGCAACAGTACAGCAATTGCTCATATTACAAATTAAACAGTTCTAAAACGCAAGCAATGAGTCTGCATGCACCTGCATTGCTGTATACAGCCTTGCAACAGAAATACCATTATGAATGGAGACAAGACCACCTAACTTTCTTGGGTATAAAATTCACGAGACTAGAAAGGAACTTACATCGGGAAAATTACGGCAAACTCCTCACATCCATAAAACAGCAGCTAACGAATTGGAAAGGGAAATACATATCATGGATAGGTAGAATAGCAGCAGTCAAAATGAAAATTCTCCCGAGACTGCAATACATGTTCCGTACGTTACAGATTAGGCTCTCAAAACCATTCCTACACGACGCACAAAAATTGATTAACACCTTTGTCTGGTCCCATAAGAAACCCAGAATAGCGGCAAAAATCATGTACCTCACATATAAAGGAGGGGGAATGGGATTACCACACATAGCCACGTACTACAGATCAGCTATACTCGCACCGTTGGTCAACGAACTACACCAACATGACAAACCATCCCCTTGGGTAACGGTAGAGGCTGACCTAACTGGGGGGCAAAAAATAACGCACCTAGCCTGGACACCGCCACAACTTAGAAAAAAATATAAAGATATGTCACCACTCACAGCTACAACATTACGAGAATGGGACAGATTTAATAAGGAACAAGGTTTTGATGGGGGGCTCTCACCAGCCTTCCTCCTAGATTCATTTTATGGACTGATACCTTCATTGAACATAACGTCCTGGAGCAATAGAGGTCTAATATACTTGCATCAGTTGTTTGATCAGGGAGAGATCATCCCCTTCAACCGACTGCAAAATAAATACCAATTACCCAATGCAGCAGCATTTGCGCACAGACAGATAAGCTCATGGCTGCAGACAAATAGAAAAGTACTGCCTGCAGCAAACAGGTGGAACACTTTCAATGCATTAGAAAGTCTCTGCACACAGACGAAGAGGCCACTCAAGCTAATCTCTATACTGTACAATCGCCATTATAGTGTACCAGACCCGCATACACTACAGTTTGTTAAAGCATGGGAAGTTGAACTAGGAAAACAGTTAACAAAAGAGCAGTGGTCATATATATTGTGTGAGAATAAAAAACTTACACTTAGCACAACCCATCTGGAACTAGCCAGGAAATTATTATATCGCTGGTACTTAGTACCAACCCGACTGAAACATATGATACCTAAGAATACAGGACTGTGCTGGAGATGCAATAAAGCTCAAGGTTCCATGCTACACATTTGGTGGGAATGCCCAATCCTGACACCATTGTGGACGGAAACACAGACCCTAATTAAAAACATTACAGGTGTAGCTCTCGCACACCCCCCCGAACATTACCTCCTACAGTATATACCACCACGCCATACAAAATCATCCCGATACTTAATATATCACATTATCTCGGCAGTTCTGTTGCATATCAGCAAACACTGGCAAAAGCAGACGATCCCCAACATACAGAGCTGCATAACCCACATTGAAACCATAAAGAAGTATGAGATAATGGCCAGGTCCAACAATCCCCCCAAAAAATTTTGGAAGGAGGCGTGGGAAAAATGGGACACACGCCAACAGATGCAGTGACAACTTAAACACTCTAAACACCTTTATGTGGTAGCTCACAAGTCAATGCTTTAAGGAAAGAGCACTAAGCAAACCTTCCTAAACCTTCTTTAACATCACTCTTGACCATATGGAAGCCTGCACACACTACCCTCTCCTACTTAAGCTAGTTGCGTACACCGGTGCAATTTATTAAGGCCAACGAACAGGCCTAAAAGCTGGACTAAGCTAAGGGACCAATACCTGCCCCCCTCCCCTCCTCTACCCCTCTTTTTTTTTATACCCAGGTTATGCCCCAAGTTTATATTCCCCTGTTCACTGGAATAGTAGCTAGGTGTCAGGGAAGATACGGGTTACTTTTACAACTGAGCAATAACCGACACTGGTACAGCGAAGAGAAAACTCCTACCATCACGACTAATGGTCAAGAAGGAGAGCTACACAATTATGGGCACGACAGCAATGCCAGGATACTCTGTTTAATGACAATTTGTTTAACGATGTACCTATTATACCACTATTATATGTATGCTTCAAACTGGCTCTCATCAAGGCACAGATATGATAGCTCATTGTCAATACATGTTGCTCAAAAGTTGTACTCTCTATGTTGTACTCATGAATGTAACTCGCATACCGTGTATACCTGTAATACGACTGTGAAATCTTATAAAATGCAAATAAAAAATAAAAAAAATTAAAAAAAAAGCACATTAGGCTGGATAATGGTTAAATGAAAAGGGGCCACTGATTGCGTAGCATTTCTGAAAAGTCATATAGTAGTACCCTGTAAAGATGGACATAGACCAAAAGATGCACACAAATAAAAGTTGGCTGAGAACTTACTAAAAGCGTAGGTCCTGAGACATGATGTGTATAATATAATGCAAGATATGACTAGGTATGCATATGTGTGCCTTGCATTTTGATAAGAAGATGGCACAGCCAATCATTAGAAAAGGCAACAGGGATTAAATTGGTTTTGTATTTACCTGCTGCTTTAAACATAGAAATGTAAATGTCTTTTTCTGTGACAAGTCACTTTTTAGGCTGCAAAAATCTATACTAATTATAACCGCTATTTGGTATGATTATAAAACATCCCAAACCCCTGACACAATTGATATGTTTATAAAATATATTCATCTTTTATTAAAAGTAAGCAGCATATCTTTGGTTTAGAGCATTAGTTCCCAAACTTTTTAGGACAGCCACTAGAGGAGGACTTAACTCTGCAAGGTAATTATTGCAGTTTATAAAAGCTGCAATAATTACACTTGCAGGTTTAAGGATGATGGGAGTTAGCACCCAGACCACTCGAAGTCAAAACAATTTTCTAGGTTGTATGTGTGTGTGTGTGTGTGTATGGTGGAGCAGTGTGTGTGTATGTATGTGTGTGTGTATGTGTGTATATATATATATATATATATATATATATATATATATATATATATATATATATATATATATATATATATATATATAATGGAGTTATTGTGTGGTGTGGGGGTAGGAGGGCAAATTAATAAATTATATACTTTATTTTTTTTAAATTAAAAATAAAAATGATATCCCCCCTCCCTACTTACCTTTGCCTGGGAGGAGGGACATTTCCTGCAATTCCTGGTTGTCCACTGGGGATGCCTTGGTCTCTTATCTTGTGTCTTCCATATCACGAGACCAACTGGACTACTATAAACAGAGAAGAGACCCCATCACCAAAAGCACCTTAAAAGACATCTATTGCCACAGTGCAACTTCTAAATCCTTTTGGACTATTTTCTATATTTTATTTTATTTTGCACTTTTATATAAGTCTTATTTATATGCCTTTTTACTATCCGCAGTCCACATTGATACATTTTGGCACAGCCTTGCATTACTGTTGTGTTAAAACACAGTCTTTCCACTCTGTAATTGCCTTTTCTTTTTACTATAACATTTCCCCCCATCTTGCTTACCTCCTTGGCAGGAAGGGGACAAGGATACATACCCTGGTGGAGTCCATGGTGGTTCAATGGGCTCCTAGAGCTGCCAAAGGATTTCCAGCTGTGATGTGACGCCACCTTCAAGTGGTGCCTAAGGCATGTGCTATGCGTGCCGTACCCCTAGGTACACCACTACTTCTACCTGCTTTGCTGCAGTTGTGGCACATCTTGTTATATAAAAGTAATACTGCATAATAGGAAGAACTTATGGATAATTCTGTATGATGTCAGAAAAACCTGCAACCAATGAGATAAAGTGTTCTTGTTGAATCTGTTAGTTGTCAATGTCTCCCAGGTTAAATTGTTACTCCAAGTACCATGATCATTTCCATGACTTGAAAATGCACTTTACTGCCTGTGTAACTCCACTTGCAGCTTCCTTTCTGAGCCCTGTACAAAAGTTCCAGGCTGACTAATGCTATCAGGTGTTTGTTGTCTGCACATGTAGCATGCTAGCGACAGATGTTTTTTTTTTTTTTTTTATGCTTTCTTCTTTTTCATCACAGCGACTATGCCAGCACCGCAAGGCTTAGTTCAGAAAAACTAACGGAAACAGTTTGTGTAGGCAGAGAGAGACTTTCTGTGCTGTAGTGGTCCTGGTGCACTATAGTGGTTGTGGTGCTTGGATTATTCCTTTTAAGGGGCTAGAAAAAACTATTTTAAATACAATTCTATAATCTGACATATGAAACATTACACAATTAAACATGTTAGTCTCTATTAACATTCTGTAAGAATTTCACACTTTTTAAAATATATTTATTTTATTTTTTATCAACACAAATATTTTCCCTTATTTCAAAGAATAATTGAGAGAATAAGAATAAAAGAGATTACACTAGCCAAAAGTGCTGCAATGTTAAACATTGTAGTTCCAGAGAAACTGCAATGTTTACATTGCAGCTCTGTCTGCCTCCAGTGGCTGTTTATCAGCGACCCACTAGAACAGGGGTTTTCAACGTTAGTCCTCAGGACCCCCTACCAGTCCAGGGTTTAGGGATTACCTGGGTGTGTCTAAGGTGTTTAGAAAAAAAAAAAAAAAAACACCTTAGAGTCTAAGGTGTTTTTTTCCCCCCTTTTTCTAAACACCTTAGACACACCCAGGTAATCCCCAAATCCTGGACTGGTAGGGGGTCCCGAGGACTGGGTTGAGAACCCCTGCACTAGAAGGCTTCCTGAATCAAAACGGATTTTTGGTCGAGTATCTGGCACTAAACATCCTCACGCTCTGCATGAGGACATTCAGCGTCAGATTTTTTATTTGCCGCACATGCACATTAGTGGCCACTCGTCGGAGGGGGCAGAGAGTCACCCCAGCGCCGAGAGACGTCGGTGCTGGGATTAGATAAGTAAATAAAGGGTTTTTAACCCTTTATTTATCAGGGAGGAGGGGAGCGAGGGAAGGGGGAGTGATAGTGCCAGGAATACAGCTTTGTATTTCTGGCACTATAGTATCCCTTTAAGTTAGCTTGTATAGTTTAAATGGACAAGTACATGTAGCTCAATGAGCTATTGATGACTAGGGCATGTCCTATATTTGAGTGTCTTCCCTTCTTTACATTTTATAAATCCCTAGGAATAGAACTATACCATTTTATAAACTGTTTGCATATCATGTAGACCCCAAACTATTTTACCCCAAAACTTCTTTGCCTAGAGAGGAAGAAAACAAAGTAAAATAAATAAAATCGATTTTAGAAAACAAAGTTTGGACTGTGCATCTTTTTGTTTTATTTTTTTTAATTTTAGATCCAAATCTCTTAAATTTGCAGTTGTTTTTACTATATTTATGCATTTAACTAGTTATTTTCTCTTTGCAGTGGATGTACCTCCATGGAGGAAGAAGACGACTGTCCAGAGCTTGTCCCTATAGCTAATATTCAACAAAGTGGTCAGTCTGGGGATAAAATACCAGTCACCATCATCACAGGTTACCTTGGTAAGTAAAATCAAGTATAAAGTGTGTGTATATATATATATATATATTTTTTTTTTTTTTTTCCCTTCATGTTATTATGCCTATTATAATACTGACATGTGGAGGAGAGTTAAAGGAAGACTAGAAGCACCATAACCACTACAAGGGCTATAGTGGGTACAATGCCAGGAGTGCCCTAGCACCACCCCATTGTAAGTAGTCGAACAATTTTTAGAAGGTACACTGCTCCCTGCCCTCACTACTTCCTATGGGGGGCTGGAAGCTATTTTTTAATTTTTTTTTTCTACCCAGAGGTTGTATAGTGTTCGAAATTATATTCCTGTAAATGTATTAATCTATACATTTGCTGGCAGATGACTATAATTATTTATTTTTATGTAAATAACATTGTGTGGCCTTCCATATTATTCTGAAACAAGCACATATTTGTTTATTAAACCCTAGTATACATTAAAAAGACAAAAACAAACATGCTGTAAACGAGACAGTTCTTAATGAATAGGCATGACTACCTATTTGCTTTTGTGTAGCAACTCTGCCCTCTAGTGGAGAAAAGGTGCAGCACTCATAAAAATTACCTCTCTTACCTGTTTATTTTGTCTTCCCCTGACTAGGATGTTATTTATTTATTATTTTAAGTCTTCTTTTCTTTTTTTCCTTTTATTTACATTGAGGGGCCACTTAAGGTGCAGTGGTCCTTTTATGTTTAACCCTTCAAAGTAAAAGATCCCCATTTTGTAGAAATGGTAATATTTACCTTGAAGAGTCAAATACACCTCTAGAGGCTTTCATACTGACAGCCACTAGAGGTGCTTCTGCTGTACTGACCAACTAAAACTCAAATAACATTGCAGTTCTTGGATTCAGTGCTTTCCTATGAGAAGCTCTGCACATATGCATTAGGAACAAAGTACTCCTCTATGAGAAGCATTGAATAGGACCATTGCCAGAGCGGCCATGCCATCTCTGTGATGATGTGGGAGGCAGAAGTGACTAGCACCAAGGGAGTCTTTGTGCTGGAAAAGGAAAGTAAATAGTTTTCTTCATTTTGTTGGAAAAACTGTGTGGATGCAGGTTTATATTCCTAATACTATAGTGTTCCTTTAACCATGTGAAAACTGTTGATGAAGTGTGGGGCACCAACAGGGACTTTCCAGACTGAAGACATACTCCATTCAAAACAACAAGCCTCCTAAGAGCCCCGAACCTGGTCCCTCTCAGATCCCACCATTTTACACCTGCAATATATGCGTCTTGACATAATTGGATGTATACATAAAGACACAAACACACACAAATATCTGTTCCTAACTAAATAGTGTCCCTGTCCCTGCTTGTAGTAAGCCCTCCCACCAGGTACACTAAAATGAAAAAAAAAACAAGCTTTACTTATCTTTTTCATTGAGATGAAGTGGTCTGGGTGACTATAGTGCCTTTTAATATTAAGATCATGGTTGTATGATGTTTCACTATGCTTGTGTCTATGAATACACCATGTATCAAGCTTTAACAAATGAATGAAAAATATTTATATTTATTTTATACTTGATTATATATATATTTTAGGTGCCGGGAAAACAACCCTTTTAAACTATATTTTGACTGAACAACACAACAAGAGGATTGCCGTAATTGTCAATGAATTTGGAGAAGGTACTATCATTTTTTAGGACATTGCTCTGCACTAATTTAGTAATCCATAAATAAGAATCAGATAAGAACAAGCATTTTTTTTGCACCTAACAAGTGTGTAAAAATTAGGCCTTTATACATATATATGGTTACTCCTGTTATGCCTAGCAATTCCTTATAGAAATCAAGAGGATGTACAAGGAAATGAATAGTACACGCAAAACTAAAATCAGATTATAAAAACAAGCATCAGTGTGACTTTATCGTTCATCTGCCAATAACTTCTGTTGCTTTATTTTGAGAAAGCAATGGATATGTGAGGGTTATATGCTGTGTCTGTGGGCACTTGTGCTGTGATCCTGAACTTCCTGACTTGTGTGTTTATACATATATAGTACATAGTCATTTTTTACAATGTTTAGAGTTACGGTCTACAATGTCATGTATTGGACTTGCTGAAGGCACTTGTTAAACGCACTTCAGGGAAACTTCCTGGTATCACTTGTACTTACCAGTGAACTTCACCAGGGTGTGTTTATCTTGTTACAGAGCTCAAATATTTTTTCAGATCTTTAATGTGCATAAACACACAAATCACTGAATAGGTAAAATTCTCCCAGTTAGTTATGGATTTAGTGTGTCTATTTTGGCCTCAAATTGAAAATCCCCTTTGAATTCCCAGTAATTCAAAGTGAATAGCTGTGCCAAAATAAATGGCTTTTCCCAGTCCTGCAATGCAAAGTTTACAGATTTATGGAAATGCTTTGGATTACCCTATTGGTGCTTTGTTGTCAAAACAGAACATTCAATAACAACCCCAAAACACGAAGTGTTACTTTTCGCTCTTTCCTACACCTAGCTGTTTAACATGGGGTGTACTCCCCTCTGTCTGGGAATACTAGGTCTTTTCTGCAATTTGTAGGTTGGAAAAACAGAAGTTAGGATTTCTGCTGTGGTGATATTGTAGATATTTATCAAAGCTATTTACTAAAGTGTGAATTGTCAAGCATTCAGAGTGAATTCAAAGTATATTTCAAATTTAAGGCCAGATTTACCAACCTGGAAACATAATGTACTTCCCTTTTTACTAATTGTAATCGCTTTATTAATATAACAAATCTTTTTTGATAATTTTAGTATTCTGTGAATCTGTTTGAATTCTTTGATTTAAGTGCAGATCACGTTTAGAGTTGGGAAATGCTTTTTGTATCCATTACACATTGGATTAAAATAGTTGGCATGATAAAAAGATAATGAACGCCCTCTTTTGTGCCTCACAGGAAGTGCTGTGGAGAAGTCTTTATCAATCAGTCAATCTGGTGAGCTGTATGAAGAATGGCTGGAACTGAGGAATGGCTGCCTATGCTGCTCAGTAAAGTAAGGGACCTGCCACCTGTCCTTGCTCCTCAAATCTCCCGCTGCAAAACTGGGGTGTCAGTTCACATTTGGGAAAACACTCATATTGCTCTGATTTACAGTGTTGCTGTATCACCTTTGTCCCCACCATGACAGCATTCCTTAAAATGTATGGCTAATGCTCCAGACAACTGTAGCAAGAAGCATAGATACTATCGACATTCAGGCTTGGTGTCGTTAGTTACATGACTTGAACACCTTAATTCTATCACAATATAAAAATAAAAAAAGTATCAATATCATATTGGGGGTAAAAGCCTGCTGTAGTGATGAGGGTGCAATCAGTTCCTTGGTACCATTCCAGGTTATCCATGTTTTCAAAGTGTATGACACTTAACTGGGTTTTACTCGCCTTTTTTCCAGTCTCCATTTTTGCTATATTTAAATGCGGGAGTTCCTTTTCTGCAAAAGATACATCCATTATGTCCACTGGCTTTCAGACAATGCTTTCCGTCCACATGCATGTAATGCTAAAAAAAGGGCATGTCCGTATTAATGCTGTCAGAAAATGGGACTACACTGAAGAGCTCAGGGGATCCAACAAAGGCCTTGATATGAAATAGTTTAATATTTTTAGATAAACTTTTAAAATTATTTAATATTTTGAAAAATATTGTAATATATTGAAATTTTTATTATATTGATTTTTATATATATATATTGAAAAAGGCTTGCAGTCACTGTCTTTTTTTCTTTTAAAAGGTTCCTTTATTTCATTCCTTTAAAATACGATCGACGTTTCAGCCAACATCCATGGCTTTCATTAGGATCAATACAGCACCAATATACATTATAACTAACAGGCTTATATAGCTAAACAAACTAATAAATCACTCACCACCTGTATTGCTATCACTCCTCCTCTGCATCTCTCAATTGCATCTGCACATGCGCAAGCATGCCGCTACCTGGAAGTAGCATACTGACGTAACCATTCGTTGCCAGGGTTACCCGATGCTCATCCAGGCTCCCTGGCAACCTGATAAACAAAGTCAGTCTGTGCGCCGGTCATTTAACTTACATGCAGCCACACAAATCAAACATACCTAATCATGAGGACATTTAAAACTTTAAAAACACAACCATTGCTATTAACTAAGTAGAGGTCTTTCCTGTTCAAGATTCTTCCTTGTTTCATGATTTCAGACCAAAACTCAAAAACCTGTAGCAGATATACATATTTCCAAGTCATTCTAAAAACTTATTCTGCCGATGTCTTTTTAGCCATATTTAAAGTGACATTTCCATTTCTTGCACTTAAATGCTATACTGTGTATTTTATTGTAAAGTGACTTTGTGTTTCTTATGTACAATAAAGTGCAAAGTGACTCCCATTCTATATTTACATAAGTACAGTAAAAGTACTGTTTTTTTCTTAAAGTGATGCTCTTGCTTTTATATACATTAAAGTGCTGAAAAGTGATTTGTGTGTACAATAAAGTGCTTTTTTATCTCTTAAAGTGACACCATTGCTTATTATTTATATATACATTAAAGTGCTTTACTATATTTTTAAAGTGACCCGTTTACTGTTATATACATGAAAGTGCTAAAACTGTTGTATCTACCCTTATTAATTGTTCTATTCATACTTAATTTAGCTATCTTCCTCTTTGTATATCCATGCTAGAATATTTTTAAAGTGAAACGGGTGCACTTATTTACATTAAAGTGCTAAGTAGTGAATTATGTTTCTATATACATTAAAGTGCATAAAATGATATGTCTCTATACATAATACATAATATGTACTTGGATTAAACTGTTATTACTACATGCAGTACCATTCTCCATAGGTCCATATATATATATCCTAATCTATTCTCCAACACTAGCGTTATGATATAGATATAAATCATACTCAAAGTATAACCCTCCTCTAAGTCTAGTAACAGTGTTTCTAATAAAATTATCTATAACTCTGAGGGGCCAGTTCATTCCCGTGAAGATTCTCATATAAATGGATGGTATATCATTTCATTTAGTCCTCTGGGTGCAACTGTACCCAATTCCTACATCCAAAATTTTTCTCGTCTCAATAATGCATTGCCTCTATCTCCTCCCCTTGTGGATCGTGGTACACAATCTATTGCGACAAATTTTAACGTTGTCAGAGGGTGTTTGTACTCTAAGAAATGTTTTGCCACCGGTTTATCCGTATGTCCATCTCTATACGCCGTCCTTATATTAGATCTATGCCCCCTGATCTGGTCACATAGTTGTCTCGTTTTTCCCTATATAGACTAAACCACAAGAGCATGATATTTTGTAAATAACAAAGGTTGTTCTGCATGTGATGGTGTATCGTATATTATAGATCTTATTTTTGTGTGGGTGATTGAAATTTTGTGATGGAACCATGTGGCCACACATTACACACCCCCTCACTTGTGTTTTCTTTTGTTCAAAATAACTCTCTTCCGGATCAGTTCTCATTAATATATCCTTCAGATTCCTATTCCTTAGATAACAAATCCTCGGTGGTTCTTTAAATTCCATTGGTAAACTATCATCCTATGCTAACATATTCAAATTACTCTTCACGATATAGGATATTCCCTGTGATTTGTTATGAAATGTCATGGGAAACTATTTTCAATACAACACCATGCACGGAAATATCAGAAACGCCTTCTGTTGTTGTCCACAGATGCAGAGAAAGCATTCGACCGGGTCAACTGGGAATACATGTTCCGAACACTACGGTGGATGGGCTTCGGGCAGAGAGTTATGGCTTGGATTACAGCTCTGTATAGCACACCGAAAGCAGCAGTCCGCGTTAATGGGGGGCTTACTACAAGCTTTGGAATTGCAAATGGGACCAGACAGGGATGTCCCCTGTCCCCACTCCTATTTGCACTCTCCCTGGAGCCGTTCCTACAAGCTATACGAGACAACCACGACATCCGGGGCTACCTGTGTCAAGACGTAGAACACAAGGTGGCCGCGTATGCGGATGATCTTCTATTTTTTGTTTCCCAGCCCCGAACCACACTGCCATGTTTACTATCCGAGATAGACAGGTTTGGTCGACTATCAGGGTTTAAACTCAACTTGGCGAAATGTGAAACATTGAACGTCACCATACCCGCGGAGGAATATAACACCCTTAGCCTACTTTTTCCGTTTCGTTGGTGTACAGGGGCTATGAAATATCTCGGCATCTGGATCCCCATGAATCCCCAAGACATCTACCAACGTAACTTCGTGACACTATTACGAACCATTGAAACAGACTTGGCTCGGTGGTCCTACCCACACATCACCTGGCACGGCCGCATTGCGGTCCTTAAAATGAATATCCTCCCTAGGGTCCTCTACCTGTTTCAGACTATACCAACAGCCCTACCGACCTCATTCTTCTCGACACTGAAATCAGCAGTCATAAAATATGTTTGGAGGGGGGACCGCTCCAGGCTGCGACACGACATACTCTGTATGCCTCGACATAGGGGTGGTCTGGCTTTACCAGATTTTAGGAAATACCATCAAGCGGCGACATTACAACGAATCCTTGAGTGGCATGAACTGGACACTACCAAACAATGGGTTGCACTGGACCGAGAGGGAGAAGCGGCAAAATTAAAAGCGATGGTATGGATGCGACGAACAACCAGAGGCAGTAGAAGGAACGAGGAAGGACCCGTAGCACAGACGCTACTTTCCTGGGAAAACGTTAGGGAGCTGCCACAAGTTTCCCCATCCCCCTGCCCCCTACTTCCGATCCCGCACAACCCTAATATCGGGGGCGGAACGCCAACTGAAGCCTGGACATTCCTAGGCGACACAGACTATATACCGATATGCAAGGTCACACAGGACGGCAACCTGAAGACTTTAGACGCGCTTCTGGAGGCGCGACCACGATCTCCAATGGCGACCTTTAGGTACATGCAACTACAACACTACTACAACTCCCTCCCACACCGGGAAAAATTACATAGAGACCTGACGTGGTTTGAAGCCCTATGTCACCGAGGCGCATCACTTGGAAAAGCCATCTCGCTCCTTTACCAACACTTACTCATCAACCCGACCTCCGAAAATGACACTTTCAAACACCGCTGGGAACGAGCCATGGACACAACATTTACTACCGCGCAATGGGACAAAGCCTTGATTTGGCAACATAAGAGCTCCTCTAGCTCCCGATATCAGGAGGTGAACTATAAGATACTTTCCATGTGGTATAGAACCCCAGTACTGCTCCACCAAATATTCCCCGATGCCACTCCAACGTGCTGGAGATGCCAGGACGAGAGGGGGACTCTCCTACACATATGGTGGGAGTGCACACATATCGTCCCATTCTGGGACCAAATCAAAACCGACATTCAACAGATTCTGGGGAATGACGTGGCTTGGTCAAAGGAATTACTTTTATTACACATCTCACAGCACTCACTATCCGCATATAAAAAATCCATCTTACGTCATCTACTGAACGCTGCAAAAGCACTCATACCCGTATACTGGAAGAAATTAGACATCCCCACTCGGGAGGAATGGATCCACAGAGTGGAAGACATCAGAGCAGCCGAAGCCCTGCAGGCTGAACAGACGGGCAGGGGGGTGAGATGCGCGGAGCTTTGGGCTCCGTGGTTCACATTCCGCGCGCAGCGATAGGGGGGTGCTGGTGGGGAGCCGGGGCTGACCGAAAACACGGGTCCCGTGGCCTGCTTTCACACAAGACGCATCCAACATTGTCCCCTTATGGGTAACAAGCACTGACGACATGTCCCATGTCCCCTCCATGCGAACGGGGAAGATGAAGGGACACAACTCGACAAGACAAACAGACGACCCCACAGACGCGCATGAGACACATTCACGAACAGGAATGACTCCCACGACTGAATGGGATACCACTGCTTGTACCTATAAAGGGGGGAAGAGGAACACCATGCTTACACATTGGTCCCTAGGATCGTATGTCATACCACCCCCGCAGATTAAAAGTGATAGGGCCGACAGAAACCGACATTTACAACACAAAAAAAAATAAAAAAATTTGAAGGACAACTGACGAACACTCCACAGCCCGAACCAGAACTTACCTTGACCCGAAACAATATAACTCAAGAGGTTAACCATGACACCGGAAGGACATATGACGGGAACAGAACTGGTAAACCGGTATCTAGTCTATGAACGTGTACGGCGGCAGGAGGATTCCACACCCCCCTCCCCACACATGCTCCCACACGCGTTACCCCCTTACCCCCCTCCCGGACTTCTCATACCCACCCACCCCACCCACATAGGGCACCCAGGCCCTCACAACTAAAAATCCCCCATGCAACGCTGTTGAGTTGGGCCTGCGTGCCCATAATATGCTCCACTGGCTTGATAAAACTCTAAATAAACAGATTAACAAAAAAAAAAAGAAATGTCATGGGAAAGACCAATTTTGGGTTTGTAGTAGTGTCTTGCGTCGTGGTCGCCTTTTTCTTTGCTTCCTCCAATGCTCCATTTAAGACTCTTTCACTATACCCTTATAGTATTATAAAATACTTCCATTTTATAGATGACATCTTGATAATATGGGGTAGTACCACAGTACAGGCTCATGAAATGGTGGAATACATTAACCAACTACCGACACCGGTACGGATGACCACCAACGTAAGCACAGAGAAAGTTAAATTCTTGGACGTGGAATTATCAGTGGAAGAACATAAAGTTGTCTATAGCCTCTACTCCAAGCCCACGGACAGGAACACAATACTACACTACACCAGCGCCCACCCAACCAGTTTGAAAAATTCCATGCCTCGAGCACAATTCCTCAGGGTTATGAGAAATAATTCAAAAGAAATAGTGAAACAGCAACAAATACTTGAAATGAAGATGAAATTTCTGGAAAGAGGGTATAGTGAAAGAGTCTTAAATAGAGCGTTGGAGGGAGCAAAGAAAAAAGCGACCACGCCGCAAGACACTACTACAAACCCAAAATTGGTCTTTCCCATGACAAAACAAATCACAGAGAATATCCAATATCGTGAAGAGTAATTGGAATATGTTAGCATGGGATGATAGTTTACCAATGGAATTTAAAGAACCACCGAGGATTTGTTATCAGAGGAATAGGAATCTGAAGGATATATTAATGAGAACTGATCCGGAAGAGAGTTATACTGAACAAAAGAAAACACAAGTGAGGGGGTGTGTACGCTGCTTAGGGTGCGTATGTGTGGCCACATGGTTCCATCACGAAATTTCAATCACCCACACAAAAATAAGATCTATAATATACGATACACCATCACATGCAGAACAACCTTTGTTATTTTCAAAATATCATGCCCTTGTGGTTTAGTCTACATAGGGAAAACCGAGACACAACCATGTGACCGGATCAGGGAGCATACATCTAATATAAGGACGGCGTATAGAGATGGACATACGGATAAACCGGTGGCGAAACATTTCTTAGAGTACAAACACCCTCTGGCAACGTTAAAATTTGTCGCAATAGATTGTGTACCACGATCCAGAAGGGGAGGAGATAGAGGCAATGCATTATTGAGACGAGAAACATTTTGGATACAGGAATTGGGTACATTTGCACCCAGAGGACTAAATGAAATGATATCGTACCCTCCATTTAAATGAGAATCTTCACGGGAATGAACTGGCCCCTCAGAGTTATAGATAATTTTATTAGAAACACTGTTACTAGACTTAGAGGAGGGTTATACTTTGAGTATAATATGATTTATATCTATATCATAACGCTAGTGTTGGAGAATAGATTAGGATATATATATATGGACCTATGGAGAATGGTACTACATGTAGTAATAACAGTTTAATCCAAGTACATATTATGTATTATGTATAGAGACATATAATTTTATGCACTTTAATGTATATAGAAACATAATTCACTACTTAGCATTTTAATGTAAATAAGAGCACCCGTTTCACTTTAAAAATATTCTAGAATGGATAGACAAAGAGGAAGATAGCTAAATTAAGTATGAATAGAACAATTAATAAGGGTAGATACAACACTTTTAGCACTTTCATGTATATAACAGTAAACGTGTCACTTTAAAAATATAGTAAAGCACTTTAATGTATATATAAATAATAAGCAATGGTGTCACTTTAAGAGATAAAAAAGCACTTTATTGTACACACAAATCACTTTTCAGCACTTTAATGTATATAAAAGCAAGAGCATCACTTTAAGAAAAAAACAGTACTTTTACTGTACTTATGTATATATAGAATGGGAGTCACTTTGCACTTTATTGCTTTATTGTACATAAGAAACACAAAGTCACTTTACAATAAAATACGCAAGAAATGGAAATGTCACTTTAAATATGGCTGAAAAGACATCGGCAGAATAAGTTTTTAGAATGACTTGGAAATATGTATATCTGCTATAGGTTTTTGAGTTTTGGTCTGAAATCATGAAACAAGGAAGAATCTTGAACAGGAAAGACCTCTAATTAGTTAATAGCAATGGTTGTGTTTTTAAAGTTTTAAATGTCCTCATGATTAGGTATGTTTGATTTGTGTGGCTGCATGTAAGTTAAATGACCGGCGCACAGACTGACTTTGTTTATCAGGTTGCCAGGGAGCCTGGATGAGCATCGGGTAACCCTGGCAACGAATGGTTACGTCAGTATGCTACTTCCGGGTAGCGGCATGCTTGCGCATGTGCAGATGCAATTGAGAGATGCAGAGGAGGAGTGATAGCAATACAGGTGGTGAGTGATTTATTAGTTTGTTTAGCTATATAAGCCTGTTAGTTATAATGTATATTGGTACTGTATTGATCCAGATGAAAGCCACGGATGTTGGCTGAAATGTCGATCGTATTTTAAAGGAATGAAATAAAGGAACCTTTTAAAAGAAAAAAGACAGTGAGTGCAAGCCTTTTTCAATACTTATATGTTAATCTATGGCATTGGCTAAAGTGCACCCGGCATTTTGAAAGTTAAAGTATGTGTGCAAGGACACAGAGAAACAATATAAATATATATATATATATGTGTCTTTTTTTATACTTTAATTTTTTGAAAAAAATAATTTGAAAAGTGAATCTAAAATATTAAATTGAAGCTTAAATATCAAATATAATAACACAGGTGACTGCTTACCAGGTGAGGTTGCCAGGGAACTCCTAGCAGGAAAGCTAGTACAGTGGGATGTAATGATTGCCCTTTTAAAACTCACAGGGACTTTTCTCAGTGTTGTAAACCTGTTTTTATTTTTTACTCTCAAGTGCATAGCACTATACAATTGATTTGGCACAAAACCTATTTTAAGTATATTTATTAATTGGCATTTGACTTATAAAAATGCCTACCTGTTATCCCAGAACATCAAAGGGGGCTGCTACCTTATCTCATGTTTCTATTTGTTGCAGGGATAAGGGCTTGAAAGCCATTGAGAATTTAATGCAGAAGAAAGGAAAGTTTGACTATATATTGCTGGAAACTTCAGGCCTAGCTGATCCAGGTAAAATTCTGCTACTTCTAAATCACTACTGTTTATTTTTCTACTGCTTTTTACACTGTTAAGCATCATCTTCATATTAATACACTTCTTAAAGGGTTACTTCAACCACCACGATCGCTACAGTCATATGCAGTGTTTGCTTGAAACACTGCTCGTACAGAGTTATTTGCACACGTGGCATTAGCAGGCTGGAACTCCAAATTGTTCCAGACTGCCAAATGTCAATTCTGTGCATAAAATACCTCTGGCTCTGCCTTCAAGGGAAAGCGTTTTTCTCCCCTCCTTCTTGTCCCTCCCTTAGCTGAGTCCTATCTGCCTACCAATAAAATAAATCATATCTATGAGAAGCCGGTGATTGGACCGCACAAGTCTCTGACTGATGTCAGGACGGGGTGTGGAAGACTGCTCCGGGAGCTTCTCCTTCAACTGGATTCCAGGTGCGTTAAAAAAACTTTTTTCTTTGCTCAATAGAGGAATGGAACCTTCTTTGTGTCCGTGTTCTGTGTGAAATGTCAATATGCATTCAGACTTGTGTGTTCTGTAGGTTTATTCTTATTACAATTACTAATATATAATAAAATAACAAAGGTTGGTGCAGGATGATGAATATTTAACAGCAGTATTACACCCCTGTTTTGGGAAATGGTACATCCAGCAGGTTTTCCAAGTACATGCTTTGCTATCATAATTTAATATGCACTCTTTTTTACATATAAGTAAAGTCAAAATCTACATCTTGCCATATCATAAATGTATTTCTCACATTTGTCTCTAACGCAGGGAACCATCAGAACACTTGTTTGTGTAACAATTATGTCCTGCCAAGACACTTTTCCTAATCTCCTAAACAAAAGCTTTGCTCTCTTATATTCCAAATGAATTTTGAAGCTCTGTTGATATCGTTCAATAATTTAGTAAACGGGCTTTAGTAGATATTTTTTAGGGGAATTATTTATACACGGTAAGTAATGACAGATGTACTTGCACACTCCTCAGGCACAGAATTTTTTTTTCTTTTCTGTTTTTCTTTTTTTTTTTTAATTTTTTTTATTAATATGCAGACTTTTTTATTGTGAACATTTGGCTCCCCTGTAACCAAGGTTTCGATATTTGTGTGCCATTAAACTATTAGTGTTTTATTGGTTTTTCAGTGATGTATCAATTCTTATGGATGATGTACAATTGTGTGTGACCTTGTACTCTGATAAATGCAAAGTACTAATTAAACTTTTGCTGTTAGAGTTTTTTTTTTTTTTCACACAGTACTTTTTGCAAGTTAACTGCAACAAATGTAAGGACCACATTTTTGGATTTGACATTGCTACATAGTAATCCAAGTTGGAAAAAAAGACAATCCTTTAAATACCTTTTTTCAGGAGACCCATTCATATGACTTGCCTGAATTTCTTCTAATAATATCCTTAATTAACACACAATTTAATCCCTGCGCTCAAGCCTCCACTAGTCCTGGGCGGCAGTGTGTCTCTCTGCATCGTTAGAAATTTTGTCTTTTAGCTGAAAGTATTAAAGGGGCACTATAGTCATCAGAGCAACTACAACTTACTAAATTTGTTCTGGTGAGTAGAATCAATACCTTCAGGCTTTTTGCTGTAAACACTGTCTTTTCAGAGAAAATGCAGTGTTTACATTACAGCCTAGTGATAACTTCACTGACCACTCCTCAGATAGCTGTTAGAGATCCTTCCTGGGTCATGGCTGCCTAAAATGCATCCAAACATTCAGTGTCTCCTCCCTCTGCATGCAGACACTGAACTTTCCTCATAGATTCATTGATTCAATTCATCTCTGTAAGGAGATGCTGATTGGCCAGGGCTGTGCTTGAATTGTGCTGGCTCTGCCCCTGATCTGCCTCCTTCTCAGTCTCAGCCAATCCTATGGGGAAGCATTGTGATTTGATCAGGCCACCACTTCTGATGATGTCAGCAGACTGTTTCTTTTTTATTTTATTTTTTTATTCAAACAGCATGCAGAGTTACAGCTTCTGGCTTGAATACAGTAAGATTTTGCTTTATTGATGGAGGCATGAGGGGCACAGAGCGGCCAGATGGTGGTTTTAACACTTTACAGCCTAGTGTTAACTCCACTGGCCACTCCTCAGCTGGCTGCTAGTGGTGCGTCTTGGAGCAGTGCTGCATAGTGAGCAGCCCTGCCATTCAGTGTCTCCACCCTCTGCATGCAGACACTGAACTTTCCTCATAGAGGTGCATTGATCCAATTCGTCATTATGAGGATATGCTGATTGGCCAGGGCTGTGTTTGACTTGTGCTTGCTATGCCCCTAATTTGCCTCCTTGAGAGTCTCAGCCAATCCTATGAGGAAGCATTGTGCTTGGCTCAGACCACCATTTCTGATGATGTCGGCAGACAGGGGCAGAGCCAGGAGCTGCAGACTTTAATACATGTAAGATTTGACTATTTTTATGGTTGCAAGGGGGACTAGATGGTGGTTGTAACACTATTAGGTCAGGAATACATGTTTGTGTTCCTGACCCTATAGTGATCCTTTAAGGTGAATTGTTCATGTAGGACTCATTTAAGAGGTTTGACTTGACGTGGAGTTTACACTTGGTCATTGGAGTGGTACTAAAAATCCCTAGTTATTTTAAATGTGTGTAGAGATTTGGGATAGTGTGCAGGTATCTCTTTTTGTGATTTTCATTTCCTTAATTAAGTTTATTTTACAAATAAAAAATATATTACACCATCTTGGTATTGGTAAGCTACATGTTTTTGAAAGCATTTAATTCTGTTTTGTTTGTCTTAAATGTTTAAACAGAAGCTTTACTGGATGTGAATATTTTTTTTAATAGTTTGTCTTGTGCCCAATACATTTTACTTTGTTTGTTGGTTGTCATATTTTTAACATTGTCCTTAACATGGTATGTATACCTTTTTATAGTGTATGATACAATGGAGCCAAACACTCAAGGAAATGCAGTTGTCCGTTTTGGATACTTTTTATGTTACAGACGATTAGCCCAGTGCATGTTACATGTTCTGTAACCATGTAATGCAATGATGACTGTAACACTAAAATAATTGCTTTTTCATTATGTAATACTTGTCTTAAGAATTAAGCAAGCTGTTGTTACAGTATCACCAGGAAAGAGGCATTAATGACAATCCAGTTATTTCCCATTCAGCATCTTGACACACTCTTGTTCAAAGCTCAATAATTGTCAAAGCCAAAGTAATTTCCTTTAAAAGAGAAGACATTGACTCAAAGCCGACATCTTGCAATCCCCATTCCAGCTGAATTAAAAAACGATTAAGCTTTTTGAGAGAGAAATCAATAGGTATCAGAGAGCCATCCACCCAGTGGCCCTTGGTATGGCCTGCTTGAGTAAGCATTGCAGGCAGTTGACATGGATTACTGTGTTGACAAAAACTAATGACAGACAGGCCACATCTGATCATGTTACAAAGAAGGGACTAGACATTTCAGCGAACCTAGCTATCATCCCTTCCCTTCTTCATGCGTTTAGACAGGCTTGTCATGCGTGGACCAATGATGCTTTTGAAAGAAAAAAAGCATCTAGTTTTATGTGCTGTCATTGTTTCCCTCCCTGTCTTGTTGTGGCAGTGAAACATGCTAATTCAGGTCACTCGAACACAAATGGTTCAGTTTTTCTCTTGACGGAAATTTAAACAAGGTATCTGCTGCTATGAGCCTTGAGTGCTGATCTTATTAAATTATGTTTAAAGGTCATCCACTTTGCAAGCTATCTTCCTGAGCTTGGACACATCTTGCGCTTTTGTCAAGTACAATTCATGGCTCGATAGTCGGTAAAGAAAATAGAAAAAAGTATAATTCTGTATTTGTGGTTGCCAGTAACAAATTTACCTTTTAAAAATAGTTGTTTTTTTTTTTTTTACAAGTGGAGCAGTTTGTGCGAATAGAAATAAAATCTGAAATGAATAGTCACAAAAATATACCTTTACTTAAACAGATATGTATTCCAGCAATAATTCACTATTTTACAAATTGTCACTTTTAAATGTTGGGGCTTTTCCAATAGTAAATTAAACAGTATATTTGCTAAGTTTTTGTTTTGTGTTTTAGTTAATTGTTTTGTGAATTCTTTTTTTTTCATTTAGGTGCAGTGGCTTCAATGTTTTGGGTGGATGCAGAGCTGGGCAGTGACATATATTTGGATGGTAAGATGACACCGCAGGTTGTGGCCATTTCATATTGGTGAAATGTAAAATGCACATTTTATGTGGCACAACAAAGCCTTAACCGTTGTATGTGTGCCTCAAAGCAACAAACATATTTTTTTTATTAATGCTCAGATGTTTTCACTTAAAGATATACTATAGTCACCAGAACAACTACAGCTTATTACATTTCTTCTGGTAAGTATTTATTTATTTATAACATATTTTACCAGGATGGATACATTGAGATTTCTCTCGTTTTCAAGTATGTCCTGGTGTATAATCAAGTATAACCATTCCCTCCAGGCCTTTTTGCTGTAAACACTGCATTTTCAGAGAAATGCAGTGTTTACTTTACAGCCTAGTGATAACTCCACTGGCCACTCCTCAGCTGGCTGCTAGTGGTGCGTCTTGGAGCAGTGCTGCCTAGTGAGCAGCCTTGCCATTCAGTGTCTCCACCCTCTGCATGCAGACACTGAACTTTCCTCATAGAGGTGCATTGATCCAATTCATCATTATGAGTATATGCTGATTGGCCAGGGCTGTGTTTGACTTGTGCTTGCTATGCCCCTAATTTGCCTCCTTGAGAGTCTCAGCCAATCCTATGAGGAAGCATTGTGATTGGCTCAGACCACCATTTCTGATGATGTCAACAGACACAGGCAGTTTCAGAGGCAGACAGGTGCAGAGCCAGAAGCTGCAAACTTTAATACATGTAAGATTTGACTATTTTTAGGGATGCAAGGGGGACTAGATGGTGGTTTTAACACTATTGGGTCAGGTATATATTTGTGTTCCTGACCCTATAGTCTTCCTTTAAAGGGCCACGTTGATCAACATAATCACTAGACCTGTGCAAGAATGGAAAATGACCCCAATAGTAGAATAAGGGAGGTTGAAATCCTCTAGATTGAAGAGTCCAGATTAATAGGGACACTCCAAAAGCGTAAAGCACTTTAGCTTGCAGCTGTTTTTTATGTTGGAAGAATGTCTTTTTTATTTTACAAAAAATGCAGATTTCCACAGACATTAGCACTATTGTAAATTAACCTTGTTACACCCCCTAACTGTCAAACAGATAATGGGTCTTATTACTTCCTGGTTGTTTAGTTCAGTGGAGCTAAACTCAATAGGCAGCAGTTGCCAAGAGAATCTGCCTTGCAAAGAATTTGACTCATTGAGCTGCATTGAAAAGTATGTATTTGGCCAGCCACAGAAAGTTTGGGTTGGGTTAGAAAAGGAGGACTTGCTAAAAATTCTGACAAGAGATTTGCAAACTTGTTTTCCTAGCACTATAAACTCAGTGGTGCAAAAGAGGATAAAAAACCCTTTCTGTCACTTACCTTTATTTATCCGCCTTGCACACTGCATGATATTTTATGTCTTTCTGCACCATTGTGGTTATTATGCTAGTACAATTGTTGCTTCAGTGTCATGCTCACTCACCTGTTGGACGACATTCCTGCTCCCAGACTCCACTCCAGCAGTTCCCACGCCGGCTGCTGGGACTCCGTCCCTTTTATGATGTGGCACATGCGCGCCGACATCATGACGCTGCGTACGTGCCAACGTCATACCGCCGATGATGTCACGGCCCGCCAAAATGTCCGAATTTTAGGGGCGTGGCTTTCAATTTAAAGAGCCAACCTATAAAAGGCTGGTTCACACATAGGACTTTGCCTTGTTGTGCTTCTTGTTTGGTTACCAATAGCGCTTCTTTCCTGATTGTTCCTTTTTGGTATCGGCTATCTGACTACTCTCTATTCTCCTGTTCTTGACTCTGCTCTCGTACCTCGACTACTCTATTAACTGGTTCCCTGACTCGACTAGTATACTCGTTTTCGTGATTTCTATATTCCTTGAACCCAGCTTGGTCTTGACCATTCTCTTTCTGTCAAACGTAAAGCCCGGCCACTCTAAGGTCCAGTATAAGTTTTTCTTTTACACCCTGCGTGTTGGGTCCCCTAGGAGTCCTGACATTTAGGTAGTACCGATAGGAGGAAACTGGATAGCAGTGGATTGCTCATGAAACTTTTCATGTGTTACTGATTTTGATCCAGACAGGACTGGTATGGTTTTCAAACAAACTGAAGATGTCACCAGCACTCAACAGGCCTTTATTGAAGGGGGTGCAGTAACCCCACCCTGCAAAGCAGACAAAAATTCCAATACTGGAGTAACTGAATAATTGGTCCAGAACACCTCCATTTGTTGCTTAATATGTTCAATTTGAAGCCATTCCTCACTCTTGCAATATTTCAGCTCAACACTGAACCTTTATGAAGCCGTCTGTAGTGTCATTTTCTGAGATAAATTAGGAACTGCACTTAATCCCATCACTCTGAACAAGGGTGCAACTAAACCTGGACCCAGCACCAGGTCCCATAGTGGTGGCTATGTTATCACTAAAGTCTCACACATAACATCTGTTCAACACAAATTGTTACTCCGTTTCCCATCTCTTCCGTATTTGTCTTTTTATACCTCATACCCCATTAAAAAAATCTATAAAAATGTCACATTAATAAAAAACAAACATAAGATTCAATATAGCTGATAAGGAACATGCATTATATACTTAATTTTAACCCATATATATGGGTTACATTTAAGATATCTATTATATCATAAACTACTTTTAACATACTTTGTTTTTAGAATGTTATATTATTTTAATCATTGTAATATTTATTTTTACAAATAATCCATCTTTCAGGTACTTATTTGCCAAGTCAGCCGGTAATTGTTCATCTACTAAATATGGCATTAGAGGTCTTCATCCTTTGGTAGCTTTGAGGTACACAAATAATGGTTGTACTTTTTTTTTTTTTTGTCTGCACACACGAAGGTGCTTTTTACATGACACCAATTTTAAATGGCTGCAAGCTTGAACAAATAAACTGCAACTTTCAAACCAGAATTTCTATTTAGGGCTACTACTAACTTCTGTCCACAAAATACTTTTCTTTCTAATACGCCAAAGCTGTTGTATTTGCTTGTTTATTATGGAAGATAAGGATGGGACAGGAGGAGGTGATTAATCTTCACCTGGCTGAGAATGGTGTCTAAAGAGTAGAAGATACCCCTGACCAGATATGCATTTTACATAAAAGCGTAATATTTACACTATTGATGCTGCGTCATCCAGCGATTTACTTTTTGTGCAGTGTTATAGGCTGTCCTATAATATGCCACTGGCATATTAAGGAAATTGTTTATTATGAACTATGGACAATACAGAGCCTGTTCTCCAATAACACGTGGATTAACATGGTGAAAAAATTCACATGTAAGGATTTACATCGATTCAACATGTCGATTTTTTTTATCTGTGTTGTTGCAATTTATTTTTAAGGTCTTGAAGCTCAGGAATAGCCTTGTGTTGGGACAGTACATGGATGCCTTTTATTTTGGTATTCAGGGGAGTCAGGTGTGTTGCTACTATGTTTTTCAATTTGTGAACCCTTTTGTGCTTTTTTCAGGAATTGTGTCAGTTGTTGATGCCAAGTACACCTTGCAGGTAAGCAACTAATTGTTTTGATCTGGAGTATGGGGTATATGAAAAAAGTGGTGTTATTTTTTTTTTTTTTTTTAATGTGGCCGGATTTCCCACCTGTTTTCAGTATTTATTATGTGCCTTTTTGGAGCTAAAAATGGGCTGGTGGGGAGAGATAAGTACCAGGAGCTTTGACCAGTGTCCACTGTAGTCCTGTTGGCATTCTGTGTTTGGTAGAAGAGCTGCAGGGAGAGTTATAGAGAGTATAAACTCATTGCTGCCTTAGCTCCTGTGTGTGAGCCTGGACAGGAAGTGGAAGGGATCATTATCCTGTTGCCCACTAACAGCCTTTCAGACATACTTTACAGGAAGAGCAGGGTCATTACTGAGTGATACACACTGTTTAACACCTACTGCAGCTCTGCTGTCAATCAAAGTAGTGTAGCTGGAACAGAAAACCTAGGAAGGTAAGTACTATGCAAATAACCTTTAAAGGGTTACTCTAACCACCATGACCATTTCAGCGATTTGAAGTGGTCATGGTGGTAGAAGTCATTGTGTACAGTGTTTCTGCTTGAAACATTGCACGTACAAATAAATTCTTAATTGTATGCTAAAGGCTAGCCGCACACGTGACACAGGCAGCAACTCTGTTCCGGGCTGCCTAATGTTAATTCTGTGCATAGATTTGCATACAACAGGCATAGAAATGTCCTTTTCCCTTCAAACATTGCGCTCCCTCCCACGTTGCGCTAAATCCCTCCGTGTGCGTTGGTGTTTTCTTCCTTTATTTATTTTTATCTTCCCTCCCGCACAGCTTCCAGCTTCAGCAGATTTGCAGAAGCTGGAAGCACATCACCCGGACCAACAAGGAGTATCAGAGCCCAGTGTATCAGAGCCCAGTAAGCGGCCATTTCTCCTCCTGCTTTAGCCCAGGGCATGTAACCGTAGCACTCCTTCCCCCTGCCCCCCCACCCCCACCCCCCAGACTGGTGGGGGTCATACTGGTCCCCACATTTGAGCTACTATACTAGCACTTACCACGCTGAAGAACCGCAGATTTTCCAAAATAGCAGATGCCTATCCCGCGGAGTCACACGCACAGAGTCTCCTGCGATCATTTGGCAGATCCTTACAGAAGCTAGATGCCATCTTTCAGCACTTCTGGCGCATGGTGGAACTCCATCTAGCCACCAAGGTACCCAGACGCACAGGATACGGGAGAACCAAGCGACAAGAGGGGAAGGAGCATACTCAAGGCTATATGCCAGTCATGAAACCTGCACAACCTACCATACACCCTCCCAGGCCGAGAGCCACAAGGGGCTTAACTGCCTCGCATCGCCCACAAGGAAGGAAGAATTCCCGTGACAAGCGGCGAATACCATATCACTCCTCCAACCACCCCTTACAAGGGAGAGACTTGGACTGCAGTAGTACCTTAGTCGCTGGGACATGGATGCTGGCCCTCCTACAGACCAGGGGTTGGAGGGGTCTCCGATCCTGTTAAGAAATCTCAGTTGATGGTACAGCCAAGCTACTGTGGACGGGAGTTGGATGATTCTGAAAGGAGACTACAACATAAGCCTTCTGCCACGTGTTAAAAGGCAGCTGAGATATTCATAACCGAATATGTCAAACACTTACTGATATGCTTTATTCCTGATTTCCATTAGCTCCTCATTTTCTTTATTTTCTCTACTTAAGCTTAAGTAAATTCACATTGTCATGGTAATGTGCTATATGGCCTGTACTTGCAAATGTCTCAGCATTACTACTTAAGTCTACAAGTTTTGTTGAGGGCTGACAACAAGGGAGGCTGGGACTCTCCATCATTGGGCATTGGCTGGGGGGCATATGAGCTTGTATAGCAGTTTAGTTAATATTAGCCTGACATGATGCAGCTGTATTAGTTAGATATTATGCTTCAACTGCTTGCATACTACGACACTGCACATGAACCCAGTTGTATCTGTCTGTTTGGTAATAGCTACATAATTAAGCTTGTTGTATAATTTTATTTTATTTTTTCCTAACATGTACCTGCTCAAGTGAAGTCAGACACCTCAATGTGTTAACCCTATCCTGATTGTCATGACTCTTACTTTCTGCTAATCCCTACAATTAATAACCTCTCTTATGCATATGACCTGTCTTACTCCTAATACAGTGAATACTTAAATCTGCGATATTCCTCTCTTGTTTAACACCTTTTATAAACATGTGCTGATGTTTATGTACATGTATTTGGTTACCTCTTTTGCTATCTGTTTCGTGTATATTGTCCAACCATTTGTCATTAACATGCACAACAAAAATAAAGAATGACAGAAAAAAAAAAATTATCTTAAAAACCAAATGCCCCATAATGTTAGATTTACCCCCCTTTAACTCTAACCCAATAATTCTAAGCACCCTTTTTACCACAACTGAAAGGCCATTTTAACCTCTTAACTACTTAAGTCTCCCCAGTATAACAGTACCCCCCATGTACTGGTTTTAGGGTGTCATGGAAAGTTACAGGGTTAAATATAGTGCTAGCAAATTAAATTCTCTGGACTTCGGCCTGGGTTGTCAGGCAGGTCCCTCAAATTGCAATCAATAAAATTACTTAATTATGTAAAAATATTACATAAATATGCATGTAGAATTTAAATATACATATATATATATATATATATATCTCCCCATGTACAGGTTTTATAGTGTTTTTGAAAGTTACAGTGTTAAATTTAAGGCTTGATTTTCATTTTTTTCGCATTGAAATTTGCCAGATTGGTTATGTTACTGTTGAGAGCGTATGGTAGCCAAGGAATGAGAATTACCCCCATGATGGCATACCATTTGCAAAAGAAGACAACCCAAGGTATTGCAAATGGGGTATGTTCAGTCTTTTTTTGTAGTCACAAATACTGGCCAAATTTAGTGTTCATAATTGTTTTCTTGCATTTTTACACACAAACAAATATAAATGCTAACTTTAGGCAGTGTAGGTTGTTACTAAGAAAGACTGGACATACCTTGTAATGAATACCCTGGGTTTTCTACTTTAAAAAAAAATGTACATGTGAGGTGTGATTCAGAGGTTTATGACAGATAATAGTGTTATAATGTCACTATTGATAAATTTGAAAAATATATATTTTGAAACTGCAATGTCCTACTTGTACTTATAGCCCTATAACTTGCAAAAAAAAAAGCTAAGAACATGTTATCATTGTGTATTTCTAAACTCAGGACAAAATTTTGAAACCATTTAGCATGGGTGTTTTTTGGCAGCTGTAGATACGTAACAGATGTGGGTCAATGTTAGAATAAGTGTGTTTTTTAAAAAAAAAATTTTTTTATCAACCTGCTCCTGACGATGGTGTGTAGACACACCGAAAGGCGAGTCAAGCTTTCTTTCATTATTATTATTTCACTTTGGTAGCACATTATTCTTGTTCTGTTTGTTTAGTGATTATAGTTTTATAAGTTTTTCTTTTTGGCACGCAGGGATAGCGGCTACTAGGTAGGTACCAGGGCATCTCCCATGGTACTGAGGTATTTTTAGGGTTTAGTTTTCTTTTTGTTTACCTACCCTTCAATAGGACTTTATTAAACTTGGGGGATTACCTATAGAGTTTCTTTGGGTACCTACCTTCAGCCTATGGGAGTTTGTGAGTTGGGTATAGGAGCTTTAGTTATAGTTCTTTATGTGGTGTACACCGTTGCTGTTAGTTTGAGTTCAGCTGTCAGTATCCTCTTTACCTTTTCATTGGTCCTACCAACCTATCCCTCTATGCTTTTCCTGCTACTGTACAGATCCCTTTTTCCGTTTTCCACTAGAGTTCAGATGACCCATTTAGGGACTTCATGCTCTGGGGGTTCCTGATATTTTGTGTTCTACAGTCTATTCTCTTTAGGGTTACCCCCTTTCCTGGGACTGTGTTATAGGCTGCCTGAGGACCCAGCTCTGGATTCCATTTTTTGGCATCTAGTCCCTGGGTTCTTAATCCTATTCTTTACTTGTACTTATAGCCCTATAACTTGCACACAAAAAAAAGCTAAGAACATGTTAACATTGGGTATTTCTAAACTCAGGAAAAAATGTTGAAGCCATTTAGCATGGGTGTTTTTTGGCGGTTGTAGATACGTGACATATGGGGGTCAAAGTTAGAATAAGTGGGGGTTTTTTAATTTATTTTTATCATATTTATAAAAATTATTTATAGTAAATTATATGATATGGTGAAAATAATAGTATCATTAGAAAGACCATTTAATGGGCAGAAAAACTGTATCTGATATGAGTGGATACAGTAAATAAGTAAAAGGAGAATTCCAGCTAAACACAAACACAGCAGAAATGTAAAAACAGCCTTGGTCCTTAATGGTAAGAAAATTGAAAAATGGTCTGGTCACTAAGGGGTTAATATTGTAATTTTCTTAAAATGAAACACTCTCTGTAATCTAATTCTGATGTTAACCCCTCTTAAACCTTTAACCCCCACTTTACCCTAACCATATTTAAAACATTTTATTTTATTTTTTTATTTTTTTTTAATTTCTATTTGTTTTTACAGTCACATACACTCACAGATTCAAACACAATTAATTACAAGCAGACATATGTACAAATGCAGTTTTCAGATTTCAATATCTAGTTTTTAGACTTTTTTTGCCAGCAATGTCCAGTTAATAAGTGTATTTAACTCACTTTAATACCAAGTGAACATGCATATGTGCAACATTATCCCATTAGATGCCCCTTAGATGTCAAGTAAGCACACGTGAGGCAATGAGGAATCATGGGAAGGCGAAGTTGTTGCAGTGAAAATAATTCAGCTGAATGAAGTAGGTTTTTTTACTTAACTTGGCTGGTTTATTCAGAACAATAAACTCTGAAATAGTATTTGTAAAATTAAAGGAACTATGAACGGTCATTCCTCTGGAAGTGACAGTTGCTCTTTTAAATAACTGTGAGATAATTTGTCAATTTTTTGAGACGGAATTCATGGTTCGTTCTTTTGCATGTGCACGTGTGTGTGAGTTTTAAAAAAATATATATATTTCCTCAAATTTAGAGAATGAATAGTTATGTGGAAATGCATAATACCTTTTTAATATAGTTAAAGGACCACTCTAGGCACCCAGACCACTTCAGCTTAATGAAGTGGTCTAGGTGCCAGGTCCTTCTAGGGTTAACCCATTTTTTCATAAACATAGCAGTTTCAGAGAAACTGCTATGTTTATGAATGGGTTAAGCCTTCCCCCTAATCCTCTAGTGGCTGTCTCATTGACAGCCACTAGAGGCGCTTGCGTGCTTCTCACCGTGATTTTCACAGTGAGAGCACGCCAGCGTCCATAGGAAAGCATTATGAATGCTTTCCTATGTGACCGGCTGAATGCGTGCGCAGCTCTTGCCGCGCGTGCACATTCAGCCGACGGGGAGGAGAAGAGGAGGATCGGAGGAGGAGAGCTCCCCGCCCAGCGCTGGAAAAAGGTAAGTTTTACCCCCTTCCCCTTTCCAGAGCCGGGCGGGAGGGGGACCCTGAGGGTGGGGGCACCCTCAGGGCACTATAGTGCCAGGAAAACGAGTATGTTTTCCTGGCACTATAGTGGTCCTTTAAAAAAAAATCAATTTTGGGGCACACTTTTTCACACCCAGTTCACACTTTATCTAAAAACCCTAAACCCTAGCTGTATACAAAAAAAGCTAACATGTACTGCTATCTGAAGCTTGGAGGTTTGCAGGATGTAATATGCTTGGTGCTGTCTTATGTACTCCATAATTTAGCTCTTATATTGTTTCTTCCATTGTTTTGGATTTTTTAAATCTACCAGTAAGGAAATGACAAATGGACTTCAGAAATGTCCACATAAAGTAATGGAAAATAAATGTTGTTTGCTATTTTCTAGTTCATTTTGATATTGAAATAGTTTAAATTTTCACGTACCCCCCCACCCCCTTTCCCGAATTCCATTTTAAAAGTCATTATTCTGTGAGCTATTGTTAACAACTCATGGCTGTGGCCATATGAAATCGGTAAATGTCAATGGTCTTTGTCGTATCCGGAAAACTTTTCATATTATTAAAACTGTTCTTTTTCCTTCAACATTGACACACTGTCACCATCATTTAAACTTTAAAATCTCCCGCCTGCTGGAGACAAATAACATTTTGCTTTTATGCGGTTGATTTGCCAGCTCTTTCAGTTCAGTCAAAGGAAAGCTTGACCTCTATAGCTGAAAAGCTGGGTTTGATTCAAGACATTACAAATTGTGACACTAAGAGAACAGGGAGCAATTTAAAGAGTGTCATGCTTGAGAAGCCTTCATGTCCACAGACCTGTCTGGGAGATGTGGCTATGTTAACTCACGAAGAATCTGAAACTGAAGTGGTAATTGATATCATTGACGATCACTTTAATGGGATTGTCACCCAGATGTCTAAAGTATTCATTTTTTAATCATGGATAAATGATTGGACAACTTGACATGACAGATACCTTCAACCTAGACCAGATGTGTTGGCCTCCTCAGTATTGTTAGGCATGGACAAACGCTTTAGAGTTTCTGTCCAAAGATTTATAGAGAGGAATTTTAACTAATAGTGAAAATATTGGGAAATGATAAATAATGAAAGGGTAAATTGTCTGATCTTTAACCTTGTTTAAATTCATGTGGTGTTTTTGACAAAGCAGTGTTTTTATTTCAATATTAAAGGGTCACTAAAGGGGAGTTCCCCCATTTAATTTACAAACATTTTAAATAATGTGTTAAAATATATGCAAATATGGGGAGGCGGGGCGAGGCCTGACCTCGAAGCAGAGAGGACGCAAATCACAGCAGCTCCTGCTCAATACAACAATAGTAGCGAATTTTCAGGGCCAACATGATTAATAAGCGAGACAGAAAGGCTACCCAGAGTGCGGTGACATTGGTGTGCACAGGTAGACACCAAACAAGCGACTAACAAAACCCCATCCACCCGACACAATGGTGAGGCCTACAAGCATGGCGGGCGCAGGGGGGACAGACGCTTTCCTGCAGCCACTGGACTGGTGGGGGTTATCCCGGTCTACCCCCACAAGACACCCCTACATAGCGGTGGAAAAATGACCACGATACAGAGACCCGAACCTACCGTCACAAAGGCCTCCAAAATGGCGGATGCCATCAGTACAGCCTACCCACAAAATGTGTGGCTAGAAACAGAGCTCCGGCTAAACCTCATCTTCTCCTCCTTCTGGAAGCAATTGAAGGCTCGCATGCGGAGTCCGAAACACAAGCCACTGACTGCAGACTAGTCACGCACTGCACCATGAGGTACCCAATGGAGTGAAGCAGAAGCTCCCCCTAACCCTGCACCTGCGAAAGTCCATCTCCGGCAAGGGGCCACCTCGGGACCACACCTGAGCACCAGGGTCGGCAGCAGCAAAACAGGGCATGGAGCCCTGGGGATACCCCAGACAGGACCCCCACGGCACCCTTATCGAAGACCTGCACCGAGACTCAAGCCTCAAAGGGGCAAGTACGGTACGACGGAGCGAATGAAACGGAGGGGCGCAAAACTCAGAGAGGAGAACGCGATGAGAACGCACACGGGGAGCTGTCCCAGTCCAAGACAGGCGAACCCAGCCTGGCACAAAGATTGGAAGGCACAATACGCACCAGCCAACACCCCCCCACATGGCTCAGGGGCTCTAAGCTTCCTCGCACCGGGGAGACTGCACAAGCTGCAACGACCAACAGTGGGGGCACGCATCCAGCCCCAACAAGGCATCAGCTGACCCCAATGGGACTTGGACTCAGTCAGGCAAAATGCCCATTATCACTCAGTTTCCTATGCCCCAAGTGAACTTCTACGTTTGTCGGCTGGGATCTATATTCTGTGTTTGACTTTGTTTTATGGACTGCTCGCACAGGGGATCACGGGGGGTATTATCCGTAGTCCATCGATTAAACGCTATGTATACCCATGCTTAGACTAGCCCATGTTCAAGCGAGTATTATACTTTTATTTTCTTTATTTTAGTGCAATGTTATCAATATGCTGCCTAGCAGTTAGGTTTCAGGTGTTATATTTAATCTTTTCCCCACAAGCACTGCTGGAGCATTATAAGACCTGCTATATTAATGCCATGCACTTTCGAAATCCTTATTTTTTCTCACATCTGACCATGCTTAATATCTACTTAAATATAAAATTGTGCACGTATTCAATCTAGCCTACCCCTTTGTTACATGTGTTTTACCTATGCATAAGGATTGCCGTTGGGGTACCGCACGCGCTTATGTTAAATTAATATGCACTGCAAAAATAAAAAATTTAAAAAATATATATATGCAAATATAATTATTACAATGAAAATTAAATGCACATATTTAAAGTTACTACACTTTTTTAGCAATTTCCCAGACTGCCCAGTTCCATTATTGATGTCTCACCAAACCAGGGAGTAACTCACTTCATTTAGCTTTCCCTGAATATGTGGGAGATGTAGTTCTTGTTGCAACTTTCTACTGGAGAAACAGGAGAATTAGAAATCACATCATGTTCATATTATTTTTGGAGAAAAAAAAGAGAAACACTGTGTGCTTAGGTTGGGTTGGAGAAACAGAAAAGGTGGGCCTATGGAACAAAATTAATTATTTAAACATGAAAAGTAAAGCAGAGGGGTAGTCGTGTTTGGAGACACAAGAGTATGAAGACACAGGGTGTTTGACAAAGGAAGATAAATCTGGTGGTAATGTTGATCACAGACTGAAAAAGGGTTATCTCGGTGTGGCTTTTTTTGTGAGTGTTAAAAGTTTAAGTAGGAATATTCCAAAACATTCACAAGATCCAGACCAGTACAACAAATCTTAGATTATGATAAAATCTGTTATAGTCACATACATACCTGTATACTAGGGCAGTATAAAGCAGTGATACATAACCCTGACCATGCAGATATTTGTGGTCATTTGTTATGAAACCCAAGCAGTAACATATAAGGCATATACAGTAACACTCGTGTAAGAGAGCCATTCTAACATACAGAGCTAACAAATATATTATATGGCCAACAGCTGAAATGGGCTACAACAGGGTGTTTGCCATGCACACAACTTTGTAGTGATTGCATTTTTTTTTCTGTGTCTTTGCAAGCATCTGGCAGAAGAGAAACCAGAAGGCCTTATTAATGAAGCGGCGAGGTATTACTGCTAATTAAATGCCCGTGTGTCTGTTTAGCTTTTGTAATGTATGATAATCTCCAGCTCTGTACCTGATCTATCATTGTCCTTAGAAATATAATGTGAATCTTTTTTTTTCAGCTTAGCCATAAACAAAAGAATGTTTGGATCCAATAGGACAAAATATCGGACAATGTATAGGTTTATTTAGATGAATGCAAATGATTTTTGTGATAACCTGAGACCGTATTCTAATATGTTACTTGGTTTTAGTGGGCTAGTATATCGAAGGTAATTTAAACTACACAACATTCAAATGCAAAATAATCTGTTGTTTGCATCTATGTATTTTATTGCTTTGAATGAGAATATATATTTTTTTTCTGGATTCTAGGCAGGTTGCATTGGCAGATGTTATAATTGTCAACAAAACAGATTTGGTATCACAGCAAGAGCTAGAAGATGTGAGAATTGCTGTTAGGTATGTCTCCTATAAGTTTTCTTAAATCTATCATAGGACAATGACCAGGCATAGATGTTTCTTTAAAAATTACACAATACGTTCAGACTTATCAGTCATTTGATGTGATCAGAGTTTTTTGTGTGTTTTTGAAAAATTATTTTTATATACAATTTTCAGATTATTTATTTGTATTGTAATATGTAGTTATGACTTTTAATATAAATATGCCAAAACCTCAATTTTATAGGTACCAGATTGCAGTAATCTGAATGTGAATGGGACAGATGAAATACATGGTATACAGAAGGGCTGGTAGGAGGAGAATTGAGTTGTCTAGATTTTAGATATCCATGAAATATGAGGCAGCACAGTAAAAGTTCTATTCAATATCTGTGCCCATGGTACAACTCTTGGCATGCTTGCCTTTCTTTTCAATTTGCTTTTTCTATATTGCATTATTAGGATTGATGCCTGCTTTTGTGTGTGCATATATATATATATATATTTTTTTATATATATATATATATAATATATATATATATATATATATTTTTTTTTAATAAATCCCCAAAAAACAAACTGGCTTGTTCTAAACATGCATATTCTCCAAATGGTGTTATTACCCATCGCATCCACAAATAGATGCTCTTCCTCTGTCCTCTTTCATAAATGTACCCATATCCTTAAAATAGCATCATTAATAATTGCATTATGTTAATGAGAGTGATGCAATTAATGCGCTTCCCAATTACTTGAGATATAAATGCAACCATAAAAGTTTTTGGATAAACATGGATAAATCTTTTGCATTACCTATAAATTTATCAGATGCCAACTGGAGTCTATGTACCATACACAGCTTACTCAAACTGTAACATATTTGGGAGGATAAGTGACTGATAATCCAGCCACCCTTTACACTGCAAACTATGCTCCCTTATTTTGTTTTATAAAACATGATTTAGAATTTTGGGGAAAAGCTTATATCATGTATGGGTATCCTTTTCGAAGCTTTGCCAATAAATGTTGATAAGGGGGGATTAAAGGGTATCCAGAGATCAATAGATTCCTTTATTTGGGAAAGGAAGATTCATAAACTGGCAAAGTACATGCTCTGCGGGCCAAAGTCAAGGGGCAGTATGGGACCCCCCATATCTTAATGTATTATTATGCTGCACAATTGATGCAGATAGTGATGTCGCATGCTCCTCCGGGTGATAGTAGGTGGGTGGACCTGGAGTTGCATATTATGGGATCAGACTTTCCCATGTTTTCTATATAGCTTAGCAGATCAATCACAGAGAGTCCTTCTCTGCACAACAAAATTTGAGGTGTGAAGCTAGAGGGTGATTCCAGGGAGAAAATATGGGAGGCTGCTGCTAAGGACTCTATATGTCCTGTCCCAAGAACAGATATCTAAAATATTGTTCAGATGGCATACTTACTCTGTTCAACTGTTCCATAATGTCAGGTCCTCCACTGACACTTGCTGGAAACTATGTTGTCAAAGAGGAACATATCTCCATGTGTAGTGGACATGCCCAATGGTAGTGCCCTTTTGCCCTTCCTTTTTATCTTTATAGTATCTTTTCTTTTTATATATTTAATATACTCATATGTTCAATTGTATGAGCATGCTACACCAGTGCACAAATACGCTATTTATGTATTTCTTTTTGCTTATTTTTGGAAATAAATAATTAAAAAAATAAAAATAAAATACAGCCTCAGGCTGGTTTGGTACTGGTGGAACCGATTTGACAGTAACTTGAAGAATGGTTCCCACCTCCCTTGATCTGAATTTAGGTGACCTACTTAGACAGATAACTACATATAGACTCCTATATTACCCAGTTCAGTTAGTGAAAAGTGCTAAAAATGTATTAAGCGATAAACAACCATACCATGTAATGAAGTCATTTTAAAGCAATGTTATACATTCAGTACGTATATTGTTTTTAACTTTTTTTCTTTCTTATTCTGCCAAAGGTCAATTAATGGAATTGTCAAAATGTTGGAAACCCAAAGATCCCGGTAATTACATGTGTATATATTGTGCTGTTGTAGTTTGTATAGTTAAATATCTATCTGCATGTGCGTTTGTGTGTGTGTGTGTATATGTGTGCATATATATACGGTACATACACACAAACACACATATATAAATATATATATATATATATATATATATATATATAAACTGAAAAGTTGGCTGTATCTTTGGCATTTTCCTGCTTTTCACACTAAAGCAGATGTTATCACAGTAAAAGGGACACTATAGTCACCAAACAACTTTAGCTTAATGAAGCAGTTACAGTGTATCGATCATGTCCCTGCAGTTTCACTGCTCTGTGTTTATGCAGCTCTAGTCACACCTCCCTTCATGTGACACAACCTCCTAAACACTTCTTGTAAAGAGTCCTCTAATGCTGAAACTTCCTTTATTGCAAATTCTGTTTAATTTAGAATTTCTTATCTACTGCTCTGTTGATATCGTGGTACACCCTGCAGGAGCCTCCTATATGTGATTAACCCCTTAAGGACACATGACATGTGTGACATGTCATGATTACCTTTTATTCCAGAAGTTTGGTCCTTAAGGGGTTAAAGTTCAGCTTACAGAGAAGGAGATAAAAACATTTAAAGTAAGTTACATCTAATTGAAAATAAAATGTTTTTCTCCCATGCAGGCTTTATCAGTCACAGCTAGGAGAGGTGTGGCTAGGGCTGCATAAACAGAAACGGTTATTTAACTTCTAAATAGCAATGTCCCTTCTCAGAGTGCTCTCTATCAAGTTTATATATTTAATTTAGTTGGAGTTTAGTATCTGGACGAACCTTTTTTTTTTTTTTTTTTTGTGTGTGAGACATTGAGCGCAAAGCTCATGTTGAGATCTATATACATGGATAACCTATGAGTTATGGGAAAGCGTTCCATGCGGCTGGCCTGATGTAGCGCAGAATTCCCAGAGGTCTTATCTAACATTTTACGATGATCAGGTGGCTAATATTCAGAGCGCTTATTGCTTGGGTGGGAGCGGGGACAAGGAGCCATGGCGGTATGATTAGCGCTCTTTGAGGACATTTTATTAGTGTTCCTACACATAACCTTTTTTTGTGATGCCCCATTTGGTTTTAAATTCATTTTAAAGATTTAGAAAATTACTTTACAATTCAGTTAATTCCTGGCACAGTAAGTGCACACGTTGCAAATGGGAAGGAGAATTAGAATCATTTCATTTCTCTTTTTCTATGTATGCTCTCTCTATACTGACTGCCCGATGCAAAGAACAGAGCTTATAACAATAATTGACTTTGAGCCAAGATGGAGGTGCACAGTTGCATGATTAAGAGGTGTACATTTATCAATTAGATGTTCTTTCCAAACCTCACAAACACATATTTGTTAAATATAGGGGAAGTAAGCAAACATAATATTAAACATTATAGGAAGTGACAGTCCCTACTGCTTTAAGTATGAAATGCAGCGACATTCCCTGTTATTTAATGTTCTACATACAGTAATGATTTATATGTGAATGCTTCAGGATATATTTATCTGATGTTAAATGGCCGCTGATTATTATATAATGTGGCAAAATATTCTGGTGTCCTTCTTTTGAGGAGGGTCACCCTTTTTTTTAAGCACTGTCATATCTGTTTACATGGGACAAATTCATGTTGAGTTGGAGTATTGTGTTCATCATTAAATCAATATGCCTAATTCTTCTTTATTACTCTATATCAATAACATTCTGCTTAGTATTGAAGAAGTGCAGGCAGCATGAAAAGCCATTATCTCATTAAACATTCAGCCAAGCCAAACGAAGACTGCCTTACACACAATTACAATGCCCTGACAAGTGTTCAACAGAAATACATGAAAGACTAAAATTCTTTATATTCAGAATAACAATGTATCATATACCTACAGAATAAACAAAAGCAATAGTAAATCAATGTCAGAAAATAAACTAACTCAAAACTAATCATTATAAACACATACAAACTCTCAACTCTCATAAGATCCTGTGTATAACAATCACCTCATGGCACACACAAATCCCTCTCCCTCAAAATATAAAATAAATAGGCAAAATAAGGCACCACCTGATGTCTGTTCAACATCATAAAATAATAGAAGACAAACTGATACTGGAATTAATTACCATAGCATTTCTTAGTATTCACAAAAAGTGTAATGTTGTAAAGTATGTGCAAACAACTTTCTGCCTTATTTCAGGATTTTTTTTGCAACGCTCTGTGGACCCTGTAATACCCAACTTCTTGCTAAATAATAAAAAGCTGAAGGCTCACATTATACATTCTCCCTTCAACTTAATTAATGCATCAGTTAACTTAAAAGAACAGTTGCATGGAAGAACAGCTCCCACGAGGTCCACAAACGCAGATTGATCCCTCACCTGATACCAAGATGTGACAGTTCATTGCACGAAGTTGTGCTGGCCCTGAAGTTTGGCCCGAAACGGGTTTCTTGACCTGTTGCAGGGAGATAAAAGACCTCAGTGACTGAGGTGCACAGCTGCAGATCAAAATATTGACTGCCCACAAAAACAGAACCAGTATAATGATATTATATATGTCAACCTATATACACTAACATCATCCCTTAAGGGAAAACTCTTGCACATGGCCTGCAGGCCAAAAATGGGAACAAGCAAACCACTACAGATTTGCTGCCTAGCCAAATGGTCCACCTATACAATTACTTATGTTGACCATCCACAACTAATAAAGAAAGTTCCTAAACTACACACATGGAAATGGTACCGACAGACACGGCCACATTACCTCACAAACGTAGGGTGGTTTACAAACCACCACAACCTAAAATATGCGACAACCAACACCAAGCTGCAATGTAGTACTTACTGATGACACTAACCATATTGTCGCTAAATGCAAAAGGACTTAATTCTTCTCACAAAAGGAGACTGGCCTTAGCTGACGCCAACAAAATGAAGGCTCATATAGCGTTCTTTCAGGAAACCCATTTCCTCAAATCTAGAATGCCTAAGTTCTCCTCGAGACAATACCCGGTGGGCTTTCATGTAGGGTATGAAAAGAAAAAAAGAGAAGTGTCCATATTGAAGCTACAAAGCTACAAAAAAAAAATAGGAGATTAAGAGGGCAGATTCCTCATGATCCAATGTACATTAAATAATGACCCACACACGCTCCTGAATGTATATGGCCTGCACGAAAATCAGACAGACTATCTCAAAAAGATCATAGCGAAGACCAATAGCTATACATATGGCAACTTAATTATAGGGGGAGACACTAACTTTATTAGTGGGGGAGTCACTTCGAGAGCCACTCACAGCCACTCCCGACTGTGCAAGGTTCGAAAGGTCAATTCCCTGCTCACATAAATCAGCATCAGAGTCACTCAAGGACTCAGCACCTGGCTTCTCAGGTTGTGCTCTAGCACATTTTCATTGCCGTGCCCATGGCTTTTTTGCGTGATACAGGCACGCTTTCATGGGTGACCTCAGGTTCACTAGTCATATGGGTTTTGGAGGCAGAGAGAGTTAAGTGCCTGGATTTGGCAGTAGCCTTCTTGGGTGCGTCCCCTGAAAGGTCTAAACCAGAACACGGTTGGCGCGTCAGTGGGCCCGAACTTTCTGCAGCCAGTGGGCGCAAGAGTAAGGCCAGGGAGAGGGCAGAGGACATAGAGCCCATAGCTGCCATAATAGCGTCAGTGACTGAGCGCCAGGGACTGAGCCTCATCAGGCAGAGACATAGGGCTAACCACTGATGAAGGGGAGCTAGAAACTGAAGAGTGGTTCCCCAAACCTTGAGGCATATCCATCTCACCAGGGGAAGGTGGGCAGGCAGGCACCATAGATTTGAGCCTATTGTATGCTGAAAGACCCACAAAATAAAAATCCAGTACAATATTAGACCCTGAACAAGCTGTAGAAAAAACAATAACCGTACAGGCTGGTAGGAGTTAATCACCCTAGACTAGTTACACCAGAGAGGGAGAGATAGGGGAGCTCGCCAGGGCCCAAACCAGCAGACCGGATAGACACGAGGTAAAACAGACGCAGAAGGACGGAAGATCAAAAAATGGCCACTGCCAGTCTCGCGAGATTCGCGGCAAAAAATCCTCTGAACGCTTCCAATTCGCGAACCGAAAGCTTGGCAAAATGACTAATTAGTGGGAACAAACTAATGAAGGTCAGTACACAGCAAAACATCCCAACAAAAACCATTTCCAGCAAAACAGTAGAACGCGACAAACTAGTTGAACGGTACCATATGCCGGTCAAACTAACGAATGGCACAGATTCGTGGCGAGTTTAGCCAAAAGGGCTTGACTTGAGACATGAAAATAGCCGAACAGTAGTGAGGAAACAGGCGCAAAAGGGCGCCAAACAATCAGGAAGAAGGGGGGAGACCAAAAAGCAGAAAAATAAAGAAAAATAAGGAAAAAAGGATATGAAGATAGAAGCAATAAAGCAAAGCTCAAGAGAGAGAGGAGAAATACATATAAGAATCCCCCAAAGGAAGGTCTGGAACCCTTGGCTCAAAGGTAAATATAATTTAACTTTAATATCATATAAAACAGAATTAATAAACAGGAAAAAAAACAGACTATAAGATACGATAATAATAAGTAAGTAATAATTAAATAATAAGTACTTATCTTTTGTGGAGCAGCAAAGAAAGAGGAAGCTCGAGAGGCAGTGCTTGCGGTTATACTGGGACCTGGATCGGGATTGGCTAGTGTCTCATTGTATTTGTTATATTTTTTCTACTTGTGTTCTTTGCTGCTATTGGTGGACAGTAAAGAAAGGGTTAAGCAATATGAGCCTCCGTGTCTTGACATAGAATTGTGAGTCACTAACAGAAGAAGTGAAAAAAAGTAAGTTCTTTTTTTAAAGCTATGCTTACTCAAGAGTTTCATGGTGATGTGTGGCTTTGGCTGCTGTTCTCAGTTTCTGTGTAAAACTATTTTGGAGAAGATTGATTTAAAAAAAATATATTGTTCCCTAAACCTGCTATTGAGGGAAAACGTCACTGTGTATCGAGGGTCTGTCCATTCATGTTCTTCCCCAGTACTGCTGAAGTGCAGAATTTACAGCATAATCCATGCCTGATGAAGGGATCTTGGTGTCCTGAAAACATGCATAATATCCCTCTTTTATTAATTAAAAAGGTATTTATACGTGTGTTTTTGTTATTTTATACCATTTGGCATTAACAAATACCTTGCTGTCTCATACTTGCCTTTGGTCAGTATAGGACAACCATTAGAACCTGGCCTGTTACAGCAGCCATGGACTGAAGAGATAGTGATGTGGTTTAAATCAGGTTTGTGCTTGATATGGAAATCGGTTACTTGATCTTGTGTTAACTAGCATGCTTGTTTTCTTTTCTAGGGTGGACTTAACAGAAATCCTAGATTTACATGCTTTTGACAGCACGTTTGGGGGAAGGTAATGATTCAAACGTATTTATGACAAAATATTGCTTTTATTTTTAGCTAATCTCAGAGTTATTTACTAAAGTAGTTTCAATTTTAAGGCAAGAGTAGCCAAACTGAAAGCATAGCTGGCTTAGACTATTTTTCCATTTCGGCTGTTTTGACCTCAAATTTGTATTTCACTTTGAATTCTCAATTTAGTCAATAATCCTGACAGTAGAAACCTGCATAGACTTGCCTCATTCAGTGAGAAGCGTGATTTGACCTGACATCTAGTTAATATTTGTGCTAAATGTTTGTGTAACAGAGTGTCCTTCACATAGTAACACATGGTCTGCTTTAGATTAAAAAGTATTTTATAAAGTATTTAATAGTCTAGTGGCACTGTAAAGGGTTAATATAATGTATATGACAGGCATTTTCCTGTATTATGTGGAGATATTAGTTTGAATGCCTAGTTTTCACTCCTCATTTGTTACTGGGTTACATTACGTCTCCAGTTATTTTTTCAAAATTGAACACGTTTTTCTTTTTATTGAAACAGTTTAAACATTTATATTTAATTTTGGTGAATTTACCTATGGGGGGTCTCATTTCAGTAATGTAAGGCTATCACAGTATGCCAATTAGAAAATACTGGCACAAACAAAGTGCCAAGTGAAGGTCATTCAAATCTTAACCTAAAAAGGGGGTAACCCTAAATACATAACTGAAGGAATAGAAGCACAAAAATAGCATCAGTCAAAAAAGCTGACGAGAAGCATAAAAAAGGATGCTAAGAAAAAAAAATATCTTTGTATAGCAACAAATAAAATGTAAAAGAGACACAAAAGAAGATTTATTAGTGTCCACAACACATTCACATTGACTCACAAAAAAGTGTTGTGTGAGGTGTTTTGGCGGGACCAAACTGTATTCCTGCTTATTATGGATTTCCTTTAAAGGTAGGTAGTAAACAGCTAAAGCAATCCTTTTAAGATTAAGCAGCTGCGGTGGATTAAACTTGACACCATTACTTCCATACCTCATGTAGACTTCTATTCACCTCAGTAGCTTGTCCACAAACACACTTTCCCTCCCTTTTAAACCTACTGTTACCAATTTACCCCACGCAGCTCTTCCTAAACCTTGCAAATGTTTTTTGAAGTCCTTGCCAGCCCCCTGCAGAAGAGTGTATGCTACAATTGACAAGGATGTAATCTGTTTGACAATATTTGGTTGAAAAATCCCTCCATAGAAGGATCTCATTATTGTCTACTTAGGAATTATATGTAGCTAGTTAGCATGTGACAGAAAGGGTTAAATAAACTGTTATTTCATGAATAAAAAAAAAAAAACTCCTATTGGGTACTGCTTGTGTGTGGTTTTTTTTGTCTGGACACACTTGGGAAAACTTACATTCTTGGTGACAAGTAGGCAAATATGTTATCATGCCAGCTGAGGAATTTATCGTTTCCAGTTCATTTTCCAGATCAAAGTTGTAGGGGTAAAGAGACATGGAATGCCATTCTAATTAAGGCCTCTGTAAACTTGTTACAATGATGCGTAGGACACTTTACCAAAGTTCAATGTACGAGTGGGTCAAACACTTTAACAGCAGCATCTAAGTGCCCGGTTTAAGTATCAGCTGGCACCCAGGAATATAATGTCTTAAATCACTAGCTCTCTGGAGATCATTATATGTTACTTACAATGATGGAGCCTAGATTAGACGTGTTATACACACTAGAAGTTAAGTGACCTCTGTTTAATGCATCATGCAGTGATAAAAACTGCATTTGCTTTAACTTTGCTTTTCCAACAGACCATGGTAAACAACAAAAACAATAGTAAGGAAGTCCTTGAGTACTTTATTATCATCATCATTTTAACGCCCTTTAACATGCACTTTGTCATGCAGGAGTACTCTTTGTACCTTTATTTTGGCATGATACAAGCTATTCTATTTTGAAATATGTACCTGTATGAAATACAGGGCGAAGGTTGTTAATTAATCTGCCATTCAGTTTACAGGACAAATTGATCCCAGTGGCGTCTCACCCACATCTTGATAAGGTAATGGATGTTTTTGTTCTTTTCATGTCCCTGTTAGTTTATTTAAATTTTTTGGCGTTTGTAATTTCATTATCTATAAACATAAAAAAATGAATGACTCCTGCGACGAGATCTAGTAAACATGCATATATGTGTTACATAGTGTCCCTCACAGTTAGCAATAAGCGAATGTGTTATTAGGGTTTTAGTGTGCCAAAAAGAAAAATATGTATCAATTTCTCCACTCTGGTGGCTATTCATTGAGACCCCTGGTAAATGGGGATTAAGGGGTCTCTATTTGCTTATTTTTAAGGCTGGGATCTTTGCCACTGGTTTTTGGAATTCACGCTCATTTAGTGGGTAATCATGTCTTTTTTCAATGCTTTATTGGATATTATGTTTTGTGTGTATTTCCTTTCAGTTCTGCCATTTGCAAGCTGTACTTTGGCGCTCTTAGTGGCAACAATGAAATGCATTGTTAGTTGGGTAAACCTACATAGTGAAGGTTAATCTTTGAATTGCACTGCCTATTCAGTTAATTTTTACCTTGATTTATTTATTTATTTTAAATTCTTTATTTTTGCCTCACTCCACTTGGGAGTATGCAACAGACGATATTCCTGGAACAAAGTTATAGCATACAACAAGCATGACATTTAGACAATATGTATCAGTACAGAGTGGGGGGAGGATTTTTATATATGTATGGGCATGCTGGTCTAACAGGTAGCATTCACTGTAGTGTAGAACCTTTCTAAAGGTACAGATTAGCACCCTCTTATAACATATCTATGGCATATGTGTATCGTGCTATAAAGAGTGGGGAGGGTGGGTTGGGGGACTTCTCAGATAACGTGCACCCTCTGTGTAGGTTCGTCAAGATAGCGTCTAGGTCGGGGTGTCTCAGCTCCCCGTTGAGGTAACAGCTACATTACAGAGGGGAGAAGGGTAGTTAGGTATAAGTGGGAGCGCAGCAGCGGGTAATAATAACCATCAAAAATAATGTAAGAGAGTTATAATATTGTTAGTACGCACTTCGTCCGTATGATCTTGTTTTCCTTCTGGCTTGTTGGTCGCTGCAGACGAACTGTGTGTCTTGGGCCAGTCAAGTGACCAGGAGTGCAGGCGGGCGTCCTGTGGTTGACCGTGGTGCGAAGGTCGGGATCTTAGACGGGTCCAGGTTTCGGAGGCGGGAGGTTGAGTCTTGTTCAGGTAGCAGCTTCAGGCTGCGCATGTTGGTCTCTAGTTCCAGAGGGTTCTTGGCTCTGTAGGTGCCTCCCTGGTGAGTGAGTATGAGTTGTCTGGGGTTTCCCCAGCGGTAGGGCACGTCCTGGGCTCTTAGGATTTGGAGTAGTGGTTTCATTGACCTGCGCCAGAGTAATGTCTTTTTGGTGAGGTCAGGGAATAGGAGCAGAGATGCGCCTTCGAATTGGATTGGGGTTTTCCCTCTCACTGCAGATAAAATTAGAGCTTTGTCGTGCATTGTTTGGAAGCGGAGAATAAGATCCGCCGTGGCCGTGGCAGGGGCATTTTTTGGCATTGGTAGCCTGAACATGCCAGTTTTAGTGCCTTTGTTTGTTTGGCCGGTAGCAGTGTTGAGATGAGACGCCTTATGTAGTGTGGCGTTTCCTCTGTACTCACTGTGTCAGGGATGCCCCTCAGTTTAAGGTTGTACCGTCGCCTCTGTTCTTCCAGGGTGTCAACTCTGGCCTCCATGCCTTTCTGGGCTAGTTGTATTTCTTCCAGCCTACCTTGATTTATAATGTCAAATTTATATTTTCATCATGTGAATTAGTATCTATTTTCAGTAGCGTACATTACTGGTTTTTGTAACTGGTGACTGGCATTACATATTATTGCCTTGTTTGTTTTTTATTATCCATTGAGAGGACACCCCAAAGACAGCTTAATCTAAATGAAGTTGTTATGGTGCCAGGAGGCCCACTCTTACCTCAAGAGGTTAAAAAGTTCCTCCAGTGGCGATGTCCACTCCCCCCCCAGGTGGCATCAGGCTTATTCATTTTTAGATTCAGAAGGTGCAAAGTGCCTCCGGCAGGGCACCGATGATTGACTAAGTAGTCTACTGGTCTCCATTTACTAAAATCAGCAACTTTGGGCAGTTTAACCCCTTGAGGTAAGAGTGCCTCCAGGATTCCACTCGCACCATAACAACTTAATTTAGATGAAGTTGTTTTGGTGCCTGGAGTGTCCCTTTAATCTTTATTAAGTGATAAACTGTCACTCCATGAGTTTAATTATTATATTTACTAGGGATCGACCAATTATCGGTCTGGCCGATATTATCGGCCCATATTTTGTATTTTCAGAAGTATCGGCCAGTAAAGATACTGATATTGCCGATAATGAAGACCAGGGCCGGCATCAGGGTCCTGGAGGGCCCATGGCGGTCCTGGGGGGCCCAGCACACTCTTACTTACCTTCCCAGCTGCTCCCTTTAGCATCCGTGTCTAAATCTTATGAGTCCCGTGGCCGTCAGAGCGTTGCCACGGGTTCCCATGGCAATGCTCCATGTGGCACACAGGCCGCGAGAGTTAGACAGGGGAGCTGCTGGGAAGGTAAGTATCAGTGTGCTGGGCCCCATCTGCACAGTCCATTCCACCTGACCTCCAGGGAATTCCATACCCCCCTCCATGGCCAAGTAAGAAGCAGTGAGGGGGGCTAAAACATAATTTAAAAAAATTCAATATATAAAAAAACAAGTTACATAAATAAAAATGCTCCCCAACACCCCCCATTGTATACACTTAACATACCTGCACAAACACACACAGTCTGCATTCCTCATATATACACACACACTCTGCATTCATTATATACATATGTATATTTTGTGCATTTACCTTGATAAAAAAAAGATTTGCAAATAAATAAATAATAAACCTGTTCAGTTAACAGTAGATTTGTGTAGAAATAGTTTATTTTTTTAAATGGTAAATGTACAGAATATCAGTAAATTATCGGCCTGAATGTTCACAGATTATCGGTATCGGCTTTAAAAAATAAAAAAACGGTCGATCCCTAATATTTACCTATTTATTTGTGATATGTGAAAAAATAAATATAGAAATCTGCTCTTAGTCATTCAGTAACTGGCAGTGTTTTAAGGTCTGTCCTTTGTATTTTGCAGTCATTTTAGAGAAAGTATGCAGAGATGAGAAATTAAACACCGTTTTAATTTCAGCTCTTCATGTGCAATGTTTGCCCTCGCTTTCCCTTGTGTAATCTGACTAATGATGTAATTTGCTAAACCTTTAATATATCTTGTACAAAAAGTCACTTCTAGGTGACTTTCAATGTCTTATTCAGTGGTGTAAACTGCAGAGACTTGACCGTTCCCTTTAACTTTCCCAACCTCAATATCTACTCCATATTCTAGCAAAATGTTTGTAAAATATATTTTTATTAAAACGCCAGAAACAAACAAATTGCATGCATTTGTGAATTGCAAACTGTGATAGCTGAAATAGTTGAAGTATTGGAGTGTATTGCTTGTGGTAAATCTCTTGGTGGTGGTCTTGGGAAATTAAGCTTTGTTATTTTTTGTTTGACAAAGACAAAATCTCTAAGAACATATAATGGGTACAGGAGGTGGACATTAGCCCTCTTTTGAGGATTCAGAGTAATCTTCTGCCATTTCTGTTTTAGGTCAACAATATGTCTATTTGTCAAAATACACCTTGTTATACAGGATAATCTACCTTTCCTTCTTGGTTAGGGCTTACAGTCCCTAGGGGGGATGCTCATTGCTATAAACCTGGCCCAAGAACTCCACCTCTGCAAAGCAGGAACCTAATTACTGAAACTCAAGTTCCAGGAAGGTGCTGTCAGGGGGTATCTGCCCCACTTTAATAGCAGGCAGTACTATTTTCAATATGAATGTACTCTGCCTTTTACAGGATATTCTATTGTTATGCGCTGAGGGCAATTTCCTGCTTACCAATTAAGTTAAGACTTGGCTGTGTCAATTAACATATTAGTAGAACTTAGACTACCAGTGATCAGGGCCAGCTTTCACACCTGGGGAATCTGTTTGATATAAAGCCATGTTCTTGAATAATACTTCACAAGTGCTGAAAAAATGTTTTGGTTGGAAATCAGGATGAAGAGAACCACATTTATTGTAAAGGTATACTTGTCTATGTTTGATAAGAGGACCTATTGTTCTCTAAAAACTCCATTAAGTAATAGGCAATAATAAAATATCAAAGAAGGAGAAATGTTGGTCGCAGAGCGCAAAGTACTAACCAGTGGAGGTAATTATCCAGCCTGAAGTTCCAAATTAACCACTACTCGTTTATTCCCTGAAATATATAGTTTGGTGGTGTAATTGCCAAGCTACGAGATTTATAAAAAAGAAAAAAAATAGTCGTGTGTATGTATATATAAAAGGTTTCAGAAATAAACACATAAGTGCTGTGAAATTCAGACATTTGAATAATAGATTAAACGTGTTACCTTTGTGTATCAGGAATGCTGTGTTCTATATTACACTTGCCTAAACATTACAGGAGCTATGTAAAAGACATTGAATTAACACATTTTAGCACAGTATCTCTTCACACTTCTATGTTGGTCTAAATCGGTGAAGGTGATGTGTTGCTTGTCCGTAAACTTTAAAAAAAATAATAATAATTAGTGGCTATAGGACAGTATCATCATCCTTCATTAGTGTAATGTTGGACAGAATTCACTCACTGAGAGAGCACTTCCTGTCAGGATAGGGCTCCCTCACAGGCCCTATAGGTATAATGAATGAGAAAAAGGTGGCGCCACAGAGATAATATATAAGCAAGTAGTAATATAGAAATAAACAATGATATATAATACAGAGAGAGAACAATAAAAATAATAGGTGTGTGTATATATATATATATATATATATATAAAAATAAAAAATATATATAAAGAACAGACCAAAAAGAGTCCAGTAAAACCTTTGGATGAGAGAACAATCACAGTTCTATCGGAAGTGGAGACGTCTATGGAGTAGTGGGATCGAGCGGTTCGGGGGATCCGTATGAAAGAGAAAAGAAAATCTAATAGTGCAATTAAATAGGTAGCAGCCGATAAAAATTGTCTATATGGTCCTACTCTAGTATAAACTGCGTACAGTGGTATAACCCCCACTTATGGGATACCTGAGGGAGTGTTATAAGTAGATATCTTGTCAGAAGGGCACCATATGTAACATAAAAAAAACCACAATAGTGCTCACTGTGATAAAACCAGGAGAGTGTATTTATACTATATAGACCATATATATATATATAATTATGTTTATGTTTCTCTCTCTGTATTATGTATCATTGTTTAGTTCTATATTACTACTTGCTTATATTTAATTTTATATATTATCTCTGTGGCGCCACTTTTTTCTCCTTCCTTACTCCTGGTACCAAAACTATTAAAGTGCACTGTAGTAATTATGGCTCTAGGAGAATTCCTTTAAGGAAGAATAAACACTTTTGAACACCATTTTATATTTTGACAAAAGGAAGCATAAGCAATTAATGAAACAGGATAAGCTCTGCTGACATTCTGTAAGAATGTCACTTTTTTGTTATTTAATTTGGTCATAACTGCCTCATTTGACAGAATGCCAGACACCTAGTGCGTTCTTATTTTTCTATGTTAAAAATCAATTTATTCCTTTTTTTTTTTTTTTAAATAATTGTTACACACACATATTCCCCTATTGCAAAGAATAAATGATTCTTTTTCAACTTTAATTTTTATTTAAAGAAATGTCAGGTGATCCCCGCTTAGAAAAATAGCTCTGTCCTATAATCTGCCCCAAAAGTAGGTAGCAACATTTTTGTATTTCTGATATAAAAGTAGACTAAAGAACATATCAAAAACTAATCTCACATTACATTTCCATTCGTGTAGTGGAAGCATTGGCTTTTGAGCATGACTAAAGAGCACACTAGATCTTTGGCCATTCCCATGCCTATGTATAGATTTCTGCTGATTAAAATAATTCTATTGTTATGGTAAGTCAGCTGTTGTTGCAAAGCTAACAATGTCACTTCATCTCTGTATTTAAAATCGGGCTTTGATGTAAATACTCCTGGAACACCTCAGCAGCTAGTAAATTACAAAGAACAGGTCTCTTCTTTCTTAAAAGAATACACTGGTAGATAAATTAGTTTGGGGAAAATATCAATGGGCACAATGTTTCTGGAAACATCCAATTACTGAAGTGTGAACTCTTGCTGAGAAACTAGAAGGTTGTTCCTTTTTCAGTGTATTGAAAGCAATGTAGGAAAAGTTAATGGACTTGTGGAAGTTGTGTTTTAGCTTCTGAATACTGCCCTGCAAGTTAAATACTGTGGCGGAACCTTAAGAGAGCTGTACATAAACAAATACCAGCATTCCTCACGAAATTTAAAACTAACATATCAGGAACACAAATTAAAAAGGAAAATTCTATCGACCATGTACTCTCTTCTGGTAGAAGCAAACTCCCAGGCCATACCGCACTTTGCCATGAGGTGGATCTTTAATATTGATTGGTGTGAAGAAAATAGACTTTTATTTGACATTTTCTTCTTTGTTCTGTATTTTCCCTGTTTATTACATGTATATTGCATGTAATGGTTCGGTAGTTTGAAACTACCGAACACCGACCCCCCTCCTGGCTCATTAACTACAAAGGGAACCATCAATTAAGTGCTTCCTGGGCAGCCGCTGTTCGTATAGCCGAACGCCACGTGGAATAGAAGACGGCGGCCATCTTGTTCGCACTAGGGGAGTCAGCGGGACTTGGTCGTCGAGTGTCTGGAACTAAAATCCGACACTCGACCTCCCGAACCATCGCTGAAACTACCGAACGCCGGCTTTCTTTACTTCCCGAACAGCCAGGAGAGCGCCATTCGGTAGTTCTGTGCGAACGGACAAGGGGAGCAATCGCTCCTATGAGCCAAGAAGATCCATTCGGGACTTTGTTCGGTTTTGTACCTGTTTCTGAATTGACCGACCGCACACGCTGAATTCATGGAACTGTTTTGGGCAGGAGCCGCGTGTGTGGTCGGTAAAAGATACCCTCCATACTTTTTAAGAACCCCTGAACCGATCTGGGTGAAATTTGGATATGTTTGTCCCCCAGATCGGGGCTATCAGGGGATTTGTAATTTGTGGGGATATCTTGTGGGGAAAGGGGTGTTCTAAGTTTTGGGGAAATTGTGTGCTCTCTGCCTGGAGATAATTGGTTAATCCCTTAACTTATCTCAATATCTCCCAGGCAGAGGGAAGGCGTGTATTACTGTAAATCTGTACGTTGATTGGCTGTTGTCTTTGTTTGCTGTGGGAGGTCCTCTTGCAGGAGGTTTTCTCATAAAAGCCTGTGTGTTGTCAATAAAATTCATTCCTGTTACACCCTTCACGAAGTCTAGGCTCATGTTTGGGGTGTATTCTATTTGCTGGGAAGAATCATCTTGGAACTGCATTCATCTATCCTATTCCTCTACTCCCTGCTGCAGCTATAATCACTTATGCTCAGCTGTTGGGAAAAGGAACAGAAGACTGCAGCACCATAACCACTGCAGGTCTTAACAATTGGGCCCTGGGCATTAGATAGGGCCCCCTGTCCCCCACTCCACAACCCCTCTCCCTGACAATCCTGCTCTCCACTTCCTAACGCAGTAGCTGAACCATTTTGAATGGAAGCATGTTTTTGTATGGAGTATGTTTGTGTAAATGTAGGAGTGCGTTTATATGTGTATTGGTGTTTGAATGCAAGCATGCATCTATGTGTAGTTTTTTTTTTTTTAATGCTGGGGTGTGTTTATACATATTTTTGGTGTTTAACACAAAGGTGTGTTTTGTATGTATTGTTGACGTTTCAGTGCAGGACTGTGTTTGTATGTAGTGTTGAAGTTTGAATGCAGGGGTGTACTTGTGTGTAGTGTTGGCGATTTGAATGATGAGATGTATACACATTTACACATACACTGCCACACACACACTGTGATACACATACACACAGGAACACATGCAGATACAGATGTAAATACTGACACCGACACTAACACACATGTAGATACAGACTGACAAATACACACATCAACACATACAGACACACAGATACACAACTTGACACACATACAGAGACATTTATACAAACGCTGACACATATGGATACTCAGACACACTGATGCATATGCTGACACACATGCAGATACACAGATAAAAACACTGACTATATACAGATGCAGATACACACAGTGACAACACACAGATAAACACATACAGACACGCAGATACACAACCTGACACACATGCAGATACAGATACACACAGACCACATAGAGAAACATAGATATACTAGATACAGATATACACACTGACACACACAGATATACATACTGACAACATAGAGATACACACTGACATAGTGACACACACTGACAGATGCATACACACTGACAGACATACTGACACACACATAGACATACTAAGACACACACTGACATACTGATAAACAGACAGACATACTGACACCCTGACAGACATGCTCACACACATACATACTGACACACAGGCACCCTGACAGACATAATGACACACACACAAACATACACTCACATACTGATAAACACAGACAGACATACTGCCATACTGACAGACATACTGACACACACAGAAATGGTGACACATACCACACACACACACACACAGACACCCTGACAGACATATTCACACACATACTAAGACACACACAGACATACACACACAAATACTGACATACACACACATGCAAAGTTTAAATTTTTTAAGCTACCCTCCATCCCTACCTAATGGGTTCAGGAGGGTGGCTTCCCTGGGGTCCAGTGACAGGCTTAGGTAGTTGGGAGTGTGAGGCTCTGAAAGCCCCCTTCTGACGGCCTCCTCCTCCTTCTTCCTGCGCGGCTTCACTCTATCTGGGAGGCAGCTACTCACTCCCAGCCTGCTGCCATAAAACAAGGGGACCCAATTGCGCTTTTAAGGGGCCACAGTGCCCGACCGGACCTTCTTAGCGTGGCCTATGGGGCAAATAAAACATGTTTTTGCAGACAGCGGGGCCAATGGGGTAGCTGCTTTGGGCCCCCCAGGAGTAACTGGGCCCGGGGCAGTTGCCCCGTTTGCCCCGCTTTAAAGACAGCCCTGAGGTGGATGGAGGAATTGCAGGTGGAGATCACTCTGGGTCAGTGGAAAGCAATTCTCCTAAAAGCACACACATCTTCTACTAACTTAGGCACACAAGAAAGCAACTACAAAAGCATTATGCGATGGCACTACACACCCGCGAAAATTCATAACATTCACGATAACGCCCCAGACGAGTGCTGGAGATGTCACCAACATAATGCTCACATGACACATATATGGTGGAAATGCCCAGAGATCTAAAGGTTCTGGAAACGTATTCATACAATGATCCAGATGATCTCCTCCTCAAAAATCCCTTTCTCTCCTGAATATATCTTACTCTTAGCGCCCATCCCAAATATCAAGGCCAATACAGCCAAATTGGTAGCCCACCTACTGACAGCAACGAACCAGCTTATCCCTGTTCTGTGGAAACAGGTAAAAGTACCCACAATCCAGGAATGGATACATAGGGTTGAATTTGTAAGACAAACGGAGATCACTTTCTCGATTAGTAAGAGATACTCCAAGTACGCTCAATCATGGGACCCATGGCGTAACTTTATCCAAATGCAAACAACTCCCCAAGATACTTATCCCAGAACCTGGGAAATGCAGGATATTAGGCTGGCTTAGTATAAGTGTCCAGTGGACGAGATGTCCCACATACCCAAAAGCAGTAAGAACGGGTGATAAGGTTAGCAAGTAGAGTTCTGGGAAACTCCAGAGGCTATCCAACACCAGTCCGGAGGTGACTGAGAGTACTTGTAAAACCCTGGTCCCCTATTATCCTTGTCAGACAATCTATCACCCGGTACAGTGATCATACTGGCCCACTGGCAATAATTGCAAGACCGATATTAGACCCGTACCATGACCCGACCTACACGAGCAGAGGCACATATAGGTCACAAGTTATCTTATACCTCACAAGGAATGCCACGAATATGGCAGCCCAAATTAACACTACATTTGTAGATAGCGCCCCCACGGCTAGGAAGCCCATGCACATAAGCCAAGGTAGCCTAAACACAGGCACAGGACTATGCTGCTAAGATGGGCCCAAGTAAGCAAGATATATCATGACAACCACAGAAGCAAATGCATACATATATGGCTTATAGTGTAATAATGATAAATTTGATGTCACACATTGTGAACCAAACTATATATTTTCCCTCTGAACCCCCCACCTATCGCATTTCATCTTACTGTATCGTTTTAAGAAAAATAAAATGATTAAAAAAAAAAAATACCAGCAAACCTCAATGAACTGGAGCAACATTGCAAAAAAGACACAATTTGAGAGACTGATAAAGTCATAGAGAAAATGATTAATTTAAGTTATTGCTGCTAAAGGTTGTTCTACAAGCTATTGAATCATCCGGCGTACTCCGTTTTTCACACATGGCTTCTCCTTGTTTTTTTAATTTTGTTAATAAATCATGACACAGTGTAATATATCGTGTGTTGTTGATCTGAGGTTGTATTTACCTTTTAAGAGCAGTTAAGGAACAGATGATTGTTATTATGGTTGAACTTTCAAGGTTGTTCTTTCTCTTTCCTGTGACTGTATATATCAAGTACATGTGTAGATTATTATAACTTCATGTTCCAGATCACGCTTGGCATTTACTACTACTTGGCCTAATTTGTTTTCCCATTCTTTATTTAATATCAGACAGTGGGTGATACTAAATTAAATTAAACCGGCCTTCTCTAACATCAGGATAGGGTGCAATAATTAGCTTGTAACACTATTAATCAGTACACAATCTATCACTTGTCGTAAACACAATGGGCTATGTCCCAGTGGCAGTGGTGTATCCTGGTTTTGTGCTGCTCTATGCAGAATCTCCAAGGATTTGGGGAAGGATATTCATTTTGAGTGTATTCTGCCCAAACATGAGATCAGTTTATGCCATCTATCATTGCTACTTGGCCTTATTTGTACTTTTTAGAAATCTTTCTGTGAAACATTGAAAACTAATCATGCTATATATTGGTTATTACCCACACATAGATGGTCAAACTGAAAGACCTAATCCAAGTTTGACATTAACTTTACACATTTTTACCATTCGTCATTCTCATGCCAAGAATTCTGTTGCCAAGGGTAATTCGTTTATCCTTTTTAAAAAGTGCAGAGGGCACATGTGGAAGTAAAACATTGCAAGCTGCAAGCAAGCAGTACATGTCATAAGCATATCATATGTTGGATCTACAATAAAGATTACTCATGGTAATAACAACGAGCATCCACTAACAGCAGAACAAGGAAAGGCCTGAAAAATAGAGGTGTCTGTGTTTTCTATATATGCTTCTAATTGATTGCTGCCTATCCTTACACAGATTCTCAGAAACCTGGTCGATGATGGGTTTCACCATAGCAAAGTTGGAGTGAGTGACCTGGGCAGACTGCATGCTTTCCACTTAGGCAAGGAGTGAGGGGGGAACAAGAAAATGAAATATCTATAAATAAAAATAACTGATAACCATTTGATGTTGTCTTTTTTCTAAAATCTTATTTCAGCCCCCAAAAAAGCCAGCGAGGGCACTGTGCAGACTGAGCTCCGCAGGGCGGGGAAAGGCTTATAAAGCCTTCCTACGCCTTGCAATTTGACTTAGAGCACTCTGATTGGTTGATTTCAAGCCAACCAATCAGAGTGCTCTGACAGGTAAATGAAGAGACAGACAGGTAAGTCTCTACATTTACCTGTCACAGCACTCAGATTGGCTTGAAATACAACCAATCAGAGTGCTCTGTGTCATTTTACACAGCGTGGGAAAGTTCTTTGGAATTTTTGCATGCTGTGTAATTTGACTCAAACTTGTGATTGGTTGCTTTTCAAATTTCTAAAAAGCAAAAGCATGTGGGCTATACTAAATAATAATTTTAAAAAAGCCAATTTCAATAAGATCAGGGCAGCTCTACAACATATCGATTGGCATAAACTCCTTAGTGAAAAAAACCACTGAGAATAAATGGAAGCTCTTCAAACAAATATTATAAATGTACATTTCTCAGTATGTACCATTGGGTAAAAAATATAAAAGAAACAAATTGAAACCAATATGGCTTAGTAGAGAAGCAAAACAAGGGATTAATAATAAGAAAATAGCATTTAAAGCATTCAAATCAGAGGCATCCTATATAAGATATAAGGAAGCCAATAATGCTTGCAAAAAGGCAATTAAAGTGACTAAACTAGAAAATGAGAAATGGATAGCCAAAGAATGCAAAACCGCCCCCCAAATTTTTTTCAAGTACATCAATTCTAAAAAAAAAACAAAAAATGAAAGTGTAGGTACACTGGAAACAGAGATGGGTCTGTTAATGAAGACCAGGAAAAGGCAGAAATTTTAAATAACTTTTCTTCAGTGTATATTAATGAGGATCCCATGGCAAGATATATGCAAATGATTGCTGCAAAAAACTTGCAGATAATTTGTGATTGGTTGAATCGAGACAAGGTGCTACAGCAGTTAAAGAAAATTAATGTAAATAATGCTCTGGGGCCTGACTGTATTCACCCAGAAGTCTTAATCTTTCAAGATTCTTTTATTTCAGGTATTGTACCGGAGGATTGGAGGAAGGCAGGTGTCGTTCCTATATTTAAAAAGGGTTTAAAATCCTTGCCTGGAAATTATAGACCTGTGAGCTTAACTTCTGTGACTGGGAAGATATTTGAAGGGCTATTAAGGGATAATATTCAGGAATTAATTTGAAAGAACTTTATTTGCAATAATCAGCATGCTTTTGTCTAAATGACAGGACGTTAGGTAATACGGACAGGAAGCATGCGAGATCACGGAGGCAAGGTAAGACTTGTGGGAAAATTTCTCTGACCACAGGAAACGGAGCACACTTTGCTCCTCTGCTGGTCAGAGATGGTCAGGTGTAGGAAACCTTCATAAGACAAAATAGCCCCTACTTTATGTTTTAAAGAAAACTAGAGCAGACAGGAAGAAATGAAGAACAGATCCGGACAGAGGGAGAGAAGAGGAATCGATTGGGGAAAGGTAAGTTCGGCATGACAGTATCGCTTTAATAACAGGTCCATAGGTTATTGACACTTGCAGAAGCCTAGTTGTATCAGTTTTGCCTCCAGCCTGAGGCTTGTCCTGCAGACCATATTCTTATATGAAATTTGGATAAAACCTTGTGAACAACCTCTAAATGGCTCACAGAGGATATAGAAATAGGACATTAAGGCACCTAGACAAGTTTACTTTATTCTGAAAATAATACCATAACTTAATTCGATTTACATGGTACTCACAGATGCTTTGCTCATGAACAATTCTACATTTTATAAATACCATGCATTCAGAAAGTATCTAGGCCACCACATTTTTCAAATTTTTTTAAAAGTTAAAATTTCTGCCTCATGCTACAATAGCCTAAATTTGTATTTTTTTCATATCAATCTACAGTCAGTGCCCCATAATGACAAAGCAAAAAACAGATATTTGAAAACTTTGCACATATGTTAAAAAGAAAAAACTGAAATATCACATTGATGGCCACAGCCATCAGGGAACACCATTCCATGAATGGGTGTATGTGGTCTGCATAAATCTCTAGGTAGGTGGTACTTGTCAAAGTAACATCCATATGAATGGCAGGACCCAATGTTTCCCAGCAAAACATTTCCCAGAAGATAACACTGCCTCTGAAGGCCTGCCTTCTTCCCATAGTGCATTCTGCTGCCATCTCTTCCCCGTGTAAAGGACGCACTTGGTCATCCACCTGATCTTAATAAAACGTAAGTCATCAGACCAGCAACCTTCTTCCGTTGCTCCATGGTCCACTTTTAAAGTCACATCCCAATTGAAGTTGTTTTTGGTATTGGACAGAGGTCATCATGGGCACTTTGACCAGTCATGGCTACACAGCCCCATATGTAGCAAACTGTGATTTTCTGTGTGTTTTGACACTACAAAAGATGAGTGAATAAGGTGGCGCAAAATCAATTAAAGAGTGCACGTATTCCAACCCTTGTAAAAATTCCCAATTGATACGTGCTGCAATGATACAGAAGCATGGTAAAAAAAATCCACAATAACAAACAGTAATAAATGGTGCGCATAAATAAATGAAAAATTATACACCACAAAATTCCATTGAAAAATGTCGACAAATTCCTTAAAAGCAATGAATCTATATCATGCATATAAATATAAAAATAAATAATTTCAAGAAAAAAATGCAAAAGTGACAACAATATCTCTCAGGCATCTATAATTGCAGCAATCAAAACATTTCAGTGCAAAAAACAATTCATGTGCAAAAAATCACCATAAAATGTGTACAAGTAATTTTACAGCAACGAAGGAGCACATCCAATATACGCACAATTTCCCTTATGTTGATCCCGTGGATCTATAAATACAAATTAGAAAAACTCCCAGTGCAACACTGTTAAATAGATAGCGTAAGCTGTCAGCTAATGTTGTGGCTGATCAGTGTACATAGTACCATTTTTTTGACTGCAATATTTACATTGCAGGGTTAAACACACACTGCTAGTGGCTGTCTTCCTGGCGGCCACTAGAGGTGCTTAAACGCAGCTTATGGGAAAACATTTAATTCACAGGTAATAGATGTTAACATTAGTAGTGAATAATTGTCTACAAATACCTTTAAAAGCCGATGATGTGAAAACTGTTTGTGTTGTCTGTGAAAACAATCACAACGTTATAAGGGTGCTGAGCTTCCTGTGTGCACATGTGTAAACATTTAGCATGTGAACAGGAGGGTTTTTAAATGTTTTCCTGTAAATGTTGACAGTGCTGTGATTTAGGGTTAATTATGAAGGTTTCTTCATACCCGTTAAAAGCACGGGTGTTCAAAGTGTATTCACAAAGTGCTGTAACTTCATACCCACCTCAGTCTTGCTCTTACAGCTGTTTTACAAAGGTCTCCGCAAATAATGGTGAAAGCGCTATTATGCGTTTATTGGAGAGGGCAGTGTTTCACTAAGAATCATTGACAGACTGCTGAAATCCATTAACTCAATTATCTGTTGTGGTGAAGTATTTGAATGTTCAGATCAAGGCAGTTTAGATGCTGCATTGAATGCTACTTTCGAAGTCCTCTTTTGGCACTCTAATGACAAACATCATGGAACATCAAATGGGTAATCAATCATAAAACATTATAGTCTTTGTGAATCTTGTTAATGCAGAACTGCCTTTGATCACATTTATGGACTATAAACATTGCTCAGTTTTCAGTTTGGGAGGATCTAAAATTAGTTTGAATCAAAATGTCACTAGTGTAAACTGTAACAAAATATTGGATCACCATGTAAACCAATGAAAACAGAAATAGTCCATTAGTTTCTATGGTGATTTCTCTACTTTTATAACTGTGGTTCACTTTTTATTTTAAAAAGGAATTGACCTCTTTGTCTTCTGAATGGATAATTATTGCTTTAACACTTTTCCCAAAGCAGTCTTGCCAAAACCCTTTAAGCGTTTTGATTTATTTCTCATTTTATATTATTTTAATAACAAGGTGCGCAACAGATGTATACTTATGTGAAAGGAATATATTGAGGATAAATCAAACCAGGTGTTGAAGCTCCTTTTAGTAAAGGGACACAGTTGTGTTTTTTGAGGAAATGGTGATTGTTTATTTGGCAGGCTACTGTTTGGACAAAATTGCATTTCACACTTACAAATTGATTCTTGAGTAGCTTACACTACTTTGTTTGGTGTCCAGAAGATTAAAGAGCGTTATTACTGTTGATGATGTATAAGGAGAACTGCTATTTTCTCACAGAAGGATAGTTTAGGAAGAATAACAAGGATGTGATGGACTGGTTATGTACGCGTGAAAACCAAACTAATATTGCTCATTGATCTTTTGCAGTTTTGTGTCTTAACACACCGTGGTAATTAACAAAAAAAAAAAAAAAAAAAGTTTGAAAAAGCCCAAGAATTCTGAATATTGTGAAGAAAGGTTTTGGAGTAATATTGTAACTTTTATAGTTTATATAGAGTTGCACTTCATTGCCTTTAAAGTATTTTTTTGCAGACTTGATTTCATTCTATTGATTTACCTATTAACAATATTCAAATGTAGCTTTGTTAAATTTGTCTGAAAGCCACCACAACTAAAACTTGTAACATTTGTAGCTCATAAGAGCTTAACAATATTAACTAAAACAGACGCATGGCAAGCTATTCTAGAAATGTATTTAATATTGTATTCTGCTTTTCAAAATTTTTTTAGGAAGAGCATTTATATGGAAATATTGAATAAAAAAAAGCTATAAGGAACAAAATAATATGAAGTAGAACTGAATTTTTTTATGAGCTCCTAAACGGAGAAATATAAAAAATCTCCAGTCCAATAATTACTTAAAGCTGGTAACGGAGAGCGTTTGTCAGATAGTATAGTGCAATTTCCAAGGAGAAACAGACCTTTCCTGGTTTTTAATGTAGAACAAATATATATATATTAAACATTTTTACACTAGTAATTATATATATATATAAAACACACTATATGGACAAAAGTATTAAGACCCTTGACCATTACACCAACAGGTACTTTTATGACATTGCATAGACATTGATATGAAGTTGGTCCCCCTTTGCAGCTATAACAACTTCAACCCATCTGGGAAGGCTTTCCACAAGATTTTGGAGCATTTCTCTGAGAATTTTTGCTCATTCATCCAGTAAAGCAATTGTTAGGTCAGGCACTAATGTTGGACTAGAAAGTCTGGCTCGCAATCTCTGTTCCAGTACATCTCAAAAGTGTATTATGGGATTGAGCTCAGGACTCTCTGTGGGCCAGTCAAGTTCTTCCACACCAAACTCATCCAACCATGTTTTTATGGACCTTGCTTTGTGCACTGGAGCACAGTCATGCATGGCTAGGTGCTTGATTGTAAACACCTGTGGAATGGGTGTAATTGAAACAATCTACTAATACTTTTGTCCATATAGTGTATATACATTCATACAGGAAATACAAATTTCCACTCGCTATTGGTGAGTGGAAATGTAGCCCTGGAGCGTTGCAATTCATTCCTGGTAGGTATATATTATGACTTGCATTGGTGAATGACTATTAAAGCCCGGCTAGTAGCATAAAACATCAAATTTTAAGTACTTTTGATGTATGGGTCTGTATATAAATATAGGTAGATATATAAGATATATTACTTTGAGGAAAGCAAACCGATAACCTGACCACTACTCAGCTGTGCTTGCCAGGTTCTGAGCTATTCTTTCCACAGGTTTATTAGTTTTACAGGGTTATTCAGTAGAGTGAAAAATCTAATAAAATTTCAAATGAAGTCCAAAGTAGCTTAACTGAAAGCATTGACTGACTTAGAGATTTATTTTTTGAGTTTAGCTATTTTGACCTTAAATTTGAATCACTTTGAATTCTCACATTAGTGAATAACTTTGCTAACTTCCCTATTAAGCTTTTTGCTCAGGTTATGGTGGAACAATTATCATTGCAGCTTATGTGATCACTGACCTACCCTGCTCTGTGACCGTGCTCCTTCCACTTGCCTGTAAAATGCCTTCAATCAGTGAGCACTGCAGAGGAAATTTTACTGATCTATCCAATCAGCCCAAAGAGTTTCAGATACCCATAAACACTTTTTCTGATGATAACTAATTTTCTTATCACTTTGGTTAGACTGGGCATTGTCATCACATCACATGGATTGAAAGTAATATTAGGGACATCTGTGGTTGGGTGGACCTATATGCTTAGATTCACATGTTCGAGCAGTATCACTTCCTCCATTCAAAGATAAAGTGTGAGATTATACATACTAGGAGTGATGCAGATGGTAATTCTATACTTATTCTATTGGATTTTTTAACTGTGGAGAATTTGTATATTTGTTTTTATTTTTGAAGCTCTTTACAGAGAATGTGTTATCTATATTTAATATCCACTGAAATAAATGATTTGTCTTCACAGAGTATTGTCACAGTCACATTTGAAATTGATGGAAATGTGAATGAGGAAAAATTAAACTTATTCATTCAGGTAACATGGGATATATTTATTTTATGTAGGGTGCCTTCCTCTTGTACTTTTCATGTGAGTTCTAAATAATATATTTACTGCTTTTTAGGATCTGCTTTGGGAAAAAAATATAAAAGACAGTAGTGGCAACACCATGGAGGTCATACGATTAAAGGTATAGTATAAAAACATGTTATAAATTGCTGTCTGTTCAGCATTCCATAACCGGCTTTGAATAAGGGATCTATGATGGTTATGTGTGAACAGCAGATCTAATATTGTTTTAAAAGCAAAGCAATTGCTGTAGAAACAAACAGAATGTTCCTGTTGATTGCTGAACTTGAAATGATCACTTTGGGCACCAACTTAATTGGAAAGAAATTGATACGATGCAAGGAGGTCCACGGGGAACCGGCTTATCTCAAAGGATTAAACCATTTACAAAGTGTTGAGTCCGGTGCCTCGCTGCTTTGCCCACGAACATCTGCTGTAGTCTGAGGCTTGAATCGGAAAGCCTTGGATAGGGGCACCGTTGATAGATTTAGAGCATCAGCTGACTCTCTAAGTCTTTCGATATCTCCCCAAGTTCTCAAGCTGTTCAGTGAATGGGGTACTTTTGATAGCATCAGCTGATGGTCTCAGCCTATTAGTGGAGCTTCTATCTGAGGCATCCTGAATGACTGTGTTGGATGTTCGTGGGCAGAGTGATCGGGCAGCAGATGCAACACATTGTGGTTAAACAATTTATTAATGGGACCTCATCACACCATAACAACTTAATTCCATTGAAGTTATGGTGCCCAGAGTTTCCATTTAAAGGGACACTATAGGCACTCATTGAAGTGGTATGGGTGAAGTTCCCCTGTCCCTTTAACCCTGCAATGTAAGACTTTGCATTTTCAGAGAAACTGCTATATTTATGTTCACGGTTAAGACAACCTCTAGTGTCTTCCAGACAGCCATTAGAGTTGCTTTCTGGCTTCTAACAGAGTTTTAACTCTGTAAAACGATGTTGGGCGTCCTCATCTTTTGCATGAGGATTTTCAGCGTCTTCAAATTCCCACTAGGTAAACGTTGATTCAGTGCTTGCCTAGTGGGAAGGTCTAATGTATGCATGCCCATTACGTCTTCCGTTGGTGTGATGTCGCGGGTGAAGGACACTGAGCCAGAACCTTGGAACCATGGTGCTGGAGTTAAGGTAAGTGCAAAGGGTTTTTCACTCTTTCATGCTTTTGTTGGGGGTAGTTAGGAACAAGGGCATACTATATATAGCATGAGGAATACAGGTTTTTTTTTTTTTATTATTCCTAATGCTATAGTGTTCCCATCCCATTGTACAACATTTTGTACATTTCTGTCTTCTTTATGCTCTCTCCAACAGGGATTGGTCTCTGTCAAAGATAAAGCTCATCAAGTGATTGTACAAGGTGTTCATGAGTTATATGACCTTGAGGAAACACCAGTGAGCTGGCAAGAGGACTCTCAAAGACTGAACCGAATGGTGTTTATAGGTAAAATTCTGCATAGCCATGCTTAAAGATGACGAGGGTCCATCATTAAGGTTCACAGTATACAACCAAATCTGACATATATGATTACATTTTATTCTGACTTTTTAAGTTACGAGTGTCAAAAAAAAAAAAAAATGCTAAATGTAATACTGAATATTTGATTACATTGTATTATCCAGAAACCTTTCAAAATTTTATCTGTAAAATATAGTATTTTTTTTGTAATGTTTTTATTCAAGAATATCTTGAATATATCTTGATTTCTCCCTTGCTGGTTGAGGTTTGTCAATGTTTCACGAATGCCAGCATCATGTATTCTTTCTTATTACCAATGCGGGAATGATGGTTAGAAAAAATATATATATTTAAAGGCACTTTAGTTGTTAGATTTGTCATCATAAGTTTATTTTATCTGTAACAAACTAATCAGGTTCCCTCTATAGAATGTATAGGTTTTTGGTCTTAATTCTACAACAGCGTGTGAAGTAGATTTTTCTTTAGTAGATTGAATTCATGGTGCCATAGTTACATTGCTGGTCGTCAGTATGACAGCTCTGCATAAATAATTATAGGCTGTAGAACAGGTCTGTAAAAATAAAATAATTGTGTATTGCGCTAGAACTTACAAGTGAAATATGTAAATCATTCCCAGTTTCATAATTTCTTACTTTGAGTTTAGAACAAAGCACTATATACACATTTATAGCTGCATGTTACAGTCAAAATTATTTACACATCACCAACATATTTAGCTGCACAAGAGGTAAAGAAGACAAACATTTCATCCTAACAAAACACACATATATATATATATATTCTACTTGCTGATTCACATATTAGAGTTGTAAGATATTTGTAATTATTTGTAATCTTGACAAATGTACTTAATAATTTTTAAGTCCTGTATATTTCAGATTTTCACCTGTGAGATTAAAATGTGTCCTTTTTGATTCCCAGGTAGACACTTGGATAAGGATATCCTGAGAGAGCTCTTCTTAGCAACAGTAAATGTGTGAATGTTTCACAAGCATGCCACCCCTGGATTGAATAAACGGATTACTGGCAATAAAATAATGGATGTAGTTCTTCATCCCTCAGTCATGTTTCATGAATACACTTGATCTTTGTTATTGTGTAAATAAATTACAATTAAATAAACAGGTTATTGTTTATGCCTTAGAATCTCAGAAAGATTGCTTTGTCAACAAAGTTCAACTATGACAACATTTGTAGGGGGGACTTGTATACACCCAATGGATGTGAAATGACATATGTACAGAATGTTAAAGGGACAATCTAAAGCACCAAAACAGAGGTTTTTTTAAAAAACACATTTATTTTAGTTTAAAGACACGTAACTATGAGTTTTATTGCTTTGGAGCTCTGTTATATACTTAGACACACAAACAATATTGAGCTCCTAGAACAGAAGAATTTGGGCCCAAATTCTCCCTCCTAAATAAATAGAAATAAAAGTGATTTAACTTCTAAATGGCAGAGCGACTACAAGAGCATGATCTCTACACTAAAACTGCTTCATTAAGCTAAAGTTATTTTAGTTATTATATTATACTTTTTAAAGAGTGCAAGAAATACAGCCAACTAGCTAACATCTAGCTTTAATAGCTTTCACTGGTTGTCTTAGTGCTGCTGAGTAGAGAACAAGTCTGAAATTATTTTGGATATAACATTAGGTGGATACTACCAATGTTCCAGCCAGATTTAGGTTTGTGAGCAGTTTTCATATAATGTGGTGTTTGCACGCTTTTTAAAATTTGTGGTATTATATGTATTGCTCACAATTTAGGTTTGAGTGAATTACTTAAAAAATGAAAGCAATTTACAATTATTTTCTTGAAAAGCGCATTGTATGTGGCTTAACTGTGAGAAATAAATTGGCAAAAATCTATAAAATGCCATATATGTATTTTCTGCAATAAAGTTAACATATACCGGGTTATCCACTAGAATGAGAATTTAATGATTTCTATGTGAATTCCAAATTTAAGGTTAAAATAGCCAAACTGGAAAATTTGTCTAAATTTGAAATTCAAATGAAATACTCACATTAGAATAAATCTGCAGTGTATGATGATATTGTTAGTAAGATTTACTTTTTTTTAAAAATTTTGCTGCTGTAATAAGTATGCAACTTGCAGGGGTTTTTTTTGTAGTGTTGTTTAAGAAAACCCATGATAGCATTTACCATAGATAGTGAAAAGTAAAGAGACTCAATCTAAAAATGAGGCCAATTTTTCATACAGAGAACATTCAACTTTGCATGAAAAATGTGTTTTAAATTGGGCTGTGAATTTGATTAGTAGTAACGAGTGACCAATATACATTTAAATTCTTTATTTTTAGAGACAATCAAGAATGTTTTAATAAGGTATTGTCATCACATAAAACATGTTTCACTTGTTATAGAACACATTAAACCATGTGACACAAAACATAAGGCAAATAATCACGTAATCACAAACATTATAGGGAGAGAAGAGGGGGGAAAAAAGGAAGTGTGGGGGCGCCTAATGTGTCCACACAATCTCTGTTGAGGATGTGAAATCCTGCCAAGGATCCCAAACTTTATATAAAGAGGGTAGAGTGTTGTGGCAATCAGCAGATCCATGAAGTGATTTTCATAAATTGTTGCTCTGACCTCTCTGATTGAAAGGGCCAAAAACTCCTAATCAATATACTGCTAAAGCCCTCCTTGTTGTTAATGGTATTTTGTTAAACAATTTCTTTGCCTTCTTCAGGAAGTATTCTGATGACCATATGAGAATAAAAAAATAAGGGGTCTTAATCAAAGGGACTATGAAAAACTAATGTCAGATGCCTGATTCCAGAAGTGTATGTAGCGTTGTATACCAACTTTCCTCTAAATGCTTGAAATCCCATGGGCACATTCCCTGGGGACACTCTCTCTGCCTAAGGACTAGGGCAAGAGGAGAGGGATCGGAGGCCAGTTGGAATTTATATTGTATCTTATCCCAAATGGAGAGAGATGCAAGGATAACAGGGCACTTGGTTTATTCAACCACACATAAAACATGGGAAGGTCAGACCCAGTTTAGGTTCGGCAGCCCTAATCCTCAACCAATTATGGGTCTGTATAGCCTGTTCCTTGCCAGTCTTTGCTGCTTTTTGTCCCAAATAAATGAATCTATATATGGTTGATTTATACACTTGGAATACGTTTGTTATCCTAATGAAAGCTCCGTATTGGAGCTGAAATGTCGACCTGTTTTATGATGGATTTTATTTAAAAAAGCGGTTTAAGTTTAGAACTTTGAGTGAGGTCCCCCTATGGTTTTTGTATATGTGTATATTGTCAGGGTCTTACCTGGGTTGGGAGTCTGTAGCGCAGATATGTTGCTCACCCTTGCAGATAGCCACAGGCCAAGGTGGTCAGGTAAGAATTCACCCGGCCTGTGGGTCTGTGCACGGGGGCTGTGCAGGATGAAGTACCAAGTCGCAGGACAGGCAAGGACACAAACAGCAGGATCGTCAAAAGATAGCCGAGGTCAAAGGTTGCCAGAAGACAGGAACAACGATGAATAGCCGAAGTCAAGGGATGCCAGAGGTCAGAGTAAACGTAGTCAGAAGCCGGGGTCAATAACAAGTAGCAGCTCAAACGACAGGAACACTGGTACAAAGCACACAACAGGATCAAAGACTTGATGCTGATCACAGGGCGAGGCTGAGTTTAAATACCCTGCTAATGTCTGATCAGGGTCAGGTGAAGCACAGCCAAAGTCAAAGTACAGCCCCCAGAGAAATAGACATGCCAGGATGAACAGGACCAGAATGCCATAGAAATACAAAAGCTGCTTTGGCTCAGAGGAAGGAAGCAGGACCAGGACTGCGAAGTTCCCCGGTTCAAGTCCCTTGTTGGGAACTCCATGGGTGACCACGTCTGGCCGTCTGTTTGCTGCGGCGAGAACCGTGATATATATATGTATATACCAAGTATCGCTATAAGTGTGTGTCCGTTACTCCACCGGGTCCACTCTCTTGCAAATCTGTCTGTCAGAGCGTTGCTGTGGATTACCACGGAAATAGTCAGCAGCTGCACTTTTATTTTTATTGCTAAATAATTGTAAAAAAAAAAAATCAACACTATAACTAGTAACAAATATAGAAATATTCTAAGAGCTTCTGATGCTGTAGAATTTAATAGGCTTGTCTGTTTGGTTTCAAATGAATACTGATTCATCTGAATGTTTTGCAATTGATTACTCATTCAAATTCTGTAACTCCAAAATGACACATGGCAAATCCGTTTGTGATATGAAGTTCTGGCAATGGAGCCATGTAGTAATTTACACCGGCTTCTAATGGACGATGGCAGGTGTCATTAAGACTAGTAAAGTGGTTAGGTTACTACTGTGCCGAGCCACTATCACTTACACCAACTTTGATTCACTGATTTAGATCAAATTATTTTGATAAGATTTTTTTTAAATTTCTGAGACACATCTAATTTGCAGTGTGCTACTACTTTGCAAATTGCAGTACAGTTTGTGCACAAGTCAATGTTACAGTTCACTGCAGTTGGTATTAATAGATAGGGTACATTTTCCCCCTCAACTCACACTGAAGGATGAAAAAATTGACAAACCATGCACCGCTTCCACCCTTAAAGGAAAAAGCGTTCCCACACAACCCCCCTGTAGCATGTGTAAACATCTGTCCGTGTGGGGGCGAAGTGTTTTTTTCCCAGCATGCACAAGAATATTCGTCAACAAAAACAACATAAAACACAGCATTTACAGTTGCAAGAAAAAGTATGTGAACCCTTTGGAATGATATGGATTTCTGCACAAATTGGTCATAAAATGTGATCTGATCATCATCTAAGTCACAACAATAGACAATCACAGTCTGCTTAAACTAATAACACACAAAGAATGAAATGTTACCATGTTTTTATTAAACACACCATGTAAACATTCACAGTGCAGGTGGAAAAGGTATGTGAACCCCTAGACTAATGCCATCTCCAAGAGCTAATTGGAGTGAGATGTCAACCAACTGGAGTCCAATCAATTAGATGAGATTGGAGGTGTTGGTTACAGCTACCCTATAAAAAACACACCAGTTCTGGGTTTGATTTTCACAAGAAGCATTGCCTGATGTGAATGATGCCTCACACAAAAGAGCTCTCAGAAGACCTACGCTTAAGAATTGTTGACTTGCATAAAGCTGGAAAGGGTTATAAAAGTATCTCCAAAAGCCTTGCTGTTCATCAGTCCATGGTAAGACAAATTGTCTATAAACAGAGAAAGTTCAGCACTGCTGCTACTCTCCCTATGAGTGGCCGTCCTGTAAAGATGACTGCAAGAGCACAGCGCAGACTGCTCAATGAGGTGAAGAAGAATCCTAGACTGTCAGCTAAAGACTTACAAAAGTCACTGGCAAATGCTAACATCCCTGTTAGTGAATCTACAATACGTAAAACACTAAGCAAGAATGGATTTCATAGGAGGATACCACAGAGGAAGCCACTGCTGTCCAAACAAAACATTGCTGAACGTTTACAGTTTGCACAAGAGCACCTGGATGTTCCACAGCAGTACTGGCAAAATATTCTGTGGACAGATGAAACCAAAGTTGAGTTGTTTGGAAGAAACACACAACACTATGTGTGGCGAAAAAAAGGCACAGCACCCCAACATCAAAACCTCATCCCAACTGTGAAGTATGGTGGTAGGGGTATCATGGTTTGGGGCTGCTTTGCTGCGTCAGGGCCTGGACGGATTGCTATCATCGAAGGAAAAATGAATTCCCAAGTTTATCAAGACATTTTGCTGGAGAACTTAAGGCCATCTGTCTACCAGCTGAAGCTCAACAGAAGATGGGTGTTGCAACAGGACAATGACCCAAAGCATAGAAGTAAATCAACAACAGAATGGCTTAAACAGAAGAAAATACGCCTTCTGAACTAGCTCAGTCAGAGTCCTGACCTCAACCTGATTGAGATGCTGTGGCATGACTTCAAGAAAGCGATTCACACCAGACATCCCAAGAATATTGCTGAACTGAAACAGTTCTGTAAAGAGGAATGGTCAAGAATTACTCCTGACCATTGTGTATGTCTGATCTGCAACTACAGGAAACGTTGGGTTGAAGTTATTGCTGCCAAAGGAGGTTCAACCAGTTATTAAATCCAAGGGTTCACATACTTTTTCCACCTGCACTGTGAATGTTTACATGGTGTGTTCAATAAAAACATGGTAACATTTCATTCTTTGTGTGTTATTAGTTTAAGCAGACTGTGATTGTCTATTGCTGTGACTTAGATGATGATCAGATCACATTTTATGACCAATTTGTGCAGAAATCCATATCATTCCAAAGGGTTCACATACTTTTTCTTGCAACTGTATCTGATCACATAAAAGACAAACTGTAGAAGAATAAGCTTTAACCCATGCATGATGATAATTTGCCTTCCACTCTTTAAGGATATAAAGTGTGATTTAATATATTTTTACAATAGGTACACTTTAGGAATACAGCAATAGTTTAGTATAAGTAAAACATGTTCTGTGTCAAAGATAATAAACCGTGATCAGTTTAATTAGTAAATTGAATGGATTAAGTCAGTGCCCACATTTTCTTTTTTTTAATCTCCAAGGAAAGAATCAAAACTTGGTCAATGAATAGGAAGTCTAACGAGGCACAGCACAGATTTTAAAAGGATGTGGCTTCAGTGTTATTCCCAATATATAGTCGGTGTTTACTTCAGTTACATCTTCTGGTAAACAGAACCTGAAGAATTTCAGGAGTGTTGCGAAGAAGATAAATAGTTCAATCCGGGCAAGCTGCTCCCCCAAGCACACTCTATGTCCTATGGGAGAAATGAGTCTGCTTATTTGCTTAACAAACCCTGATTTCATTATTTTGGACCCACATTGGAAATGGTCACAATCTGTTAGAAAAACTTTTCAAATGACTTATCTACAAAAATCCCCATAGCATTGATGACTTCTGTAGATAAATCATTTAAAACGTTTTTCTAACAGATTATGATAATTTGAAAACCTTATTCAAATATATGAAATTAAAGCCTTTGTTTAAAAAAAAACCCAAACATCTGTAGAACAATGTAAATAAGCTATGTATCTGAAATTAGAATCTTTATTATGAATTTATGGTGGTTGCAGGAAATAAGGGGCTGAAGCAAGGTGCTCTAATTTTCAGCTAACAAACTTTCTCAGCTTTTAGTTAATTTGTAGAAATTCAACTGCAATGGTTAACGACTGCAGTTATCTACTATTTCAGATAACAAAAAAAAAAACCTTTTCATACAACAGCATTGCACGTATTTAAACTGCAGGGATTGCGAATATTGATACAGCTACAATGTTAATACAATAAGTTGTTCGTAACATACACTATGATAAAAGTGACAAAAAGGGATTGACATGGAGTTTGTGAGAAGTGCACAGTTTTTAATTTGGTAATAAGCTAGGCCATTTAGTATCAGTCCATTTGTTATATAACCATTGTTCGTTATACAAACAAAAATGTTGCTTCACACTGCATCACACCCTCTAAATACCTAAAAAAATAAAAATAAAAAAGTATAATACACAACACAAATGAGTTACCTGCAGAGAATGGTATAAAGGCCTCGTTTGATACAAAGTTTCCATCTTTGTCTAAGAAATGGTTCTCGTTGAACTGATATGGGGTCTTCCAGTACTGAGGATCATGCAGGACAGAGTCAAGATTAGGCAGAATCATTGTATCCTAAAAGAGGTGGAAAAAAAATTTGAGTTCTACATTTTTAATAGGATTACATTATTCTCTCATTATTTCCAGATTGTAGTCACATAAATATAACATGAATAAAAAACAATAAAAAAGGCTGCACCGCAATAGATAATAAAAAATATATAAAAAGTCCAATAAAAGGTCCAAAAAAGGGAGAAGATCCCAATGTTTATCCTTACAAATAGTCTTTGGTGGTGAGGTCTTCTACTGATGTGGTGGATCCACTTGGTATGAAAGATAAAAAGAGAGAAGGACAACCAATGGTGCAGTATGTAAAATTCAAATGTGAATATAGAGGAGTAATAGTATAAAACTCACATTTACCAGAGCTAATATCCAGCTCTGGAGTAAAGCGCATACAGCGGTTTTTATCCCCGCTTATGGGATATAGGTGGGTTCCTCTCCGTTGCTGGTGTCCAGTTCTCGGAATAAAAGAGACAACTAATAGTGCTCACTGTATAGTAGTGTTGGTAAAATAATAAAAGAATGTACTTACAAGACAAGAGCAGGCCAACTGCTCTGTGATGATAGCTTGGGTGGATTGATCCCCACCTAAGGATTTCTTTTAGTACAGGAAACTTCCAGGGATATTTTCCAAAGGTTTTTATAAAACCAATAAAAATAATACTAAAAAGTCAGGGTAAAAGGAAAGGTTATGTGTCTTTAAAAAAGTTGATTGGCACAAATAGATGACCAAAAATACTTTAATATATATAAAAGAACACAAATATTAAATATCCATAACGCGTTTCGTCAAAAAAAAGACTTTCTCAAATGGATTTACATAAGATACCTGGCTAGTAGATGTTTATATAGGGATAAAACTAATTTGAATTTGGTGCCAAAAATGGTACAACCAATTAGAATTAGAAACAAGATAAAACATTGAATTGCATAAATAACTTAATAAATATATAAATAATAGTACTGAAACATGATGTTGATATATTTAGATCAAAAACGAAGGAGTTAAAATGTGTTTTTAGACATTAATAGAAAGTCACATGTCCAAACAGCACTTCCGCGTTTCGGAAGTAGGACGCAATGCCACATGGGAAATGTAGTTAAAAATGGCCGCGAAAAGCGGCCGCATATAACAATAAAATAGATAAAGGATTGCATAATTTTAGCCTATACAAGATGATAAATAGAGTTAAAGATTAAAAACGAGAAGGAGAAATAGACTTAAAAACGGATCTAAATAGGTCACATGAGATTCGGCACTTCCGCAAATCGGAAGATATAGCCGCAATGCATGTAGGGAAATGTAGTTTCACCTATAGTAATGGAAACAAGTACAGCAGATAAATGTACTTAGAATAGATATACTAGAAAAAGGCAATATGCAATTTTAAATACATGAACTTATAACCATAAAAAGTAAGAATAAAACAAAACAAAAATGCCTAAATAAAAGATACATAAATAACAGTAAAAGCGTAATTTTTTTAAAGGTACAGGCAGCAAAATTATAAAAAAAATAAAAAAAAAAAAAAATTTTTTTTTAAATAAAAATTATGTAAATCAAAATCTGCATTAAGACCATAGGGTATAAGAGTCGGAAGTTTATACACCCATTCCATCTCTGTTTTTCCAAGCATCTTTTTCATGTCACCTCCACGCCAAGAAATAGAGCATTTGGTTATACCAATACATTTTAATAGACGTGGATCTCTGTTGTGCATAATAAAATGTTTGGATACTGTATGATTCAGGTATCCATTTTTTATATTTCTGCAATGTTCGCTCAGTCTTATCTTTAAGCACCTTGTGGTCATCCCCACATATTGGAGGCCACACGGGCACTCGAGCAGATAAATAAAAAATTTTGTATTGCAACATATAAAATCATTTATATTGTACACTTTTTTAGTCCTATTTGACATAAAATTTGTAATTTTAGATGGAATAGAATGATCAGTGGTTTTACATACAATGCATTGTTTACATCTATAAAAACCTTTCGTCTGAGGAAAGAAAGATACATTTTTGGAAGGAGATTTTTTAGTAAAATTTTTGGTTAAAATAGACTTAAAATTAGGTGCTCCTCTAAAAACAATATTAGGATGAATGGGTATGATAGGGTTAAGTATCTCATCATGTTTGAGTATATGCCAATGTTTTTTTATTATTTTTTTAACATTATTGCTTTTATTATTAAAATTAAAAATAACTGGAAGAGATATTGGTTCATTATTTTCTTTATTTTTATACTTTAGACGTTCATTTCGTTCTTTCTGCTTTACTATACTGATTGTGGCATTTAGATCAGATTCTAAATATTTTTTCTCCATAAATTTATTTTTTAAAACCTCTGCTTGTTCATTAAAATCTGTAAGTTCTGAACAGTTTCTGCGAAGACGCAAGAATTGGCTCTTTGGAGCACTCTCAAGCAGGGCCGTCTTTAACGCGGGGCAAACGGGGCAGCTGCCCCGGGCCCAGTTTCTCTTGGGGGGCCCGAGGCACCTGCCCCGTGGGCCCTGCTGACCCTGGGTGGCCGGTCGGGCAGGAAGGCGGGCGCACGAGGGAGCACTCACTGCTTCCTTTTCAGCTCCCTCGTGCACCGCACTGATGCCGGAGCCGGAAGATGACATCATCTTCCGGCGCCGGCACCCCTTACGCGGTGCGCGAGGGAGCTGAAGAGGAAGCAGTGAGTGCTCCCTCGCGCGCCCGCCTTCCTGCCCGACCGGCCACCCGCCTGCCCGACCGGCCACCTGCCCAGCAGCACCACTGGACCCCAGGGAATCCCCCCAGCACTCCAAAAGGTAAGGAGGCTGGGGGGATTACATTTTAAAAAAATAATGTGTGTTTGTGTGTTAGTGTATGTGTATGTTAGTGTTTGTGTGTTAGTGTATGTATGTGTGTGTGTGTGTATGTGTGTGTTAGTGTTTGTGTGTTAGTGTGTGTGTGTTAGTGTATGTGTTTGTGTGTTAGTGTATGTATGTGTGTGTTTATGTGTTAGTGTGTGTGTTTGTGTATGTGTGTGTTTGTGTGTTAGAGTGTGTGTGTTAGTGTATGTGTGTGTTAGTGTATGTATGTGTGTGTTAGTGTATGTATGTGTGTGTTTGTGTGTGTTAGTGTGTGTGTGTTTATGTGTTGGGTGTGTTTGTGTCGTGGTGTGTGTTGGGTGTGGTGTTGGTGTGTGTGGTGTGTGTGTTGGTGTGTGTTGGATTGTGTGTGTTGGTGTGTGTGTTGGTGTGTGTGTTGGTGTGTGTGTTGGTGTGTGTTGTTGGTGTGTGTGTGTCCGGCGTTATGTGTGTGTATATCTGTGTGTGTCGGTATGTGTATGTGTCAGTATGTCTGTCAGTGCGTCAGTATGTCTGTTAGTGCATGTGTATGCGTGTGTCAGTATATCTGTCTGTGTGCCAGTATGTCTGTGTGTGTGTGTGTCAGTATATCAGTCTGTGTGTGTCAGTGTATGTGCCTGTGTGTGTGTGTCAGTATTTCTCAGTGTATGTGGGTGTCAGTATATCTGTCAGTGTGTGGGTGTCAGTATTTCTGTCAGTGTATGTGTGTCAGTATGTTGATCAGTGTATGTGTCTGTGTGTGTGTGTCAGTATGTCGGTATATGTGTCTGTGTGTCAGTATGTCTGTATATGTGCCTGTGTCAGTATGTCTGTCAGTACGTCTACCAGTGTGTGTGTCTGTGTGTGTCAATATATGTACCTGTGTCAGTGTGTCTGTCAGTGTATGTGCCTGTTTATCTGTATGTAGTCAGTGTATGTATCTGTGTATCTGCTTGTGCGTCAGAGTGTGTACCTGTGCATCTGAGCCGCAACTTTAAATACAAATACACCCCTCCATTCAAACTTCAACACTACATATAAAACACACTCCTGCATTGAAACGTCAACACTACATACAAGCACACTCCTACATTCAAAAACAAACACTACACATAAATGCACACTTGCATTCAAACTCCAGTACCACATACAAACACATTCACACAAACATACTCCATACAAACACATGCTTACATTCAAACATACTAACATGGCTCAGTGCTAAATACAACCCTGCAAGCATGGGAAATTGGTAGAGTCCCAGCTGTCAAACCATTGTTGGAGTTGCACGACAGATGGGGTTCTACCTTTAGTCCAACCTTGCAATTGAGGGTCCCAATAAAATTCATTCTACTTTAGTACCGCCACTGCGGTGGGATGGATGCCGTGATTGCATACCAGGGAGTGAGGGGCGAGAGCGGCAGGGCACAGGGGGCCCAAGCAAACACTTGCCCAGGGTCCATTCGTTATTAAAGACGGCCCTGCTCTCAAGCCAAGGTTTATAATGGCAACTGGATTTGTCTATAGCCGTATTAACACATACTTGTTTAAAAAAAGTTTTTGTTTGAAGTTGTCCCTTGTTGATAAAAATGTTAAGATCTAAGAAATTAATAGACTCCTTACTGTATTCATATGTAAGGATAATACCCCTGTTGTTGGTGTTTAGATAATTTATAAAATCAATAAGATGGTTTTCTGGTCCATCCCATATAAAAAAGAGGTCATCTATATATCTGAAGTAGGAGACTAGGTTTGCTAGGTGCTTAAAGATAAGACTGAGCGAACATTGCAGAAATATTAAAAATGGATACCTGAATCATACAGTATCCAAACATTTTATTATGCACAACAGAGATCCACGTCTATTAAAATGTATTGGTATAACCAAATGCTCTATTTCTTGGCGTGGAGGTGACATGAAAAAGATGCTTGGAAAAACAGAGATGGAATGGGTGTATAAACTTCAGACTCTTATACCCCATGGTCTTAATGCAGATTTTGATTTACATAATTTTTAATTTATTATTTTTTTTATAATTTTGCTGCCTGTACCTTTAAAAAAATTAAGCTTTTACTGTTATTTATGTATCTTTTATTTAGGCATTTTTGTTTTGTTTTATTCTTACTTTTTATGGTTATAAGTTCATGTATTTAAAATTGCATATTGCCTTTTTCTAGTATATCTATTCTAAGTACATTTATCTGCTGTACTTGTTTCCATTACTATAGGTGAAACTACATTTCCCTACATGCATTGCGGCTATATCTTCCGATTTGCGGAAGTGCCGAATCTCATGTGACCTATTTAGATCCGTTTTTAAGTCTATTTCTCCTTCTCGTTTTTAATCTTTAACTCTATTTATCATCTTGTATAGGCTAAAATTATGCAATCCTTTATCTATTTTATTGTTATATGCGGCCGCTTTTCGCGGCCATTTTTAACTACATTTCCCATGTGGCATTGCGTCCTACTTCCGAAACGCGGAAGTGCTGTTTGGACATGTGACTTTCTATTAATGTCTAAAAACACATTTTAACTCCTTCGTTTTTGATCTAAATATATCAACATCATGTTACAGTACTATTATTTATATATTTATTAAGTTATTTATGCAATTCAATGTTTTATCTTGTTTCTAATTCTAATTGGTTGTACCATTTTTGGCACCAAATTCAAATTAGTTTTATCCCTATATAAACATCTACTAGCTAGGTATCTTATGTAAATCCATTTGAGAAAGTCTTTTTTTTGACGAAACGCGTTATGGATATTTAATATTTGTGTTCTTTTATATATATTAAAGTATTTTTGGTCATCTATTTGTGCCAATCAACTTTTTTAAAGACACATAACCTTTCCTTTTACCCTGGCTTTTTAGTATTATTTTTATTGGTTTTATAAAAACCTTTGGAAAATATCCCTGGAAGTTTCCTGTACTAAAAGAAATCCTTAGGTGGGGATCAATCCACCCAAGCTATCATCACAGAGCAGTTGGCCTGCTCTTGTCTTGTAAGTACATTCTTTTATTATTTTACCAACACTACTATACAGTGAGCACTATTAGTTGTCTCTTTTATTCCGAGAACTGGACACCAGCAACGGAGAGGAACCCACCTATATCCCATAAGCGGGGATAAAAACCGCTGTATGCGCTTTACTCCAGAGCTGGATATTAGCTCTGGTAAATGTGAGTTTTATACTATTACTCCTCTATATTCACATTTGAATTTTACATACTGCACCATTGGTTGTCCTTCTCTCTTTTTATCTTTCATACCAAGTGGTTCCACCACATCAGTAGAAGACCTCACCACCAAAGACTATTTGTAAGGATAAACATTGGGATCTTCTCCCTTTTTTGGACCTTTTATTGGACTTTTTATATATTTTTTATTATCTATTGCGGCGCAGCCTTTTTTATTGTTTTTTATTCACCTTATTTTAAAGGGTTTTGAGGGATCCCCTTTTAAGGTTGCTGCCTATAAGTTAATTAAGCGCTGTCTCATCCTTTTATCTTTACATAAATATAACAACTTGTCTAAAAATTAAATCTTAGACCTCAAAAGCCCAGATCTAGATTGCAATTACATAAATGAAACAACCAAACCAAAAATGTTGACTGCACCTTAAATTTCAAATTCATATTTTTTTGTCTGACAGGGCCAGATTTTCTCTTTAAAGGGACACTGTAGGCACCCAGACCACTTCTGCACACTGGAGTAGTTTGGGTGCCTTGTCCCTCTATCCTTAGCCCTGTTAGTCAAAACACTGTGGTTTTGGAGAAACCACAGTGTTCTGATTACAGGACTAATTCCACCTCTAGTTTCTGGTCTATCAGACAGCCGCTAGATGGTGCTTCCGGATTCTTATATCACCAAAAGTGTTCTAAATGACGTTTGACGTCCCCACGCTCTGCATGAGGATGTAGAGCATCGCCGGAATCCCCATAGGAAAGCATTGAATAATGGCCATGGCCGCGCGTGTGCATTAGGTCTCCCCCGCCAGCAGCCGGCGGCGGGGAAGGAGCGTGGGCAGGGCTGAACCAGCATCGAGGGACATTGGCGCTGGACCCAGGTAAGTGCCACGGGAGGGGGCTTTGACAGAATTAGTTTGTTTTCTTGGCACTATAGTTTCCCTTTAGGCTTAGCTCCCTTTTTCATGATGATATTGTTTGATTTATTATTATTATTACTGGCATTTATAAAGCGCCAACAAATTCCGCAGCGCTGTACAATTGGGAAAAAAAGACAAAACCCAATAAGAACAGACCGATACAACAGGTAGAGGGCCCTGCAGTGAGCTTACAATCTAAATGATTGATCATTCATGAATCAGATTGACTTACACTATATTTTTGCAATAAGGGCTTCTTCTATAAAGGACACAAAGAAAAGTTGGTATTGGCTTTTGGTGCATTTGTCTGTTACAATATTCATAGGGCGGTAAATATATTCAGGATTTAAAAAACAAAACAGTTTTGCAAAGTCAATCTACTGCTCTATTCCATTGATGTCCACGATCATTGCCCCATGTTTATTAAGCACTATACCCCAGATTTCATTCTGATGAGGTATAAATGCTTTAAAATATTTTTTTTTAAAGGATCCCTACGGTCACCTTGGCACTGTCCATTGTAGAGAGTGTATGTCAGATTATATGTGTGTATCTGTCAGTGTGTGTATTTGTGTGTATGTGCCAGTGTGTGTATCTGTGTGCCAGTGTGTACCTGTGTGCATGTGTCAGTGCATATATCTGTGTGTCAAATTGTCTTTATATGCCAATGCGTGTATCTGTGTGTAAAGGTGTGTAAATAGTTGTAATATATTGTATGTGATTGTCTGTGGGCCTGCGCAGAGGGTGGGTAGGCATGGGGGGGGGGGGCCGCAGCCACCTCCCTGAAATGAGTTTTTGCATGTTGGAATGGCTGCTTCAGGTTCAGGCTCCCTGCTAGACCACCAGGCAGAGCTAACTCCTACTGGAACACCACCCTTGAAGAAAGACTAGCAGAATGGAACTACATAGAGCAAGATCACACACATTATATACAGTCAACACACACCACACATTACATACAGCATGTATTTTGGTAAAGTTATCTGAAAAATGTGTGTCAAATATTTGGACATGGGCCACAAGGGGAGCAATTTCAGTGCTTGTGCTTGCCATAGGTGCTATTTTCAGTAAATACGCCTCTGCATATACATTTAGCAGAAATGCCCAGAATGCTAAAATACATGGGAACATATATAGATCATACACTCATATCCCACCTTCCTCAAAGTAAAACCATCAAGTATTACATCCTTAACGTTACATCGTACAACACCCGAGCCCGAAATGTTTGCAAAACGTTGCATTTCATGAATCACTGCATTTGTATAAGGAAGCCTTTTTCTGTCCTCATAGTAGACTGGAGACGACCCTTCAAGAACAGAGTCTAGCTCTTTTTGTACCTTCTCTGTAAAGTAAAACAGAAATGGTCATTTGAAACTTTTTTTATTTTTTTATTAATTTGAGAAATCCAGGGCCAAATATATGTTACTGACCTTGTATGTCAGGATAAGCCAACATAAATAACAGAACCAAAACAGATATGAATACCGCACTCAAAATAATTATAGTAAAGTCTAATCTTGTATTAAATTGCAAAAATATTTATTATAATTATAATTCATAGGTTCATCAAGTAAATCATGGTGAAATTCATTTCAATCATATGTACATAGATTATTTACATATATACACACAAAATCCTCCCTGTGCTGAATTTCATGAGCTATGTATCTATTTACAATGGGTAATGATCCAAAAAATGAATGAATAAAAAAAGTCCAGAAAAAATAAAAAAAATAATAAAAAATAGTAAAAAATTGAAAAAGAAAAAAGAAAAAAGAAAAAGGAAAAAAGAAAAAAAGAAGAAAAAGAGAAAAAATATATATAATACAGTCCTGTTGTCTAATAGTCCAAAATATAGTGCACTATATAATACATAAGTATATGGATGGATCTCACCAATGTAAAAGTTGGCTTTATAGTATGCTCAGTAGGAGGATGATGTATTCTGTAGATGGTATATAATGGATGAGGGTGAAAATGGTTGTTGTTCGGTGAGAAGACAATCACTCATCTATTCTCTGCAGGATATGGTCAGTCTGACAGGTCATTCAATAATCCATAAACGTGGGCAATCCTAGAAACGGGCTGAAATGGGCTGCGCGCTCGGGACGTTCCTGTCCCTTCGATGGCCCCTGTTCCTCTCCGTCCTGCCGAAGTATAAATGTATCGGTTTAAATATCCTAATTGGGCGGCAAATTCCACCGCGGCCACTCCATACACCTACTTCCGCCTTCTGACGTCAGCGTGCGTCGCTGCGTCATACGTATTCAACTCAACTTTATTGTTCACATACATATTGCGTATTGACAAAGATAAAGGAAAGTCACAAAGTGTAAATTGAAGTAAATCTAAATAATAAGTATGTAGTAAAAGTTACTACAAGGTCAATTAGTATATGTATACACTGAGGGAAACCTAAAGAGTGGTCATAATATATATACAAAGGGAAGACTGCCTGAGAACCATGATACTCAAAAATTATTGTAATTACATAAAGTTAACTAAAACCAAATAGTGCTGTAATCTGAAAAGTCATAAACCAGAAAATAATAAAAAAGAAGGAGGAACAAAAAATAATAATTTAATATTTCTAAATTGATCTGACTGATGTATGGTTATTGTTAAGCTCACCTGTAACAGATGATCAAGAGAACAAGAATATCTGTAGATATAAACCAGTAGAATAACCAGCTATATTTAAAAAAGAAAAAAGGAAATAAATTATCTATATCTCGTACAATAAAAGAAAACGAAGAAAAACATTTTTAAAAAAACTAATATAAAGAAAAAAGGAAAAAGAAAAAAGAACAAAGAAAAAAGGGTAAAAAACGAAAAAATGAGAAAAAATCAAGAAAAAATAAATGAAAAAAGTGAATAAAAGAAAGGATTTTTATTGGAAATTTTTTTTTAATGTAGCTAATTTTGAAAAAAACTTTAGAAAAATAAATAAAATAAAGACAGAGTATGCAACTCACCTGTCTCGTAATGCCCCACCGTGCCCCTGGGTCCCGCGTGTGGGGAACCCTGTACAGATGGCAGGTAGCGGACCCAAAGAGGTCAAAATGTTGGTAGGAAAGGACACCGGACCAGAACTGGTCAAGGGGAGCCTCTGTAAGGAGAACAAAATCATAGAGCAGGCAATAAATACAAGAAAAAGGAAAAAATTGTCATAAGAAATGTTTAAGGTCATAGTCTTCATTAAGTCCTAATGGTGACAAAGTCTCCAAGGTCCATTTTGTTTCTCTCTGCAATAAGAGCTTCTGTCTATCCCCTCCTCTACGTAGAGGTGGGATTCTGTCCAAGACTTGAAACCTTAATTGGTTTACGTTATGACCATATGTTTTAAAATGTCTGGGTACCGGAGCCTCCACTTTATTGTGTTGTAATGCTGCCCTAATGCTCCTTTTATGCTCCCCTATCCGCTCTTTCACTGGCCTGATGGTCTCCCCCACGTACAGGAGTCCACAGGGACACTTAAGAGCATACACGACAAAGTCAGAGTTGCATGTAAAAAATTATTTGACATAAAATTTCTTGCCTGATCTGGGATGAACAAAATATTCCCCCTTGATCACACTGTTACAGTGTGAGCAATTTAAACATGGAAAGGTGCCCTTCTTGGGTTCTGAAAAAAATCTGGTTTGTTTCTTAGAACTGCCAATATCTGACCTTACTATCATGTCCCTCCGGTTCGAGGCCCTCTGATATGCAAAAAGTGGAAACTGTTGGAATATCTGGGGTAGTTGAATGTCCCCCTGAAAAAGTTGCCAATGTTTTAATATAACCTGTCTTATATCTCTGTTAAGTGGAGTATATGGTGTCACCAACATAATCCTTTCTACTTTGTCTCTGGCCCCTGCACCTGAAAGGGTTTCTTGTCGAGAAAGATTATCAACCTTCTGTCGTTGATTGTCGACTATATGTGTGGGATAGCCTCTCTCTATGAATTTATTGGCCATAAAATCTAAACCTGTCATCACTTTATCTTCCTGTGATACTATCCTTTTTACCCTTAACAATTGACTGAATGGTAACCCATTCTTTAGATGGATTGGATGAAAGCTTGAGTAAGTCAATAAATTATTACGGTCAGTGGGTTTTATGTACAAATCGCTATGAAGGCAATTTTGTACTCTCTGTACCTGAACATCTAGAAAAGGGACTGTAGTCGTATCACAGCACATAGTGAATTTGATGTTTTCATCTTGTGTATTTAATGACTCAAAAAATTCCTGTAAGTGGGCCCTGGTGCCGCTCCAACATATGAACACGTCATCTATGTATCTTTTCCAAACTAAGCATTTGGAAAATAAGGGATGTTGGTAGATGCATGTTTCCTCCATTCGATTCATATAAATGTTAGCATATGTTGGAGTGACATTCGAGCCCATAGCTGTACCCTTAATCTGTTTGTAATACTTATCACCAAACAAAAAGTAATTCTCAGTCAAAATGAAAGTAAGTAATTCCCTGATATATTTTCGGGTCTCCCCTTGTTGGGTTAATCTCGGGTCTCTATCCAGTGTCCAATCCACTGCCTCAATCCCTCTATTGTGGTCAATTGAAGTATATAGTGACTGTACATCCATGGTTACCAACCAAAAGTCACCTGGTGGAATATGTATGTCTGTTAGTAGTGTAAGAAATGTAGTAGTATCTTTGAGGTATGATTTCTGCAATGGGACATATTTGATCAAGAATGTATCCAGTATCTCTGCTGGGTGTTGGAATATAGACCCAGTACCACTGACTATTGGTCTGCCTGGTGGAAAAAGAGGGTTCTTATGTATTTTTGGGAGGGTGTAGAACACTGGAATTCTTGGGTATTTAAGATTCATATATTTATATTCTCCATCAGAGATAATGTTTTTAGAGAGGGCCCATTGGTTAAGTTTAAATAAAATGATTTCAGATAAAATAAAAATTTTCTAATAGGAGAGTCCCAATAATAGGTGGTGTTTCAACTGATATGATGTCTTCCTTAGCAGTGGTCGTCCGTCTCACGATATGAAAGACACAATGGGAGAGAGCCAATTGTGCAGAGTGTATAAATAGATAATATTTAAATAAAATATAAATTACACACTCACATTTCCATGAGCTAGGACCAGCTCTGGTATGACGGGCATACGGCGGATAACCCTCCGCTTATAGGGGTGCTTGTCCTCCTGGAGCGTCCTGGTGTCCAAATTCTCAGGGAAAGAAAATAGAAACAGCCAATAGTGCTCTCTGGTGAGGTAGTTTATAAAAAGGATAAAAAATAAATAAAATATACTCACAAGTGGAGTGCAGGTCAATCTGCACTCTATTATTCGCGTGGGTGGTATAATCCCCACCTTAGGATATGCCAGGAACAATAAATGAGGTTAAAAGTAATAATAATTATAAAATTATTTATTAGTACAATATACTATAAAACCAATAACGCGTTTCGCCGTAGAGGCTTTATCAAATTGGAATAGTATAGATACCTGGCACATTAGGAGTATATATAGCTAGTACAAACATTTAAAATTGGCGCCAAAAAAATGATCAACCAATAGAAATGATACAAAATATAAATAGAAAATATACATACAAAAGGTGAAAAATGATATAGATTATAAATATTTATAAACATAAGATAATATGTATATACAAATATATAAAAAAAACGAGCATTATTTTGTGTGGGAAAAGAGTTAAAATAAAAATTCCGGTTTCGTGCGAGTCACGTGACCCGCAATGCACCTTGGGGCATGTAGTGCCGGGTCACGTGACCGCCGACATGCATACACACAGTCCGTGCGGCCGCAACTAGAGAAGCCGGCACGCACGGACTGGGGAGCAGAAGGGCGGGTTCGGATCTTGTCACGTGACCCGCGGCGTCATGTATCAGTAATACCCGCGGGCCACGTGACAATAACCGCGAGGAACACTGGGAAATGTGGTTTAAAGCAGCAAAGTGGATAGAATTAGAAAATAACATATAATAGAGAATAATCAAGTATAAAACAAATCAGTATATAGTTGGAACAGGCATATTAAAATATGTAGAGTATATATAAAATAAACATACATAAATTTAATACATATAAAAAGATGGATACAAGTCAAATAGGAGGGGCATAGAATAATAAATCAATAATGGCAATAAAAATAAAATATAAAAATATAAAACCAAAGGATAAAATGGAAAATAATTTAAAGGTAAAAGATTATAAAAAGTTAAATAAATCAAAATCCACATTAAGACCTTGGGGAGTAAGGGTTTGTAAATTATATACCCATTCCATCTCTGATCTACCAAGGATGTTTTTAATGTTACCACCTCTCCAGGGTATTTGGCACTTCTGAATACCTAAGAATTTAAGAAATTTAGGATCTTGATTATGATTAATAAAATGTTTAGATACTGAGTGGTTTAGGTATCCATTTCTTATGTTCCTACAGTGTTCTGCCAGTCGTGTCTTAAGACACCTGGTGGTCATACCCACGTATTGGAGGCCGCAAGGGCACTCCAATAGGTAGATGACGTTGGTAGTGTTACAACCAATAAAATCTCTTATCATATAACTTTTATTTGTTTGGTTGGATTTGAAGTTAGTGATTTTAGATTTAGTTGTTAGATCGGTGTTTTTACATACAGTGCAACGTTTACATTTGTAAAAACCTTTTGCCCCATCTAAAAACGTATGTTGAATATTTTTAGTCACTTTGGTATAATTATTAGTTAAAATTGATCTAAAATTAGGTGCCCCTCTAAAAACAATTTTTGGCTTTGCAGGTAAAATTTCTTTAAGTAGATCATCCTGTCTTAAGAGATGCCAATGTTTTTTAATAGTTTTTTTAATAAAACCGCTTTTGTTATTATAGTTAAAAATAATGGGAAGGGTGGGGGTTTCTAAGGTATTTTTATCTTTGTACGTTAAAAGACTTTCTCTAGATTTATTTCTGACTGTGTCTATAGTGCTATCAAGAAAAGTGCAAGAGTAATTCTTTTCAATAAATTGTTTCTTTAAAACCAATGATTGTTCATTAAAATCATTTATTAGAATTTGAATTCTTTTATATCACACCTTAATTCTAATAATAAAGGTATTATTCTGACTTGTGAATATAGTACTAATTCAATTAATTTTTTAGATTTAAATATTTTTATCCAAGATGGCAAAATACATACAAAAACATTTTTTAAGAAAGTATGTACCAATACTGCAATTGATCAGACAAGTTGCCATTACAAACCATGGCTTGAAAGCGCTCCGAAAAGCCAATTTTTAAGAATACGTCGTAATTGTTCCCAAATAAATGATTTTAATGAACAATCATTGGTTTTAAAGAAACAATTTATTGAAAAGAATTACTCTTGCACTTTTCTTGATAGCACTATAGACACAGTCAGAAATAAATCTAGAGAAAGTATTTTAACGTACAAAGATAAAAATACCTTAGAAACCCCCACCCTTCCCATTATTTTTAACTATAATAACAAAAGCGGTTTTATTAAAACAACTATTAAAAAGCATTGGCATCTCTTAAGACAGGATGATCTACTTAAAGAAATTTTACCTGCACAGCCAAAAATTGTTTTTAGAGGGGCACCTAATTTTAGATCAATTTTAACTAATAATTATACCAAAGTGACTAAAAATATTCAACATACGTTTTTAGATGGGGCAAAAGGTTTTTACAAATGTAAACGTTGCACTGTATGTAAAAACACCGATCTAACAACTAAATCTAAAATCACTAACTTCAAATCCAACCAAACAAATAAAAGTTATATGATAAGAGATTTTATTGGTTGTAACACTACCAACGTCATCTACCTATTGGAGTGCCCTTGCGGCCTCCAATACGTGGGTATGACCACCAGGTGTCTTAAGACACGACTGGCAGAACACTGTAGGAACATAAGAAATGGATACCTAAACCACTCAGTATCTAAACATTTTATTAATCATAATCAAGATCCTAAATTTCTTAAATTCTTAGGTATTCAGAAGTGCCAAATACCCTGGAGAGGTGGTAACATTAAAAACATCCTTGGTAGATCAGAGATGGAATGGGTATATAATTTACAAACCCTTACTCCCCAAGGTCTTAATGTGGATTTTGATTTATTTAACTTTTTATAATCTTTTACCTTTAAATTATTTTCCATTTTATCCTTTGGTTTTATATTTTTATATTTTATTTTTATTGCCATTATTGATTTATTATTCTATGCCCCTCCTATTTGACTTGTATCCATCTTTTTATATGTATTAAATTTATGTATGTTTATTTTATATATACTCTACATATTTTAATATGCCTGTTCCAACTATATACTGATTTGTTTTATACTTGATTATTCTCTATTATATGTTATTTTCTAATTCTATCCACTTTGCTGCTTTAAACCACATTTCCCAGTGTTCCTCGCGGTTATTGTCACGTGGCCCGCGGGTATTACTGATACATGACGCCGCGGGTCACGTGACAAGATCCGAACCCGCCCATCTGCTCCCCAGTCCGTGCGTGCCGTCTTCTCTAGTTGCGGCCGCACGGACTGTGTGTATGCATGTCGGCGGTCACGTAACCCGGCACTACATGCCCCAAGGTGCATTGCGGGTCACGTGACTTGCACGAAACCGGAATTTTTATTTTAACTCTTTTCCCACACAAAATAATGCTCGTTTTTTTATATATTTGTAGGTATATACATATTATCTTATGTTTATAAATATTTATAATCTATATCATTTTTCACCTTTTGTATGTATATTTTCTATTTATATTTTGTATCATTTCTATTGGTTGATCATTTTTTTGGCGCCAATTTTAAATGTTTGTACTAGCTATATATACTCCTAATGTGCCAGGTATCTATACTATTCCAATTTGATAAAGCCTCTACGGCGAAACGCGTTATTGGTTTTATAATATATTGTACTAATAAATAATTTTATAATTATTATTACTTTTAACCTCATTTATTGTTCCTGGCATATCCTAAGGTGGGGATTATACCACCCACGCGTATAATAGAGTGCAGATTGACCTGCACTCCACTTGTGAGTATATTTTATTTATTTTTTATCCTTTTTATAAACTACCTCACCAGAGAGCACTATTGGCTGTTTCTATTTTCTTTCCCTGAGAATTTGGACACCAGGACGCTCCAGGAGGACAAGCACCCCTATAAGCGGAGGGTTATCCGCCGTATGCCCATCATACCAGAGCTGGTCCTAGCTCATGGAAATGTGAGTGTGTAATTTATATTTTATTTAAATATTATCTATTTATACACTCTGCACAATTGGCTCTCTCCCATTGTGTCTTTCATATCGTGAGACGGACGACCACTGCTAAGGAAGACATCATATCAGTTGAAACACCACCTATTATTGGGACTCTCCTATTAGAACATTTTTATTTTATCTGAAATCATTTTATTTGGACTTGTTTTAATCATTCTCTTGGCACAGCCTTATTCTTTGTCTTTGTATATATTCTTACTGTAGAGGGTTAGAGGGTGACCCTCTATAAGGCCGCTGCCTTTATTTTTATATACAGTTATTATTAGCGCTAACCTTTCTTTTCTTCCATTGGTTAAGTTTATCTAGTATACGTTTCAGATTGTGTGTAGGGTCTTGACTAATAAGTAAGTAATTTGTGTTATCCATTAACTGGGTCTCAATTTCTTTTATGTAATATGTGCGATCCATGATCACCAGTGCTCCCCCCTTTGGCAGGACGGAGAGGAACAGGGGCCATCGAAGGGACAGGAACGTCCCGAGCGCACAGCCCATTTCAGCCCGTTTCTAGGATTGCCCAAGTTTATGGATTATTGAATGACCTGTCAGACTGACCATATCCTGCAGAGAATAGATGAGTGATTGTCTTCTCACCGAACAACAACCATTTTCACCCTCATCCATTATATACCATCTACAGAATACATCATCCTCCTACTGAGCATACTATAAAGCCAACTTTTACATTGGTGAGATCCATCCATATACTTATGTATTATATAGTGCACTATATTTTGGACTATTAGACAACAGGACTGTATTATATATATTTTTTCTCTTTTTCTTCTTTTTTTCTTTTTTCCTTTTTCTTTTTTCTTTTTTCTTTTTCAATTTTTTACTATTTTTTATTATTTTTTGTATTTTTTCTGGACTCTTTTTATTCATTCATTTTTTGGATCATTACCCATTGTAAATAGATACATAGCTCATGAAATTCAGCACAGGGAGGATTTTGTGTGTATATATGTAAATAATCTATGTACATATTATTGAAATGAAATTCACCATGATTTACTTGATGAACCTATGAATTATAATTATAATAAATATTTTTGCAATTTAATACAAGATTAGACTTTACTATAATTATTTTGAGTGCGGTATTCATATTTGTTTTGGATTTAGATTAGGAGGTTGTTGTGGGGTTAAACCTCGAATACCTGCACCTTGCATAATTGAGTGCCAGCACACATTGTGTTTTTTTAAATAACAGAACCCACTGTAGGGTGGTTGCTGTTGTCTCTGTTCCTGCTATAAAAAGATCAATAACCACTTGAACTAAGTTGGCATCATCAAATGTAGAGTCAGGCTCACCTTTGGTCTGTAGAAAGTAAGAGATTTTTTTGACACAAAGTATTTAGCATATAATCCCATAACAAATATTTTAATTTTGACTTATTAAAAGGGACACTCTAAAAACCATAACCGCTACAGCTCATTGCAGTGGTCATGGTGTTATACATCCAGGGACACTTTCCTCCAGATTTCTGTCAAACCATTTTGGAGCAATTTGTGAAATATCATGTTTTTTCCATGGCACCCACAGTCTGGTCCCACTGCAGCAACATTGATATTGTTAATATTTTATCATCGGTGCAAATCTGGTGTACCTTTGAGGATAGACGGGAATGCCATGGTGTGGGGTGCAAGACTGAAACATATATAATAATGTAATAGAAAATTAAAAAATAATGACCAAAATAGTAGTCTGAGATAAGAACGAACTTAAGGAAAGGGGTCTGTTACATTTTTAACTAACATAATATAGAGTGTTAAAGTAAGTGGTATAATCCTCTTGGTTTATTATTGTTATTTTACTATAGTTAATAAATGTGCACACAGTATTTATTTTACATTTTTGTTTACAATGATTTCAAAAATATGACTTCATTTGCCATACCTCTAGTAGGGATCAGGCTGTGGACAGCCAATAACCCATATGTAGTGTTAAACTGCTCAAAAATGGTTTAACACTGAATGGAGGGTAAGTACCTTGGGACTTCAGGCAATGAGATGAAATTGTTATAGTTCATACAGTGACCCTTTAAGGAAACAGTAATGGAATACACGCACGCATGCACGCACGCACGCACGCACGCACGCACGCACGCACACTCCCCATTAATGTATATCACATGTTTGCTAACTAATTATAGATATCAATAGATCTTTACTTTTGCTATTTGTGCCATATAGTAGTCAATCACATCATTGGGTTCTATTTTCCTGATGATATTTGATCTCATTCCTCACAAAATTCTCCAAGTATTCCTTCTTTTCAAAGACTCTTTGGTGGGGTCCTGGGACATGGTTCATGAGCCAAGGGAATGAGTCATACAGCTAACAAATAGAAAGGAGTGATTATTAAATGATACAAATGCATACAGTCACTAAGAAGGAGAAATATTAGGTGTAATCACTTACTCATCCCCATTTGGATCCCAAGACCTGAAACAAATAGTCATTGCTTGTAATTAATTCCTGGAAGATCACATCGTCAAAAGCAAATCGATGTCCAAACACCACAGTGGAAATTACATTTGCAATTGCATGGTTAACAAAATAGAAAGTGTCCATTGGTTTCCCTGTTGATATTAAGGAGAAGGAATAACCTGGTATTAGCGTGCAAACTTGTGTATTAAAACAATAAATACACATAATAATAAAAGATCAGAAATGTTAGATATGTGTATTTGCTCTTAAAAGGAGCACTCTAAGCACCCTAAACACCACAGCCTGCTTTAGTGATTATGGTGTCCAGAGTGCCCAGGCACCTTTCCAGAGTAACCTTTTAAAACCATTTTAGGACTGTTTGACAACTTACCTGGGTCCTGTTGAGTGGCCGCAGGAGATTCCTTTTAGCTCCACTGCCTTTGTAGGCAATTCCAGGACTATGCTCACTGGCTGAGAGCATCGGATGACTGTTTTCGGCCAATGAGCATGCTCCTAGGTCAGCCAGTCTTAGCTCACTGATGACATCCAGCTTCTTCTGCAGAAGCCTGGATGCAGTGTGGGTGTCTAGAGAAACCAGATAAGCTGTCAAATCAAAAACAGTTTGACAGGTTACTCCGTGAGGGTGCCAGTAGGGCTGGATTAACATAGGGGCTGATGGAGCTGCAGCTTCAGGCCCAGGCAGGCCCAGGCCCATGGAATAGGCCCATTTAAAAAAAAAAAATTTTTTTTTTTTTTAAACACTACTCTTAGGTTTGCCACCTGACTATTTTAAGGCACAGCCGGTATTTGAGGCTGCCTGGCCGTAATGGTATTGCAGTAATACCGGAAATACAAATGCAAATATTTTTCTCAGTATAAACGGAGATAACTCTGCAATACCAGCACCGGCCAGTAGAGTTCACTGTGTATGGAGAGAGGCAGGGATAGGAAGTTACAGCATCTCCCTGCCTCTCTCTACTCACTGATCCGCGGGGGAGCAGCTACAAAGCACAGAGAGTCCACACAGCAGCTTCCAGCCTGCAGAGACAGACTCCAGCTGAGATATGTGAAGGATGGAGGGAAAGGCAGCAGGGAAACATGGGGACACTGAGACACTAGGGGACACTGAGACACTTGGGGACACTGAGACACTAGGGGACACTGTGAGACATGGGGATGCTGAGACACATGGGGATGCTGTGAGACATAGGTAGACACATTGGGACATGGAGACACTAGGGACACAGTGTCTCCATGTCTCCCAGTGTCCCCATGTCTCCCAGCCAGTGTCCCCTAGTCTCCCAGTGTGTGTGCCTCCATGTCTCTCAGTGTCCCCATGTCTCCCAGTGTCCTATTGTCTCCCAGTGTCCCCAAATATCTGTGTCCCCATGTCTCCCAGTGTCCACATGTCTCCCAGCCAGTGTCTCAGTACCCCCATGTATCCCAGTGTCCACATGTCTCCCAGTGTCCCCATGTCTCCCAGCCAATGTCCCTAGTGTCTGTGTCCCCATGTCTCTCAGTGTCTGTGTCCCTAGTGTCCCCATGTCTCCCAGTGTCCCCATATCTATGTTCACAAGTGCTCCCATGTCTCCCAGTGTCCCCAAGTATATGTGTCCCCATGCCTCCCAGCCAGTGTCAATAGTGTCTTAGTTTCCCCAAGTGTCTTTGTTCCCATGTCTCTGTGTCCCTAGTGTCTGTGACCCCATTTCTCCCAGTGTCCCCAAATGTCTGTGTCTCCATGTCTCCCAGTGTCCCTATGTCTGTATCCACAAGTGCCCCCATGTCTATCAGTGTCCCCAAGTGTCTCAGTGTCCCAAAGTGTCTCAGTCCCCCCATGTCTCCCAGTGTCCCAAAGTGTCTTTGTCCCCGGGTCTCTCAGTGTCCCCATCTCTCTCAGTGTCCCCTAGTATCCTAGTGACACAGGACACACTGAGACATGGGGACACTGGGAGAAATGAGGGTACAGACATTGGGAGACTAGGGGACACTGACACTGTGATACATAGGGACACTGATGCCAGGCTGGCCTTCAAATCCTTTGGACAGACATGTCCCCTTTTTGGGCATGTGAGCCCCTTTTGACAGTTCTGGTCACGTGATTCGCGTCAGTGGCCCACCCTTTTACCCCGCCCATTGACTTCCTGCTTCACTGGACGCTGCTGTTAGGGGGTATGGATTTACTTTAAAGATGAAAGCATATATTAGAAATAGATTAGCATAGGGTATGTGTTTTCTTATAGCTGCATCCTATGAGTTTCCATCCAGCACCATCTCCATCAGATACATGACGCTTGGGAGGTATGACTGTATTAGTGTTTTTGGTCAATAAGATTCTGTAATTAGGCCCCATCATAATTGTCAGAACCAGGCCCACTGGGCTCTTAATCTGGCGCCCCATCCTAATTGTCAGCACTAGGCCCACTGGGCTCTTAATCTCGCCCTCGGTGCCAGGGCACTCCTGGCACCATAACCATTACATTTGCCTGTAGTGGTTATGGTGTTTGCAGGTTTCCATTAATATTTAACTTTAACAGGCATAATGATCACACCATTTGTCACTCCATAGAGCATTTTGCAACAAAACTTGCATACAATGTTATATGGGAATAGTAATTAAAATACTTTGATTTTTAAAGCATTTTACCCAAGTTTTACTGACCACTCTCAGCTATAAAGGATTCCACCAGGCATCGAGCCTCTTCCTGTATTCTCGACTCCAGACCACGCTTTCCAAGTCCTAGGTTTCTTAGAGTCATCATTCCAAATCGTCTCTGCTGTTTCCAGACGTGACCATTGGTTACTACAATACCTTGTTTAAGATAGATCGTATTAAAATTAATAGTATTAATTAATCTGTGACATACTAGATTTTATGTATTTTGTAACTAATTAATTCCTGTTTACATAAATATTGGAATATGCTGGTAAACTGATGTAAAATCATGGAGCACTTTTTTCCCACACAAAAGACACATTTAGGTTTCAGAAGGATGTAATTGTAATTTCAGTTTGGCACATTAACATAGAAAGTTTTACAATAATAATTTAAAAATGGAAATAAATAAAAAACAATTAAAAAATAAAATTTAAAAAATCACCCATTTCTGATTAACAGTGGTTAATCCTCTAATATTTGGCCAACAGTAGCCCCAAATTACAATCTGGCATATTAACCAAACTATATCTTTTTCTGAGTTGCGACATTCTTGTTCAAGTGCCAATTACTTATCTGTGGAAGGACTGTGATAACTGAAACCTGTGTGCTTGATGTACAGTATAGGGGCCGTTTTCACCAAACTGTTAATGGTAAAGATTGTTTAGAACAATATGGGAACACTAGACTGGACTTTGTTACAAAAGGATAAACCTAATCAACATCCAGTGAACACAGAACCTTAACAAGTAAAATGCTTAAAGGGACACTATAGTCACTCTCAGCCAATCACAGCCACCCATTGCTGTCATAGTAAATGCTTCCTCATTAATCTAAGCAGCATAGAAACACAGCTTAATGTAGTTGCTCTGGTGAGTACAGTCAGTCCCTTCAGACTGCCTAGGGCAGCACAAAACCAGGATACACCACTGGTCACTCCTCAGCTACTAGAGGTGCTTCCTGAGGCAGTGTAGCACAGTGTGCAGTACTGCCATTCAGTGTCTCCACCCTCTGCATGGAAACACTGAACATTCCTCATAGAGATACATTGATTCAATTCAGCTCTATGAGGAGATGCTGATTGGCCAGAGCTGTGTTTGGCTTGTGCTGACTATGAGCCTGATCGGCTTCCTTGACAGTCTCAGCCAATCCAATGCTTTCCTATGGGAAAGCATTGTGATTGGCTGATATCACCACTTCTGAGGGGCCAGGGACAGAGCCAGCAGCAGCATACTGGAAAATGGTTAAGGAGGTACCTGGGGGGCTAGATTGTGTTTTTCACACTATAGGGTAAGGAATACATGTTTGTCCATGTTTATTCCTGACCATATAGTGTTCCTTTAAGGTACTAAACTGACATGCATATATGATGGTATAAGACAGTCCTATACTTGGTCCTATACTTTATTACCTCTTCCACGGGAGAGTGCCTTTGCAAAGCCTGCCACAGGACGTCCAGAGAGCTCCTCTGAGTGAGAGATGAGAGCATTCTTCACAGCCTGAAATCCATGTAACATCACAAGTGGAGTCTGTCCCAGCCATATTGTGTAAATATTTCCATAACGCTTGGCCAACTAAAAATTGTGGTCAAATAATTGTGGTCAGTTTGCAGCATATTCCCTTCCTCTGAATACAGGAGGACAATAGCTGTGCAAAACTGGTCATACACAAATCAAAAAATTCTACTCTATGTATGTGCTCCTGTAGTAGTCATCACTAGGACCATATTACTATGTTAAGTGTTGACAATGTTTCTGTTTGAAATGTAATATGGTGGATAAAGATAGAGAAATGGCAACTGCCCTGTTCTTGGCTAAAACCAGTTGAAAGGTTACAAAATAATGTTGCTAAATTATATATATTTTTAAAAATGCACCAGTGTTTACCATAGATACACCTCCCCTCACCCCTAGTTCAACAAGTTTGAGTAACTTTATGCACTATAACCATTTCATCTCATTGCATTGGTTATGGTGCCTAAAGTCCCATGGTATGTTTCATCCATTTTAAAATGTTTAACATGGGTTGGCCACCCACAGCCCAGCCCCTTCTTGAGGTCTAAGGCATAGATTACGAATATATATTGATGTAGTTTCTGGTATTGAGGTGACCCTACTGCAACCTCCAAAATAATCAAAAATTAAAAAATAATACAGCACTCAAAAGTAATGCAAGCAAAGTAATTTATTGTAATCATTGCTCTTCTTGAGAAGTTATAAGGCTACTGGCGCCCTAACTTGTATTGGCTTACTTTGGGCAAACTTGTATTACAAGTTAGGGCTCCAGTGGCCTTATAACTTCTCAAGAAGAGCAATGTTTCCAATAAATTACTTTGCTTGCATTACTTTTAAGTGCAGTATTATTTTTTTAACACTCTTTCTTCCAGCCATATCAATTCATACCAGTGGTGGGTGCAGTGATCGTCTGAGAGCAGTCAGCTGACTCTCTCAGCCAATAACAGCAAGTCATGGTAAATGCTTCCTCGTTAGTCTAAGCAGCATAGAAGCACAAAAATAAGTCTTGCACTCAGACTCCCACTACTCCTGGGCGGCAGCAATGACTATAGTACACATCAGCCCCAATACATACAATAAAAACCAAAGAAAATAGTTACTTGCGCACTAGTTTTTAGTTCCACTCCAATAGCCATTAGATGTAAGCCCACCTGCCACATAAAGGCAAACCTCTTAGGCTAGTCTTACACTAACAATTTACCTTGCTTCCTTCAGTTTCTGATAAAAACTAAATCTCTTGTGAGACAGAGAGAGGTATTTTTCTAAACCACTACATACTTATTAACTCTCATGGCCATTGGAGTGTAGTTGGGAACCTCCAGGGACCCTGGAACTCTTCATGAAGAGCATTATTATTATTATGTGATACCTGGTTCAGAATATCTGGATGCAGGCTGAACTTCAGTGTCCATAAATTGCCAATAAGTGGTAGGGGAAGTGGTCCAGGAGGTAGACTTCTTGCCTTCCATTTTATACTGAGATATGCGACGAGGACCAGACAAGACAGGACAGCTAGCAACAGCTGACAGAAACTCCACATTTTCCTGTCGGAGATCAGCCAAAGCTTGTATCTGGTGTAAAAAGAGAAAATCAAAACATGAGTTAGGTGTGGTTATTTACTGAGATCTAAATTTTATTAAAACAGTTGCAGAGAATCATATGGACCACATTGGCGCAATAAAGAGTTTTAATTCCATCCAAACAGAGCAAACTAAACTTAGATTTGACCTGAATTAGCCTCAAGTTAAAACAGTCAAAGGCATATGCATTTTGGGGTGCAGCATCTATCCAATCACTCCATGTGTATGTAGGAGGTAAATGTTTAAAAATGGGTTGGTATTAAGACAGGTGTACCCAAACACGCAAACCCAGGGTAAAGAATACCCTATAGCATATATATGCCAAGTCAAAAACGTAAAATGCACATAAATTGTTTTTTTATGCACTCTCGTATAACATAATAGAGATCATAACAAGGCATAAAAGAATGAATAGCGTGGCCTGAAATGTATCCAGGACTGGTTTTATTGTCTTACATTAGTTATGATACCAGACTGTACTTGAATGATGCCATTGGAAAAAACGTGGACCATCAGGACATTAAAAAAATTGCACAAGCATCGAGGAGTATATGGAGACAAGGTGGTGCAGTCTGCCAGATTGACATATTGTGTCAATAAATATATGGCAACATCCAGAAGGCACAGAAATATCACATGTATTCTTTTAGGAATTATTAAAAAGTTAAACGGGAAAAAAAGCAATATAATTAAGATGAAAGTAAAGAGTAACAGAATTTGGCATCATTAGAATAATTGTTTAAAAATACATAATTGCAAAAAATCTGCTTAGAATCCCAGGAAGACGAATAAAATACGTTCCTCTCCTGTCCATGGAAGACACATTCTAGTGGTTATGGAACCAGCAGTGCCCTGGACCGACCTCCTCCACTGGAAGGATTCAATAATTTTATGAATAGTTTGATTTCTTACATGGGGTCTGCCAGGTGCAGCATCCCAACTCCGTTACCACAACCAGAGAGCCAGACATTCCTAAGCAGGAACTTCTATTAGTGAGTGCATTATAGTGGTGATGGTATTTGGAAACGCCATTATTTTTCACACTTTCATCTTCCCTGTCACTATATTCCCCTAAATCTCTTGGATAATTACATATCCATATTGCTTCAGGGACTCCCCCAAAGCCATTTCTCACAATTCTAGTCTCCATTTTATGTTCACCTTAGACCCCTCACACATGATTTGCTGCAGCACATGTTTCTCCTCCTTTGTGTTGTAAGAATTGTAGAGAGAGGGTGCGGGGTTATAACATACGGGTTTTTTATCATTATTCATAAGTCTTGTATTAATATGCAATTTATCGATCTTTAGTAAAAAGAGAAAATATCAGGTTGGCTAATTATAAATTGTCAGAATCTATGGATCTATATATTTCTTCCAGGGTAACCACCAGGTCTCAAATAGTTTGGCTGTTTTGACCTTAAATTCACTTTGAACTCTCACTTTAGAGAATAACCCTGATAATACTGCCAAATGTCTGTGTCCAAAACAGGTACACCAGCCAGCTTCCACAGTCCTACAGGTGAGTACAGATTGTCTATGTTTACCTTGACCACTACTGCTGGAAAAAACCCAAACCCAAAACATATGAAAAGAAAATGTATTTAAGTCATTTTGAGCTATGTAGGAAATTAACTTTGACCTGACTAAAAGGGCTGTTCAAAAAAGAAGGTAATTCATTAAAGTGAGTTTAAAATTTAAGTCCAAGCTGGAAAAAAAATAAAAATCTCCAAGTCAGCTATGCCTGCAGTTTTGGCCTCAAAATTGAAATTCACTTGGAATTCCTGACAGGTCTCATTGCAGTAAACTACTATGTATAGAATAATGGTTGGAAATTGTGGAATATGCCAACCAGGGGCGGACTGACCACTCGAGCACATAGGTCATCAGTAAGGAGTGACATCACATCCTCTCCTCTTTTACACAAATACAGAGCGCCCACCGCATGTGTGAAGGGGGAGGAGGAGTTGTGATGGTACCTGCTCAGGGGAGGATAGGGCATCAGCATGAACAGCCTGGAATGCAAGGTAAGATGGGCAGAGATAGCAGTGTAGGCACCAGAGGAGGGCTTGGGGAGGAGGAGGATAATTTGAAGGAATTGGGTGCATGGTTAGATACAAACAAAGGGTGATTGCAAGGTAAGTAGACTTACCAAACACTCACCAAACTTTCACATAAATGCAATCAGACATGCACTCAAACTGACACACTGCTCTATATTCACAATCTCACACACACTGACACACTGCTCTACAGGGCCGGACTGGGAAAAAAATTAGGCCCGGGCATTTTTCAATCAGAGCGGCCCCCTAAGAAGGGGGCGGGGCCAGAGAGGGTGTGTTTTGTCATCACTAATGACAACACGCCCCCTCTCAAAGTGAGCATGTTGGTTCAATGCCCAGAGCCCTGCTGAAGAGCTCTGGCATTAGAAAAAGGCCCTGAATTTGTTCTGCCCAGCGCAAGCAAATGTAATAACATGCTTGTGCTGTGTTTGCTTTTAAATTGTCTCTGGAGTCTCCACAAGTGGGATACCAGAGGACAAATGGGCCAGGAAAGTGCATGGTGCATATGTTTGGAGCCTGCTTGTGGGATTGCGTGTGTGTAGAGTGTGGTGTGGTATTGTATAAATAGGTCAATTTAATTTGTGTTTGTGGTGTAATATGTGTGGCTAGGGGCTGTAGAGAGTGTGTGTATAGGGGGCATAGTTTTATAGGGGATGCAGCGAGTGTGTGCATACGGGCTGAAGTGTGTGTGTATAGGTGACGTAGTGTGTGTAGGGGTTGCAGAGAGGGTGTGTTTAGAGAATGTTGTATGTGTTTGCTGACAAGGAATGTAGTGTGTGTGTGTAGGAGATCTACTGTGTAAAGGACCCGGTGTGTGTGTGTGTGTGTGTGTGTGTGTGTGTGTGTGTATAGAGGATAAAGAGTGCATATAGAGTAAGGGATCTAGTGTGTATCTGGAGCGTAATGTGTGTAGTGGTGCAGTGTGTGTGTGTGTGTGTGTGTGTGTGTGTATGTATATATATATTTGGACTTATTGTATGTGAGGGGCGCAGTGTGTGTATGTAAGAGGGGTGCTGTGTGTGAGGGTGTTTTTATCTGCTGTCACATTCTAGGTTTCTAATTTTCTTTGTCTGTTAACTCACTGAGGGTTATTATATATATATATGTGTGTGCTGTATATGTGTGGGAGTGTGCTGTGTGTGTCTGGGTGCTGTGTGTGTCTGGGGGGTGCTGTGTGTGTCTGGGTGCGCTGTGTGAGTCTGGGTGCGCTGTGTGTGTCTGGGTGCGCTGTGTGTGTCTGGGTGCGCTGTGTGTGTCTGGGTGCGCTGTGTGTGTCTGGGTGCAGTGTGTGTCTGGGTGCAGTGTGTGTCTGTGGGTGCAGTGTGTGTCTGTGGGTGCTGTGTCTGGGGGGTGCTGTGTGTGTCTGGGGGTGCTGTGTTTGTGAGTGAATGTATTTTTTTATTTAAATTTAAATATTTTTTTTTTTTACTAATAAAAAAAAATATATATATTTCCCCCCTCCCTTCTTCTCTACCTTTATCCTGGGAAGGGGGAGGAGATCCGTTCTGCCATCCATCCCTGGTGGCCCAGTGGTGAGAGTGAACTCTAACCTGCAGGTTAGAGTTCACTCTCGCGAGATCTGAGCGTTGCCGCGGCAACGGTAACCGCGGCAACGCTCAGAATCCCGCGAGAGGACCCGGCGGAGCTGCTTGTTAGAGCTCCGCCGGGTCCTCTCTCCTGCCTCCCTCCCTCCCCAGCCGGCGGCCGCATTTCCATGCCTGTGGGCCGGTGAGGGAGATCTTTGATCTCCCCACCGGCCCATGGAGGCACTATGCAGGGCCGGCGCTCGGATAGCGCTGGCCCTGCACGGGCCGGCAGGGGAGATCCTGTGATCTCCCCTGCCGGCCTCGGCCCCACGGCCATCGCGGCCCACCGGGCATTTGCCCGGTGTGCCCGATGGCCAGTCCGGGCCTGCTGCTCTATATTCACAATCTCTCACACACTGACACACTGCTCTGTATTCACAATCTCACACACACTGACACACTGCTCTGTATTCACAATCTCTCACACACTGACACACTGCTCTGTATTCACAATCTCACACACACTGACACACTGCTCTGTATTCACAATCTCACACACACTGACACACTGCTCTATATTCACAATCTCACACACACTGACACACTGCTCTATATTCACAATCTCACACACACTGACACACTGCTCTATATTCACAATCTCACACACACTGACACACTGCTCTGTATTCACAATCTCACACACACTGACACACTGCTCTATATTCACAATCTCGCACACACTGACACTCTGCTCTATATTCACAATCTCGCACACACTGACACTCTGCTCTATATTCACAATCTCACACACACTGACACACTGCTCTATATTCACAATCTCACACACACTGACACACTGCTCTATATTCACAATCTCACACACACTGACATGCCATACAAATCTAGCCTTTATTCAAACACCAGCATTTACAAACATACCTTACATCAGGAGCTGATCCAAGGGAGGGGACATCAAGGCAAGTGCCCTCAGAATATCCTGGGAAGCTGCTGTCCAAATTTCCTCCTCTCTCAGACCCCTCCCCACCCCCACCCTCCATGAACATAAAACACAGCCCCCTGGCAGCTTCTCCCTTAGAGCTGCACCCCTTAAACAAGCTGCAGGGGCCAAAGTCCGCAGCACCTAAGCTCCGTCGCCAGCTTCAACCATGTGGTCATGCTGACAGGAGCAACCTGGTAGACTGGGAGCAACTTGCAGCTCTTCAACCACAGCAAGTGGTGAGAGGCAGTGATCTTGTGTGTGCTAGTGTGCTTTGTGTAGTGACCTTCTGTGTGCATGTTGTGAGCTGTGTGTGTGTCAGTGAGCTGTCTGTAGTGAACTATGTGATCTTGC